CCTTCGCTAAACGCAGGAACTGCTCCCCGCGTCGTAGTAAATCCTACCCCGTATCCCGCGCGTAGGGACGCCTCAGGGAATGCGTAGCTACTTCCGCTCGTCGGTGGTTGGCTCCGGACGTCGCTGAAACGGGTGACGGGTGTCAAGTTTGCGATGACGTAGCGGCGTCAAAGTGGGCAGAGCCGCCACGTGAGTGTTGCTAGGATACGCTCCTCCTTTGCATTACGTCACTTCCATGTACCTTTTCTCAAATGTCCAACCTAGCGATCCTGCTGACAAACGTCTATGGAACCACGTTTCTTTTTGTTCCAATTTCTCGGCACAGCTTAAAATAAGAGGTCAGCCTAGAGTCAAAACCACACAAGGTCGACTACTACCGCGCAATTTTCGAGTCGTTCGCGCCAGCCCAGGCACTTCCTTTTTGTGTGTCATCGCGTTCTCCCTGAACTCGTACCGCACCCCAGCAACCGGCCGCCACTTCTCCGGTGATTCCGCCCAGTGCTCATTTACTCCAGGGCATCTTCTCGTCCCGCAAGGCCTAAACCTGACATCCAGCCTCCCAGCAACAGACTCTGCTCGCCGTCGCTTTACCAGCTCCGCCTGCACGGCCGCTCTGCTGCTGTCATCTCTCTCGTGCGGACATAGCGCGTCTCTACTCCTCAGCGGTGATGTTGCCATGTTGCTCTCAACCCTGGCCCTTCAGCACCGGCCTGCGCACGCTGTGACAAACGTGTTAGCGACCATCAAGCGGCCCTGTGCTGTGATACTTGCGATCACTGGTGCCACCGAGGATGCGTTTACATGCCCCTTCGAGAGTATAGGCGCCTCAGTCGCTGTGACACGCCGTGGTCCTGCTTTCGGTGCACTCTCCCTCCATTCTCCGACGACATTTTCGATAACGCAGACACCCTTTCGGCCAGCGTTGGCAGCGGCTGCGTCCTCCGATCTCCCAACAATCCTACACACGGTGGTGCTCCGGGAGCTTCATCACCTACAGCGCAACGAGCAGGCATCAACAAGACAACCAGCTTCTGGTATAATAACTGCCGAAGCCTAAAAAACAAATTGCTGGACTTTCAAACTCTCTGTGCGTCATCTCCACAAAACATGACTTTCCTGCTCACAGAGACCTGGCTTGATCCCAGCGTAGCGGACGGCGAGCTTCTTAACCTCGACGACTTCACCATTATCAGGAGGGACCGACAGGGTATTGGAGGAGGCGTCTTGATGGCGATTCCGTCACAGTTCTGTGTAAACCGCCGGACGGACCTCGAGCACCCGGACTTGGAGGGACTCTTTGTGGAGTATCATCTTCCCCGCGGACTTATACTTGTATGCTGCGTCTATTGTCCGCCGTCGTCGCGTGAGCAATCATACAGGCTGCTCGACAGATCGCTACAGAGCGCATCACAGAAGAACTATACCAACATTCTCGTGTTTGGAGACTTTAACTGCCACGTTGACTGGCTGACACACGATGACCCCATTCCCTGCGACTGCGCTGATGACACCCTACTTGACGCCGTGACGACTGCTGGCTTTGCCCAGGTATGTTCTGAGCCTACGTACACGACGCGGAGCGGTGCATCCAGCTACCTGGACCTTGTGTTTACGCCCGACCCAACACGGGTAATGTCGTGCGAGGTGTCCCACGGTTTACCGGGAAGTGACCACCGTGCTATTGAACTGGCCTATGCGGTGACTGTGCCTCGAAGGGGGTACTTTGCACGGAAATTATGGAGGTACGACCAAGCAGACCTGGGCCACTTGGCCATGCTTGCCCATATTGCACCCTGGTGCATGACATCTGGTCGCGGGGACAAACTGGCCAATTATGACCTCTGGTGCGATTTCGCCGCTGCAATTCAGCGGGACTCTGTTCCGTGTGCCACCAAAAGTACAAAGCGGAAACGTTCTCCCTGGATAACTCGAGACATTCTCAAAGCCGCCAGACTTAAAGAGGACCCTATTTAAAAAGGCTGCCCGCACCAAATGCCCAGCCACGCTTCAGCTTGCAAAGGACCAGCAACGTCGAGTAAAGACTTCCATCTATGTCGCTCACCAGAAATATGTGCAAGGCATTGCAAGAAAGGCCAAAGATGACCCCAAAGTGTTTTGGTCGTATATCAGCCGAGTGAGAACAACATCTCAACGGCCTTGTTTCGCCCACCAGAACCACGTCACAGACAAACCGCTGGAAATCGCCAAACTCTTCGCTGACCAGTTCTCTTCGGTCAACGCTAGGTTAACATCAGACTGCTTGGATGGCTCCGAGCTGAATGACCACCCTCAACTGCACATGCACAGTGGTTCTCAGACGGGACTCTCCTCCATCGCCTTCTCATCTGAGTCACTACGGGAGGCCATCAGTAAAATCAGGCCCACCCAAGGTGAGGGACCAGATGGAATATCACCTGCTTTTTTCAAGATGGTCTCACTTCACGCTCTACCGTCCCTGGCAATGGTTTTCCAGGGCCTTCTGGATGAAGGCACTGTGCCAGAGTCCTGGCGGCGGGCCCTTGTTACCCCTGTTCACAAAGGACATGGGAAACCCTCCAACGACCCCCGAAACTATCGCCCTGTGTCGATTACATCAATTGTGTGTCGAACTTTTGAGAGAGTTGTCAACTCATGCCTCCTGGACTTCCTCGAAAACACTTCACGCATATCGCCATCGCAACATGGGTTTCGACGAAACAGGAGTTGCGAAACTGCTCTCGCTACTCTGTCCCACTACATCAGCAACAACATGGACAACCGAGTGGCAACAGACCTGGTGCAGCTGGACTTAACGAATGCTTTCGACACCCTCAACCTAATCATCCTGAGGCGGAAATTAGGAGGGGCAGGCATAGGGGGCCCTTTGCTGGTGTGGCTGTGTGGTTTTGTTGCAGACCGCAGCCAGCAGGTAGTATATAGGGGCACTCGCTCTGATGAGTGGAAGGTTGAGTCGGGTGTACCGCAAGGCTCGGTTCTTGGACCGACCTTGTTTCTTATATACGTAAATGACATGCCGCAGAGCGAGAGGCTTCTAGTGGTCCAGTACGCTGACGATACTTCCATCCTGTCGCCCGCCTCTGACCCCAGCAGCTGTCAGCACCTCCAGGACTACCTTGAGGAAGTGGAGCATTGGGCCCTCGCCAACCACCTCCACCTGAGCCCCAACAAGAGTGGCGTGATGCGTTTCAGTGCCAGCAGGAAAACTGATCCACCCGCTTACAGACTTATGGGCGCCAACCTGGTGCCTTGCAAGACGCTCACCATCCTTGGAGTGGTGTTCTCTCCAACGCTGGATTTTTCAGCCCACATCGCTGGTGTTGTCGCCAGGGCCCGGCGTATGCTGGGCTTTGTCGCACGTGTAACCAAATCCTGCGAGCCAGGTGCGCTACGCACTCTGTACACGGCAATGGTGCTCCCAACTCTCGAGTACTGTTGTTCCGTGTGGTCCCCACCTCAGCAGCACCTGGTCGACCGCATCGAGAGCATACAGCGAAAGGCATCTCGCACTATCTGCTATAGGGTGGGCGGCAGTGCCTTCGGGCCGGACACAACGTACAGCGACCGGCTGAAGACGCTTGGGTGGCGTCCCCTTCGGCACCGGCGGCAAGTGTCCCGCGTGAGCCTGGCTTGTCGGGTCCTGGACGGTTCTTTGACCGGCTCGTACCTCACCACAGTTGTGCGAGTTGGGAGGAGGACCGGACAACCCGAAGAGCTGCGGGGGAGAACGATGCGCCACACTTCTTCGACGCTCCCAGCAGCCATCAGAGAGTTTTTGAGACTCCCCCCTAATGTGCGGAACCCTTTGCCGACCAACAGAACTGATTCAAAGGAACTGTCGAAGGTGTATGGGGCAACATTGGCATCCTCATGATCAATACTACCTCTCTCTCTTCTCCACCCCCCCCCCCCCCCCCTCCCTTCCTTTCTGCAGTGGTCAGATTTAGTTACTATTCATTCTTTTAAGTTATTGTTTGTTTGTTTTTTTTTTTGTTTTTTTTCCCGCAGGTGGTGGTGGGCTGACAGGCGCTCCGCGTAAGGGTTCTCACCTATCTGTTCAGCCCAGCACACCACCACCTGCGCCCTTGGAAGTGCAAATAAAATTATTATTATTATTATTATTATTATTCCCCATGTTAGCCGCTGCTCCTAGCACTCAAGTGGTGAAGCTGGACGTGCGCGCACTGGTGCGAGGCGGTGAAGGTTGATGCGAACGGCGCAAGTAGCCATGGCATGGAGGCATCTGGCAGACATGATAATCAAGGGATCTCGTCAGTAGTAGAAGGCCCCAGTTCTGTCTTGTCACAGTAGCCAGCATCCCTCTATTTTGCAAGTTTTTCTTGCAAATTTAAGGTTCTCATATCGCGGACACCGTCTGAACATTAAAAAATGACGGGGCCAGCGCGGTTAACGAGAAATCTTACTTGGTTTCCTTTCAAGTGAGGGCGCACCCGACGCTACGAGGGACCAATCAAACAGCATCAGAAGCCCGACACGATGGCATTCGATTGTCATCTTTCTGTATGCATTCTTTCAGTGGCTAAGCCAATCAAGTACAGGGAATGCCCCGTGATTTGTGCTTTTAGTGTGCACATTGGGAGTTCTATGTGTTTGATCTTCGACTGTGCTCCAACCGAAGATGAAACAAACTATTCTGCGAGTAGAGACCCTGTGAAATACATATTTGTACCATTTGCCTTTCCCTCTACTTGTCTAAATACTAAATCGCCCAATCATTTTTCTTTTTGCTTTATTTAAGCCCATCTAGGCGCAGTTCTTTGCAAAATTACCATTTCGGTGCAAGGTGTAGCATACTTTTGTTCATGGCACAATTCGGCATAAGTGACGCAGCACTTCCATCACCAATGCAGCATGTTCATCTGGCTTTTTATGCTGTGGAACATGTTTCTGCTACCTTGCCACAACACATCCAATGTGCAGAGATTAACAATTTTTTTGAAATTTTTACTTGGGAGATGGTTTGGAAAACAAAAAGCACGGGATCAAGTAAATCTAGCTTTATTTGCATGCTATAAAAATAGTGTCCTTTTCAGTTAGTCCAAATATATATACACAGAACGACCAAGAAAGCAACAATCAACGCAACAAATGTTTTGCACAAAATTTTTATGCATTCAGAGTCTGGTGCTTATAAAAATAAATATTGTTACCTGGGAAACCCCTCAATTTTCAGGGGGGCAATAAAATATTTCAGTGATATTATCTGTCACCATAATGCCCCTATAAAAAGCTAGATATTATTGAACAAAAGCTTTTAGCAAGCACCAGCTTTATTTTTACGAAACTCAAGTTTTAGACAGAAATCGGTCGAGCTAAAATATGAGCCATTGATAAATGCCACAGATAGTGATTATTTACTGCGCAAGACCCCCTAAGAATTGCCAAGTTACGCTCCAGTCAAACTAAGAATTGCCAAGTTACGCTCCAGACAAACACATGCAAACATTTCCAATACTTCCAGCATTCAAATTGCACTTTGTAACATTTGGCAATAGCTTGTCCAAGCTCGTGACACCCTTTCATGAAAAAACAAAAACGCTCGTGAACCGCGAAAGACGAGAACGGTAGGTATGTTAATTTCAATGACTCGTAACAACGGTTTTGTGGCAACACATAACTCGCCTTTTAAAACAAATAATGTCCTTGTTGTATGTACAACAAACATCTTGAGATAAAAATAAATTGGAAATAAATGAGGTTACACAAAACCTAGTTTTCAAAGAAAAAAAAAAAACACCCCAAAACAGTCAGCAATGGATGACCACCAAAGAGTCACTTGTACAGTGTTTCGCACCTATGCTATTTACAAACCATGTGGCCATTGACTGTTGAACGAGTCGCAAACGAAACACTGGCGCACAGAGACGAGGCGAGGAATGCAGACGACGGCTTCTTCGAACATGCCGTGACCCATGCGTGCAAACCTTCGCAACATCAAGTTGTTGAACGGTATCTTTTTTATGCGAGTTGCAACCTGGAATGCAAGCTAGGGAATCTGCTCATCCAGTTTTTTCTGACCAAGAAATGGAACATTTTCTTTCTAACCGTAGACAACAGATAAAAGTGACCATTGTCCCAAACTGAGATGAAGCACTTCTGAACAGGAGGCAGTGCCATTCCATAAGTTTGGCCTGAGCATATCACGACGGCGGAAGGAAAGACCTTTGAAGAAATGTCGCAGGCAATGTGAGCTCCAGGCGATACAAAAAGCAGACTACAGAAGTGAGAGCAGACCAGAGTATGCATCGCACGACGGCACCAGTACAGCGGCATAACACGAAAAAACACCAATAAAAAACTGCAGATTGTAAAAAAAGAAAAAAGAAAGAAAAGTTTTGAACCAGGGGAAAGCGAAAGGTTCGAGGCAGACGACCAACACAACAACAGACGGTCAGCAGACGGACGCGTTCACGTTGGACTTCTATGCCGGCAGACAGTCAAAGCGGATGCAAACATGTCCGCAATGTTTTGACAAGAATGAGTCACAAACAGTTTAAAATGGCGGCGCCAGTAAGAGTTCCATGTGCAACATCCACCAGACAATCTTGATGCAAACAAACGCTTTGCAGACCGTGACGGCAGCACCGACAGACGAGGGAGACATTCATGCAAAACAGACACTTGCGGTAGACGAAAACAGCTGCCCGCGTCGTCTCCCCAGAAAAATTATGGGAAGTCGCGACAGTTCGAGACGTGCAGTCCGGGCGACGTCCGCACAGGTTGACTCCGCCCCACGGCGGAACGTCACAGACGCTAGGGCTTGCGCTTCTTGCGTCTTCCGCGGCGCCCGCCCGTATGCCGGGGCGGCACTGCGAGGCTGCAGTTGCTCGCCCGCGTTGCCGGTGCGGCCAGCTGTCAGGATGCCTCGTCCGCGGACGTGGACGCGGGCGTTTCGGGCGGCCCCACGCTGCCCCCGCTCTCGAGGGTCTTGATGGTGGCCATGAGGTCGGACCGCTGCTGGGGACTCAGGTGCTGCACTATGTGCACTGCAGAGTCCATGATCACTTCGGGGTTGCCCTGAAGCAGGCTGCAAGGCACCACGAGACCACTTTAGAAACCTACACTTTTTCGAGGGGAATCTCACCGGAGCCGAGACAAGCGCGCAGGCGACGCTGGCGTCGCCACAGGCGGGCTTGTCTTTGGTGCATAATTAGTAGTTCGGCATGCTAGAGGCACTCTATGCAGCATTTTAACCTGTTTGGCTGGTAATCGGCTGTACAAGCTCATATTGCCGCTGATTGTACCGCACAACAATGCACTAGCTTGCACCAACATTACGGTGCCCCTGCAGGGTTAGCAGAAGTACAGTCTAAGCTTGTTATAACGGACCTTGATTTTGACCAAGATTTTGGTCTGTAGTAAAAGGAGTATGTTTTATGCAGATATGAAGTTCAGACAATGGTGCATAGTGGAAAACCAACCGAACTTCACAGATTGGTATGTTATACCCAAATGTCTGTTGTAACCAGGTCTGTTATAACGGGCTTAGACTATAACTGGAATACGTGGCAAACACACCTAAAATACGGAAACTGAAATACATTTATAAAAAGGTATTGCGACACAATCAGAAATGCATTAGCAACATATAAAAAAGTATTTGAAAATAAAAATACAGAAATACTTTTTGCTTCAACACACTCGTGGCTTCCCTTATACTGTATGTGGAAATCTCTTCTCCGCGTGTTTGCGACGTCCGAAGTTAACTGCGGCTCTGCTCACCTCTTGATGTGCGAGATGGCGGCGTCCCGGCGAAGGCACTGGATGTTCTCGACCACCAGGGACCTGCGTGCCTTGGGGCTGAGCTGCTCTTCCAGCCAGTTGGTCACCGCCAGGTCGTTCTCCCACAGGTATTGCTGAAAGAGGCCACAGCCGCTCAGCTGAACGGCCCACGGCTGTCGCGCGGCAAACCAGAAGAATCCCATTTGTTTGCCCTTCCCCTCCGAGGGCGATGGAAATGGTGAAGAGGACAAAAGGAATACTGATGAGGGCAATGAAAGCATCGATGATGGCAGGACGCTGAGTTGATGAGGATAATAGGAACATTGAAGAAAGTGGTCAAGCACTTTTTTCAATGTCGGAGCTCCAATTATTGGAGTCCGCCCCCGTTCGGGCATGGGCTCCGAGCGTGTATCAGATGCGACGATTGTGTTGGCGTTTGGCGTCAACTTCACAGCAATCATATGCTTCATGCCCAAGAAATGGCAACCATCAATTCTGTTTTAAGGGGTTTTGAAAAGGGTTTGTCGATGAGGGCCATGGGAACACCGGGAAAAGTGGTCAGGTAAGAGTGATTAAGACAATGAGAGAACACTGATGAGGGCCAAGGGAGGGAGCATTGATGTGGGCAGTGGAAACAAGGATGAGGCCAATGGGAACAGTGACAAAGGCAATAGGAATACCACTAACAAGTGCAGAGGAAACACTAATGAGGGCAGTCGGTACCCGTGACCTGGGGTACCTGAAACTGCCCGGATTTAAAGTTAAAGAAATGTGACTAAATGCCTTATGCAATGGTGGTTTTATTGCACTACCCTCCGATTTTTCACAAGCCACAAACTCTCGTGAAGTAGGCCGAGTGAAACCAAAGCATTTGTTGCGGTGACAGTCAAAGGTAACTGGCCTTCTTTGTCAAGCAGCGTGCACTCCAGCGCTCCAGAGGCAGGCATTTGACCGCTGCGTCTCGCATCGCAGGAAACAGAGCTCCGGGAAAAGTGACGAAGAATTCCTTGCAGCCTTCTTTTTCCATCACGGTTTTTAGGACACTACCGTAACCCATGCTAAAGCGTGCCAGAAGTCCGGCCTCCCGAACGCCTACGGGACAGACGTCAATGCTCGGGAAACGCGTACGTGCCAACGGAGACGGACGCAAAGAAGGGGAAGCAAACGAGCACTCCCTAGCGTCCGTTTCTAAGCTCACAAGTTTCCCGGGCGTCGTGCACCGACCGACTCGACGACTCTCGTTAAGCACACGTCAACGTCGGATGCGCAGAACGGTTCTCTAAAGGCGAGCCGAACGAAACCGGGCACGTCTTTGCTGACCGGGTCGCTAGTGGTCGGACAGATTAAAAAGTGAAAGCCGTTTGCAACTCCCTGTAACGCCGAATTGGAGCACAGCTCTTGAGGAGGAGGAGGGAAGGGTACTGAGGGGAGTGTAGACCCCTCCTCCTTCTCTTCCTCCCCTCATTCTTTAATATGCTCCGGGGGGTCACGTGACCTTGGGGGGCTTGTCACGTGACTTCAGGGAGGGGGGGTCGCGTGACCTCGGGGAGGCGTGACCTGGGGGTCACGTGACCTTGGGGAGGGCACCACATGACCTCGGGGGTCACGTGACCTTGGGATGACCTTGGTTATGCCGACGGCGACGCCGCTCAAGCCGGAAACGGGCGCCTAAGAGCTGCACTCTAAAAGAGGGCGTGCGACGAAACTCACGTTGACGGCGCCGAGGGACTCGACGAACCAGCGGCGAAGCATGCTCTCCATCTCGCCGTCGCTCAGCTGGGGCCGCACCTGCAAGATGTCCCGCTTGGCACGGTCCTGCAGCAGGCGTCGCCTCAGGCGCCAGTACAGCTGCGTCCGAGACTTGGCCCAGGGAATCTCGTCCTGCACACGGTCGAAAAAGAGCGGTGAGGAAGGCGACCCTGAGGAAACACCGAATGAAGCGATCTGTGGGCCTGTCTCGAGACTGGTTCGTGCAACGTCGCCTTTTTTTTGGGGGGGGGGGGGGGGGGGCTCTGAAAACTTTTGACGATGTTATAAACGACCATTTCTTGCGGAGAGTATGTAGGTTTGATCTCACAAAACAAAAAAATTGTAGAGCCCTTCCATTTCATGTGAAGATGGAGGACCAGCGAAGCTGTTATCTTTACGATGTCTAGGATGATGCTTAAAGGACGACATCAAGGACGACCTCTCGGACGACGCCTAGGACGACCTCGAGGACTACCTCTAGGATGACCTCTAGGATGACGCCTAGGACTACCTCTCGGACGACCTCAAAAATGACTTCTAGGACGACCTCTCGGACGACCTCTAAAACGACTTCTAGGACGATGCCCAGAGGAAGACGCCTAGGACAACCTCTCAGACGATTTCAAGGACAAATTTTAGGATGACCTCGAGGACGATGCCTAGAGATGATAACAGGGGATCAGGACCTCACCATCTAATAAAGCCAAGGAAGGCTGACTCACGCTGATTGCCCCCTCTTTTTCTCTGTTTATTCATACTTGACCCCTCTTTTTGCTTTTATTTATTCATACTTGCCACAACCATTGTTGTGAGAGGTCGGAAGATCTCGGTCGTCTCCGAGTGGTGCATCCAGGGTCCCACGGCATACACGCATTTGAATGCGCTAAAGTGGCAACAAGACGTCGCAGGGGCTGGCGCGTCGCACCGTCCGTCATCGCAATCTTGGCGGTTTGTTGTAGAAGCACGGTGCTTGCCAAAGGTTTAAGGCCAACCACGTGCATGGCCGGAGTGGGCTTGCCGGCCACAGTCATTGTTGGTGCTCGCTGCCTGCGAGGGTTCCCGAGTACTCTCGCATCCGGCGAGCACCGATGATGGCTGCGTCGGCGTACGAGAGCGAGCCCACTTTGGCCACGCGTCCTAAACCTTTAGCAGACACTGTACCGGCGGCGAGCAGACGGTAGTGTCGCAATGCCCTGATTCGCAGTTCTTAAGAGATTCTGCCGACTATTAGGCTCCCGAGAGAGCGTGCTCTCCATCTCGCACTACTGCGGACTATTAGGCTGCAGCAGTAGAACGACATGAACTGCTGCGGGGGCAGTTTTGCGGATCGCCATTACCAGTAGCGCCGTGCTGGCACGCTGGTGAGACCCCTTTTGTTGTCCTTCCCCACCGATAGGTGTACCACCGAACATAAAAAAGATTGGAGGTGTTGGTGTCAAACAAAACGTGCTTAGATCCAAAGATGACGGAATACACGAAGTGCAATCTGCAATGCATTAACCGTAGCACAAACTCTCGCCCGCTCACTACTTTAGCCGTTGAGGTCGTGCCGGCTAGTGCCACTAATTGAGCTATGTCTCGGAGTAATGTCGTTTCAGCCGTCTAGGTACCAGTTGTCTGCAGGAACAAGGGATGCATTTTTCGACCACGGAGATGGTCCGCATACAAAGTTCCGAAATTCAAGAAGTCCCGTTTCTAAACAATAACTGCAAGTGTGCGGCTCTGGACAACTAGACGGCCGTATTCACAGGCCAGTGGCCCATGAAAATAATGATGCTCCGAGCAAACGGACAATCGATCACAGAGGTCATGTCAAACAGAGGGGAAAAGGGCGCCAACACTGATCGTAGCTCTCGAGTCACTTTTGTTTAGAGGCCCTCATCGGAGCGAGCTGTGCCATAGACTTCAGATCAATGTTCAATGCAGTTCTTCCATTGCTCTAGACCAGGGGTGGCCAAGCTGCAGCTCACGAACCGCATGCGGCTCGCGGCTCTCCCCACCCCCTGGCCCCCTCCCTCCCAGTCACACAAGCACTTCTCCAAAAAAAAAAAAAGAGAAATGGAACACATTTTAAACCAAAAGACAGGTTGAGGTTTGGTAGTCTTGTGCTACTGCTACCTCACGTACAGTTGGACTGCTTTTTAACTCAAATACATTGAAAGTAGTTCAAGCTTCAATTATTTCTCTGGACAAAAGTGGGCGGCGTTTGCAAGACTAACTGCAGCACGCAAGAAGTCAAAACTCAAAAGCGTTCATCTTCTGCAAATCTGTCTGCCTCTCCACCCAGTTTCCTCACCACATTGGGCACGCGACAATCAAATGCAGGCATACTTACTGCTCCCTCTCTTAAATCTAGGCTCTCTCCATCATCTCCGCTAGTACGTTGTCGCTAGCGCTCCGAACAGCCTTATCGGCATGCCACAACGGCTTCTCCGCGTGCGATGCGGTGAAGCCGCTTCCCAGAAAAGGAGGGGGGCAGACGACGTTGCGGCCTTTCAAGCATCTTCTGCAGCCTGTTCTGGGTGGCTTCTTGGCCGTGGCAGCAAAATGCGGTTCGAGACTTAATTAGCTTTCTGAATTTTATTATTTCTCAAATTATCACAAAAATTCTCTTCGCTATATCCGCGGGAGCCGCTCAATTTCCTTCGCGAAAAGCAGACAGGAATGCATTAAAAAAGTGCAAACGGGAATGGGAAATCGTGATCGCTCTGTTGTAGCCACTATTTCATTATAACCGATTTTGTTATAAACGGTCTCGACAGTAGTTGGCCATCTCTATAGGATTCATTTTATATCAGATCTGTCCTTTACTTGCCATCCCAAGACATCAGACCTTCTGAGGTCACAGTTCATGAATAAAGATAAATTAATCTTGCTTACAAATAAACAAGTGGAACAACCTTCACGAGTTTAGCTGGGTTTTCATCTCAGCATGATGCAACGGTAGTAAAAGGCGTGGAAAACGCTATTCGACATTCGAATCGAAGATATTCGGCCAAAACCACTATTCGCTTCGAATTTGCTTTGAACTTAAAATCCACTATTTGCACAGGACTAGTCTATAGACAATGTCTTTTTGGAGAAGACTATCACTATAGAGAATGTCCCTATGGAGAAGACAATCACTATAGGGAATGTCTCCACGAGGAAGACTCACTATAGGACACAACCTCCCCAAAAAGCACACAACAGGCCATTCCAACCCCGGGTGTTCCCTCCCTTCGGGGCACATCAACAGCCCCAAAGGTCCCTCACCTGAATGACGCCCTTCTCCTGCATGCGTGCGGGCATGTCGTGCAGGTCGGCAAACGACAGGGCCACCTGGTGGTACATGGGCAGCAGCTGGGTCTCCCGCTTGCGCAGCTGGGCCTCCAGGGCTGCCTTCTCCGAGGCCTCGACCGTTCCCAGCCGGGCCAGCAGGTCCCGGCAGGGCCCGTCCACCCGGTGCATCACCTTCACCAAGTCCTTCTTGCGGAAGCGGATCTCCACTGTGCCCTCGGGCTCCAGCACACCGCCCCTGGGCGACACGTGGTGCATGTTACGGGTGTGGCGCGCGGGAAACGTCACATTATGCCAACAATGCAATACCGGTCCCGAGATATGGCCCGCCTACTCTCCCTCCTCGTATCCTCGCAAGCGACACACTGTTCACGGACAGTTGGTCCACTCCTGATTGAACCATAAATTGGCGGTAAGTGAAACTTTCATTTGCTCTTCGGGTATTGACATGCACGTGAGACACATATGAATGCGTGAAATACATTTGTTCCATCGTTTGCTTTTCCATCTCAAGACTCTGCACCGTAGCCCCCCCTCGTCTGGCACATCCTCCCGATTCCTCTTGACCCAACTGACCTCGACAGAGCTAAAACACTCGTCCGACAGTCAACAGCGGCAACTCTTCATGAACCCAGTCCAGGTTAGGAAGTACCCAAGTACTCCTTGCAGTACCCTCACCCAGAGCAGCCAGAAAAAATTTAGGGCTTGTTCCCTAAATCTACTTCATTTAGGAACACTTCTTCCCACTAAATTAAGCTCTTCCGCCATTCAGCCGCTCCTTGCTACGTCGTAATCAATCGAGCGTTCCTACGAGTTTTCCCAACACCACCCAGAATAATCGACGACCGAGCACTAGAATTTTGACGTCGCATTGAAACTGAGCTGCGTCGGCGGTCGGCCGGGTCTCGCGTATAATCAACGTGTTAAAAGACGCTCTACACTGGAGCCAATAGGCAAGTTGGCGCCGTCTGACTGCAACAACGCGACACACAGGAAAAGGAGGATGTTCCTGGGCCTTGATTATTCAAGCTGGTTTTGGTTTTCCCGGTGTGCACGATGCTTTTTACAAAACCTCCAAAGGGGAGCTCTCGTCCCAAGAATGCACCCTGTCCCCACAGTGACGACTTACCTGCTGTCGGGGTCGGCGTACATCTCCATCATTCTGGGGTTGATGGCGGCGTCCACTACGGCCCACGCACCGCCTCTGAGCTCACCGAAGGGCGGGATGTACACCAGCACGGGCTGCCGGTAGTTGTGCAGCGCGTCCACTATGTAGGCCCCGAACTTCAGCACCTGGTCATACATGTCTGCAGCACGAAGGAGGACGCCGTCGGACGCGCGTCGAAGGGCGCAAGAGAAACAAAGGGCGCGAGGGGGACCCAAGAACAGAAAAAACATATGCAGAAAGACAAAAGAACAAAAACAAGTTTGACCTCTGTGTTTATTAGTGATGGGCCGAGTCGGCCAAAGCTAGGATTCGGCAAAATTTGGCAAACGTCCGCTAGAGCGCATATGATTGCGAACATACTTTCCCAGAACAAAGACCATACATTCAAACTTGCATTTTAGACTGACAGTGAAGAACATCCAAAAAGATTGACAAATCTCAGTAGGTAAGACAAACATTTCCATCCTAGAAAGTAACACTGGACACCAGCAATCTTACGGGGGGGGGTGGGGCTCGACGAATGTCCAACTACAAGACCCTAATTAAAAAAAAAGAAAGAAAAAAACTTGTTTTGCACTTTATTTCGAGCTTGCGACAGTTTATTGTATCTTTTCTTCTTGTAACCCTCCGCCCTGGTTTTCTGTGTGGCCCGTTTCACCTCTGCTTCGAAGCGAATTGGCCTGCCACAGAAAAAGGTCGCCGACCCCCTGCCTACAACACTCCCGAAAAACACGAAGGGCCCACCTTTCATGCCTCCCGAGAAGCCCCGCCAGTTGGCAAAGACGAAGAGAGGCAGCTCTTCACGGTTGAAGTCGTTGATGGCCTGGGCGGTCTTGTATGCGGAGTCGGGGAACCACACCTGCCCCGCTTGCGACAGGACCTGGCGAGAACGCAGAAAAACGCACGGTGGCATTTTCAAAGCGTACCGTAAGATCGCGGAAGAAAATAAAGAGTTTGCAGACAAAGAAAGAATATTCAGACATAAAGTAAGAGCGCAAACAAATTGGCATGGACATGATTACGAAGAACCCCTAGGCGAGCCGAGGACGGCAGAAAAACGAAATCCCAACGTCGAGACTCCGTTCGCAGGCCTGGCAGGGCGGCGCGCACGTACCTTGGCCTCAGAGTCTAGGTTGGCGGGGTCCGCAGGCACGTCGATCTCGACGGTGCGCGTCTCGACGGCCACCACCCCGACGGGGATGCCTCCGAGGCGGGCCCGGCCGCACACCACCGTCTGGGCCCACTGCTGCATGATCTCCATGAAGGAACCCCGGTCGAAGAAGCCGTCCTCCCAGAAGCCCGCCAGGGCTGCAACCAGACAACCTTAGAGTCTCTCCCTTGCGGACGTCTACACCTAGGCCACAAACTCTTTTTTTAAAAAAGGAAACACAGAATTTGGTAATTGTGTTTTTGAAGATTGACAGGCACTCGTCATCTTGTCAAATTATTTTCATGAAATAAGTATTTTTTTTATCTTCGAATACAGACATTTTTGTCTGTATTCGAAGTAGTGTGACTACAAAAGTACATTTTTGTAGTCACATTGTAAAGGCACATAAGCTATGTAAATTTCATTTGAATTGGATTGCAAGGTATATAAAACAGCTCTACAAGTAGTGTGGCCCCTTAAGACACCACAATGTCACGTGGCAGGAGCTACGACGTCACACCAATGGCTGCGCCTTGTTGCCGACACTCTCTCTCGCAGCCTTGCTACAATGAAATTAGAGTCACTAAATAAGCTACGCTTCAGAGTACCGACACTTATCATCTTGGTGCATGAAGTCATGGTTGCCAGTGATCTGAAGCTTTCATAGAGTTATTATAATGTACACTAGAGGTTCAAGTGGCGCTAGTGTCTATGCGACTTCCGTGATGCAAATTGAAGCAGACAGCATGCAGTCTACTTTTCCAGTCTTCCTGTGTATTCCTATGGGAAAACGCGCGTGCATTTTGTCTCTTCGCTGGAAAATAACACGAAACGCTTTGGTTATTTGGGTCATACCGAATAGTATGTACCTTGATTAACATTGTAAATATGTAATTACTTTAGTTAGCGCATTTTTCTTCATTAGTGAACAATGTTTAACTTCGCTACATTTCAATCCCAAACGTGTGTTCCGCAGCATGTATGTAAAAACAAGCGACGATTCAAAGCAAAATTACATTCGAAATGAATACAGAGCGTGTTCAAGCCTCGCCAAGCATTGCAGTGACGCTTACATACTGCTAATATGCCAGTCCAGTCACTATATGAAAATGACCCCGTCATGCATGAGCGGATAAAAACATTCAAAACATAAATAATAAAGCATGTGGGCTATGAAAGGTATCTCTTCGTATTGTTTTCTCTGCCGGGCAGCTTTTATCGGGCACTTGTTCTCACAGACTTCGATCGTGCTGGTGATACTTTGAATGTAGAAGTTCGCACCGAGCAGAAAGAATAAAGCGGTAGTTATTTAAAATCGGAATATATTACGTGGCCTTCAATTTATTTTGATCGTACATGTGCGGGTAGTTACTGATCCAGTGTTACTGCGTAGTTCTTGCCGTCCCCCTTAATTTCCAGATGTCCTTTGTTTGTTTGGCACGTATATCCCTCAGGCTGAAAGGCGTCTTGTTCGCGCTAAAAGTGTCCGAGAGTGCACATAAATACACTTACAAAGCCGTTTTAGCACCGTTTTTAATGCGATGAATTTGAAAGAAAAACGCCGTAAGTGACAAATTTTTTCGTCGGCCTGACTGAGAAATGTTCCAGGCTACCTAGCACGTACGAATTATTCGGGATATTTGCTCTTGTGATCGAGCGCAGGGAGAAAATGCACACACTTTCTCTCATAGAAATGCATTACCGGAAGTCAATTTTCGACTGGTTGCCGTCTGCTTCAATCTGCGTCAGCACATTAGCGCCACTTGAACCTCTAGCGTACATTATAATAACTCTAACGAAGCTTTATCTGAAATCACATGAAACACTTTCCTGCCCTCAACAAATGTTTGAACACTTTGTGACAGAGCAAAGCAGTATTACGTGAGCTTGCTAACACAGAATCTAATACTGAGGTAGTCACATTTCTTTAATCATGGCGATCGGCACTTGCGTCTGCTCTGTACTAAGCACCAAGATGGCGGCACCTACGACAACACCGAGGAACAGAGAGTGCCGATACTCTAAACGTAGCTCACTTAGCGGCTCTAGGTGCAACCAACACCAACGTGAGCAAGCGTCCGTGCGGGTTCCCCGCATAAAATCGTCGCTTTAAAACGAGTCGCAATGAAAAAAAAAAAAAAAGCTAGACTCACTGGGACTTTCCCGTCCCGCGACGAGCCAGCGCGGGTCGTACGGCACCTTGGACGGCGTGTACACCACGTCACGGTCAATCGGGTCCAGTGGCTCCACAATGGGCAACGGCGCCCCCTTGCACTGCACACACGATCGGGCATCAATGTAGCATGCAGCACTGCTTTTTTCTGTTACATATAAGTCACCGAAACATCCGTGCCTCGAATGGAGTGTGCCAGGCTATCTCCTCGAACTGGTAGCCGCGCTTAACACGGAGCACGGGTGTCCCAATGACCTGTATGGGGCTGTGTGAACCGGCCTTTGGAGGTCAAGTTACAGGAGGTTCATCCGACCTAACTGCGTTATTTTGTTACGTGTCATTGGAGTAAATGACAAAGATTTCAACGGGACGTCTATACTCATGTTTCACGATAACTTGGCAAACTGTGGAGGCTGCGGCCCCTGTGACCCAATAACAGCCGGAGCAAGGCAAGTGATACCACACCACAGTCGAGGCCACCGGGCATCATTACCACCACAGCAACAGAGCCCTCCACAACAAAAAGTAGTTCTAAGCTTCTTTTTCTTTTAGTGGCAATCAAACTGGCACAATTCTATTTAGAACGAGAAGATATGAAGAATAAAGAATAAAGTATAATCACAAATTTATGAGTTTGAATTACAAGCCGCGTTTACATGAATGCGACTTAGTCGCATCGAATCCAGTTGTCGCATCCGATGCGGTCATGTAAACGGCATAATGCGCTAGTGAAGCGCATCGCATTCAAGTTGCCAGACAGAGGTGGATCGAGACGGCGAAGACGCATTCATCCAACCCATGTAAACGGAGGTTGCATCGCATTTTGGAACGGGGAGGATTATGGGAAGGCGCTCTCTGCAGGAGCGAGTGAACAGCTGAGAACAAGGCGGCAGCCAACCTCGTCGGCGGCAGCGGAGAGCGGTTCCGTGTGGTCGCCCACAGTTCCTCTTGAGAAGAAACGCGAGCTTTTATTGCCAAGCGGAATATCACTGAGCTGCTCGGAGAGGGTGGCCCCCGTCCAAGCCTTGCGAAATACAACTTGCGTGTCCAAGGGAGTGCCTAGAGGCTTCGGCACGAACACGAACGACGCCGAGAGCTCTCAGCACTGCGTGGTAGTGCAGAACGAGCAGCTCCTACCTCGGTGCCGTCCCTGGCTACGCCGGAGCCTTTCGGCCTCGGGGCCCGGTCATGGTTGGCAAGGTATGCCGAGCCGAAGCGCGGTGGCGTCCTCAGAACGGTTCACGACGATCTCGCTCGCCAGGCCGTGCGCTTGAACGTCGCCTCTGATCCAGAGTGGCCCAGCGGCCCGACCCAGAGCCCAAGACGTTTGGGTTTTGATGTTTCTTCCGTCTCGTAACTGCTTGCACAGCATCGAAGACAGCGGGCGTGATATTTCGTTTACGCTCGCCGGAAGCGTCGACGCCTTCACGCACCTCATGTGCGATGCACCGGAAAACGCGGTCATGTGGTGCGGCCCGTGCCGGAAACGCAGCTTCAACTTTGAGCTTTCACACGGCGCGGCGCTACCTTCGCGTAGGGCTTGGTGCGTATTCATGTAAATGTTGCCGCGTCGGCTTTTTTCGGAGGACGACTGGAGTCGATGCGCTGAAGTCGTATTCATGTAAACGAGGCTATAGTCAAACCCGACTATATCGAACCCATTTACATTGAATTATCCCTTATATCGAACGATTTTTGTGCACAGTAATGTTAGTGATAATACAGTTGAACCTCGATGTAACGAAGTCGGTAAAATTCGCAATTTACTTCGTTACATTGAAATTTCGCTAAATCGAAATTTGGCTTTAGCATGCGAAAAAAAAAAAAAAAAAAAATTCCGAAACATTTTACGGGTATGAAAACTCACCGAAAATGACATTTATTTAGGGGCAAAGTAGTCCGCGAGTTTTGCTTGCGCCTTGTCCGACAGTAGCAGCGGCGTCGGCGGCGTCATACGGCGTTCGAGCGCCCAGAGCGCTTGCACGACATCTTGCTGCCCATGCGACGCCGTGTACCTCCTCAGTACGTCTATTGCGTCGAGCACTTCCCGAGTGCTCGTGATCTCGGCAGTTTCTTCAGGATGGCGTCCAAAACGTTTGCTTTCTTATCCAAAGAAAGAACTTTACGTTTCCTTATGGCAGCAAGCACGTAAGTAACCGCCCGGTTCAAAAATAAAGCTGTTTAGTTTAGGCGGTGCCAATGTTTCCAACCTACACAGCACTCTTGACCGCACAGTTTACTTGCCCCCTTGCGCCCACAGTGTGCTTGCGCCTTTGCTTTACATCACGCTCGCAAGACGATAATCGGTCTTTTCGGTCTTCTCCTAGATGGCACTGCCCGTGCGGTCGCGCGGTCGCGCCATCACGTCGCTCCCCCGCTGAAGTTGGCTCCCGCGCTACAGTGGACTATGATGATCAGTGAATGTCAGTGGTGATGCTGTTATGCCGTGTTAACTTTTTGCTCGGCATTTTCTGGCCAGCCTCGCGGAATCCGCTTTGCCGCATGCCTCGCCGGCGCTACCGGCGCCGCATCCTCGGGCAGCCTAGGACCGTTGGAAGGCCTGTCTCCGTGAAGTAACCTATCAAGCGCTCGCGTTTGCGCATAATTTTTTTTTTTTAACCACAATTTTTTGCGAAGTTGTTTTTTAGAGTTGATTTATTTATTGCCTTCTATGGCAATGGCGCTTCGTTATATTGAAATAGCAGCAAAATAGACTTCGTTATATAGGGACTAAAAATACATGGGGTCTATGGGCAAGAAATTATGAAAAATAAAATACTTCGTTAAATCGAGGATTTCGTTACATTGAAGTTCGTTATATCGAGGTTCGACTGTATATCGCAAAAACTACAATTAGATAGAACAAAAATAGCAGCCGCAAGCGATATATCAAACTGTCAAGACTGCCGTTTTGCTTCGCCAGCTGGCTAACCCCTAACGCGAGCGGCAAGCCAACTTTGAAGGCACAAGGAATTTATTTGTTTGTTTTTTTGGGGGGGCGGCCGCGTCGAACGCTTGGAAGAAAAAAAATCTCTTCTGCAGAGGGAGCGGGGAGAGGGTGCTCCGTGCTCCCTCTCCCTGCTCCGACTGATCTTTTTCTTCCGGGCGGTGGACGCGGCCGCCCGGAAGGAAAAAAAAGCCAGCTTGCTCTGTTAGCTCGCTTTCCCCCAACGCAGCTGCCTGCCTTAGGGGAAAGCCAACTTGCAGAGCAAAACGACGCACTCCAAAAGAAGGCGCTCCTGCTCGGACGTGCTCGGTGCTCTCGGCATAGTTCGACGCTAATGCGCGAATACAGAAGGCAGCGGCCTTAACGTTTTGGAGCCCGTCGATAGCGTAGAAAAAATATTGTTATCGCAAATGAAATGAAGAAAAAGCAGCAGGAGATGCGAGACTCTTTAATCGTGTAATATGTCAGCAGAAAAAAAATTTTTGAGAGTCGAATTCATTAAAACTGTTATATCGAATTACACGATATATTGGACAAATTGCCGTTTTTTTGCATGCTCGATATATGCGGGTTTGACTTATATTTAAATAAAAAAAGTGAAGCCACATCCATATCCGTTAGATTTTTTCTGCCTTGGAGCGTCGTGACTGTTAACGATTGCCGCCGATCGCAGCTGTGTAATCGGCCGCTTTCGCTGAAAACATCGCACTGTGCCCTGGCATTAGCACCCATCACAAAATTGAGCGTATGGTTATCTCATGAACTGTTCCCGAAGTGCTCGCTATTCTAGCGGACAGATATGTTGCTGCAATAGACGTTTATCCGAAGTTGGTTGGTTCTGGAGCAGACAACTCTTGACTAGCAGACGACAGCCAGTTCCTCCACGTCTCGCATCTTGCATTTGTTGCGAGACCCGGAGCCACGTGCCTCGCTCCGACGCTCTTATTGGGCAGCGGGGCCCTGGTCTCCACAGTTCACCAAGTTATTGTGAAACAGAGTATATCTTGTGCACCAATGCAGTTTGACAGTTTCAAGAACACTACATTACTTAAGAAATGAGCAGACATAAAAAAGAACAGGCTCACTTCAATTAATCGCGCTCCTTCCACACAACTAATTCAAATGTTACCAAAATTCTCTTAAAAATACAAGGTAAAAAAATATATTAATTTTTTTTTTTTATTATTATTAAAATGTGTATTTCTTTCTGCATATTTTCCATTGCCACACTGTTCTTAGAAAGTCATATTTCAGGTAGAAAAACACTTTTTCCGAAAGCAAGTGGTGGCTGATCACGCCCTTTTTTGGTATCTTCTCCCTGTTTTTTCGATAAATTTTCCAACAAAACAAATTCAAAAACGTATCTAAAAGCATATCTGGAATGAGAAACATCTTAAAAATGATCTGGCAACCATTGCACAGCTCTTGTTTTAACCTAGACGATCCCGAGATGCTGTGCACGTTTTTTTCCACATGCATACTTTCATGCGTACGTGTTTTTGAACGACAAAATGGCAACCTTGGATGCTTTCATTCAATCGTGGTAGCCAATACTTTGAAGTACTGTGAGTTGAACCCTGGTTGTAACACCATCACGTGGCTGAAAGAAGTTGACCACACTCTAATATGCTTTGCGGACCGAGCAACGCGACGGGTCGCACAAGGGGTCCAGCAAGCAAAAAGATAGGCCAAAAAGCGAAGATATGACTCTAACAATGACTACCAAGTTGGAGGCTATTGACGAAATGACTCTGAGGGTGTTGGTGCGAATAGAGATGTGTTATTAACCTTTTTTTTTTTTTCCTTCAAACACAATTATTTCAATACAGTGATTTTTCAGTGCATAGGTAGGTACCATTATTTCCTTAGTCTGCCATTATGGAGGGTCGATTTCTTCCTTCTGCCACCTACATGGGCGTTGAAACCTACTAACTAAAATTAAAAATATGCCCTTAACAGTTTTTGTGTTACAGATTTCTTGATATGCAAACAAAAAATAAAATTTCAATAAAAAAAGAAATTGATAAAATATTTAATTTTTAATTGATATTTATAATTATAGTTCAGTAAAAAAAAAAAGAATTGGAACGAAACAATATGTATACGAGAAGAATAATCCAAATAATTATCGAAACAATGCTCCTAAACATGGCCTAAAATGCATGGGGACTATAAGACTTGCCCTGTGCCCTTAACACTGTCCAAGAGAAACTGCTTAAACATTCCATCAAATGCAATGAGGGTGTGACGGCACTCCCGTCAAGTTCCGAGAGAACGCCCGCCCCCGAGAGATGACCCATCCGGTCTTTTGGGCTGAATATTCCCAACACAAAAATTCGGAAACATTGCCTGCCCACCCCTGATTCCCGCCAGATGTCGATCACACAACGCCCGACGGGAATCGCATCAATCGTGCCATCTGCAGTATTGGTATGTGTCGCAAGCGTGTTCGTCGTGCTACTGCGTCCGCGATCGGCGGTATCTGTTTTCGTGATATACAAGTTAATAACTCGTTCGCACGTTTTTCTTAAATTTCGTGTGTGATTTGCGCACGCGACATTGGTTCCCGTGATACGCAAATTTGTAGCAGTTTCCAGTGTCCCTCACACCATGAAACACGAATCTGCTGCATCCGCAATCTACGGCATCCGTTCACGTGACAGAGGAGTTTGTAGCGCATTTCTGCACACTTGTTGCACCGTGCAACGCGAATTCGCCATGTCTGCGATCTGTGGTATCGGCTCTAGCCTCGCGTAGTTTGTAGCGGCGACCACTTCCGAAGCATGGTGACATGGGACGCCGAACGTGCTGGTCGGGGACGCATCTCAGGCGGTAACGCAGACCGTGCGTGCTCACCTTGGGCATGTAGGAGAGCCACTTGAGCATGACGTAGGTGCCCTCCAGGTCGTCGTGCACCGTCACGTGCGACACCCCGTTCTGGTACATGATCTGCACACCGCCCAGTTGGTTGTTGGACGTGTACACCTCACGGCCCAGCAGCTGTAAGGACACAAAACGGAGCAGCCTGTCAAAAACAGATACTCCTCAAAAAAAAAAGAGGGTTTACTTAAGTTTAGACTTATTAAACTATGCTTTAGAACAGGGGTTCCCAAACTGCGTTCCTGGAGCTAGGGGGGATCTGCTGAGTACTTACTCTCAGGGGTTCACTGAGCTGCAAAATTCACTCACTCATTCCCACCCTCAAGTGAAGTATTCTTACAGCTCAGGCATTATCTTAGAAGAACCAGGCCACCCTCTGATGGACATACTTTGAGCCATTGAAGTAGGAATTCCTCAAAATAGAAAAACTTTGAGAATCTTTGCTGTGTAGAATGCAGATGAATTGGACCTTTCAGAATTGAAAAACACAACTCTTTTCCAATATTGGCAAAGACATCAATAAAAAGCAGACAGAGGGGAATGCTTACTTGGGAACAAAACATCACGCGAGAGCACTTATAACTTGTGGATAATACAAGCAGAGCACTTATGACGAATACCTTACGACCATCTTACGATGCAGAAACGTGCACCTCAGTTTCAAATTTGAGGCGAATTCCTGGGGGCATTCAGTATGACCCTATGACTTCAACCTATACTTATTGTAGATCTGTTGCTCGCAGGTTGTCACCGTGCAACAACGCTCGAAAAGGGCCATTCACCTTGTTCAGGGCACCGGCGCCAGTCAGGATAATGTGCGAGTTCTCCAGCTGAATCACCCTCTGGCCCAAGCGCACCAGGTAGGCACCAATGCCGATGGCACGACAGGTCACCTGCACACAGACCGTTTCGCACCATGTCGTTTCTTTTGTCTCAAAAGCACCCGCGAGATCGCAGAGCCAAGAACTGGGCATTGAAACATCGAGGAGGTTGGTGATTGCAGCTTGTACAAAAGCACATTCATTGGTGACAACTAGAACAGATATTTCTTTTAAATGCAATAGCACTTCTAAGACCACCAAACCACGAGATTGTGCGTGTCCGCCCATCGTGGCTCGATAGCTAAATTCAGTAGAGAAATTTCTCTGCTAAATTTAGCGGGAAAACTTAAATAGTTGTGTAATTGATGCAATCTCATGTCATATCCACAGCCATGACACGAGATTGTGTTTGCATGGTCATACGTGAGATTGCAACACCATAATCAAGCGAACTCGCATGAACTGATGTCATGTGACACTCCATCACATGATGTGATGCTTCACTTTCCCATGAGCTCTACTCGCTGCACAGAGTTAACCCATGACTCCCACCAAAGTAGAATAAACAAACTATAAACACAACAATGTATGCATCAATTTACTAAACAGGTAAAAGAACAAATAACTCCGCAGGCAGAAGATCCCATATGCTATTGCGTTACATCTTTCTTGGCAGCAGTCGGAAAGAAGTCGTAGCTTTTCACCATACACCAGTGTTCAGGATGTGCAGAGCGATTTTCTGCTCTTAAATGGCCTTGCACGTTCCGAATAATTGTACTGTGGCTTGCAGATGGTCCATTCCAAATATGTCAGTCTAGCCCCTAAAGGTTCATTCCAGGCCACGGTGCAAGGTACGTCCAATCTCGTTAATTCAAACTCAAGGGGAGCCGAAAATTTGCTTGATTTAAGTAAAATTTGGATTATAAGGAGTGTTTTCCATAGAGATGCATAGGATGGGACCTGCATGATAGTTTGAATTATCCACAAGTTTGAATTAATGAGAGTCGACGGTACATTTAGGTGGGGACACAGCTCGGCGAACGGTGCGACGCAATCAACCAGACAAACTCCTCTTGGCATGGGCCCAAGTAACCTCGGCCGACAGCGTTTCCACCGTCCAGACAGGGCAACTGATAAAAGAAAAAAAAAAAGCGAGAAATAAACAAAACCAAAGAAGGGTCTCATTCCTGGGCGCGTGCTTTTTCCAATTTGACCATCTGCTCCGACCTTGACGGACGCCGACTTGGACACCAGACCAGAGATCTCTCCGCTTCAATGCGTTCTTGAAACAGCTATTGCCCACCGTTGAGGCATGAAACTAGGGTTAATGACAAAGCAGTGCCTCAGCAACACGCATAGTGCAAGTGACAAGTTCTGCATGACGTAGCACACCCAGAAAACGACTATGAAAACAAGCATGCTTTCCACAAAAAATCACGGAAAATCAGGTGCACAACAGGCTGCCATTGGCAGCATAGCCACGAGCCATCTAGGGCCGTCACTTGCAACCAGGGCGAGGGCTTTATCTGGCACCTGTGACGCGCACGGTGTTCCCGTCTCTATATATATCTCACACAGTGCTCCCAGCACTGTGGGATGCGGCCTTCAGCACTGCGGGATACAGACAAGTAGCTTACCAAACTGATGGTGACGATCTCTTCGTAAGCTTGAGACGTTTCGCCAGCAATCAGGCCGGCATACTTAAGGTTCTCCACGCCAAGACCATCCGTCTTACCTGAGGAACAGAGTAGATACGTAAATCACCAACAGAACCATAAATCCTCTTCCCGTGCATCCAACGCCAAACCAGATCACAATTCGTACCCATAGGTTTTAACTGAATCGAGAAAGAATAGTGACGGTAGTAGTCCCAACTCACCAATGATGTTGGTGATCTTGTAGCGCTTCTCTCCCTCGTCGTCAATGAGCTCGGCGTTGACGGAGTTCATGGCACTCACTTTCTTGAAGTTTTCGGGGGTGAGGTAGAGATACCGATAGCCCTGTAGTAAATGTAACGCAACCAAGCTTGCAAAAAGATCTTTTTCCAACACTGAAAACAATTGCAGCTGCTTATAAAAAAACCGAGAGCCACGCTGATCATACGGAGAGATGCCAAGACTTCTCTCGGGTGAAATATTTAGCCAAATCGGGCTCACGATATGTGGTTTTGATAAAACGAGAGCACAAACCTCTGCAGTTTTAGCAGGCAGTGCAAAGTTAAACCATGCACGCTACTGTTTTTATTTCATAATAAAGAGGTAAAAATGGAACAAAATACTGAGGTAGTCTTTGAACCCAGACACTTATTCTTTCCTAATACACCACGTACACGCATGGGAAGTCATGACTTCAGCCTGTAACACACGTGGTGATTGCCACAGCATCCCCGGCACGCCAGAAGTGTGGCTTCAAGCTGCTCGCAGAGAGCCCGGTACTTGTCACCCAATTCGTAACTTAGCCCTGCACCTCTTAACGAGTACCCCCGAATCATAATGCTAAAATTAATTCATCGAATTTCACAGTTTCTCCCACACAAAGCAAAAACTTGGCATCTTTGATTACACATGATGACAGTGAAACTTCACCAACTGAACGGAGACGGGCACTTGAATCGTAACCACAGCTCACTAAGTCTACTGGCTTCGGGTAAATGCTTCAGCATCATTCAACCTCAGTCAATGAATGGATGAACCAATCAGTCAGTCAATCAACTAATTACCTTGTCGGGAATCTCGGGGTCAACCCAGGCCACGTTGAAGAGGTGCTTTAGTTCTTCGGCGAGACCAATCCTGGCTCCACTGTTGGCCGAGATGTATAGCCGGGGAATGCCGAGGGCTCGGGCTCTCTCCGAAGCTTTCTGCACAACCAAACGATGAAACTTTAAATGATGCAATCAAAAGTAATTTACATGCTCCCTGATAAACAGAGAGCATGCAGCAATATGGGAAGTTGAAGAATGGGTGGATAAAGGAAACAATATGATTGATCACACGCAACAAAAGGTGCAAGCGAGACGAAGGTTGACGAAATACGAGATAGACGCAAAGTTGCTTCCGAAATAGCTTTGTGGAAGGGAAAAAGCATGGCAGAGGACAGGACACCCATCTAAAATTACACGCGGAGGATTTAAAAAATTTTGAAAAGTAAGGCTGCGGCGGAAAGTGGACTAGTGGATACGGCGGTTGGACAGACTAGAGATTTGTCGGTGACTTCTCAAGCCACACCGTGTAGCCTTTTTTTCTGTCTCATTCTGCTCGTCTATGGAGTCGATAAAATTGAATTCAATCAAATTGAAATGAAAAGAGTTGCAGATACAATCGGAATCGTTAGATCACCGCTGACACTGGCAAAACTCGGCGGTGGAACACAAATACGCATGCACCCGAGTTCGCTGGAGACGTTCCAGAAACCGCTCCCACAGCCACGAGATGATGCAAACAAGGCGGGCCATAGCGCTGGCTTCCGCATGTGGCCCTCCTTAAAGGGGGGCACAAGGTGAAGCGGGAAATGCACAAGTGGCTTACGAAAAACAGGATGTCTTCCTGGGGACCAAAGGTGCCCAGCAGGTAGGTGATGTCGTTGGCAATCACAATCACGTCACGGCCCTCCGGGTACTCCGGCGTCACCATGGTCATGCGCCATGCCACCATGCCAACCTGGCAGAGGAAGGAAGCAAGGAACGCCCAGTTGGCGACACCAGCTTGTCATCTAAGCTGCACCGTGTTATTCTGCATTAGTCTCACTGTATTAAGTTATTCAAAGATAGATGTACCACAATAGTTGCACCACAATAAACTTTCACTTGAGCAAAGGTCCGTTTAACAAATATTTCAGAGTAACAAACTTTAAAGAAATTCCAAACGGTTTTCCTATGCATTTTATGAAAAAGTGTTTCAGTTAAGCGAAAAACGAATTTCGGAATAGTGAATATTTCAGTTCAACGAACTTGATCGGTGGACCCAGGATTATTTTTGCAATTAATTCAACAAAGTTTTGTGCTCTGCAGTGCTGCGGCGGCCTATCTTAACTGGAGTTTACAGTGCCGCCGAGGCAAAGCAGCGGTGCGGTAGACAAAAACAAATCACGTGGTGTGTCTTTTTTTTTTTGTCATTGGTTACATTTGGCCACCTTAGTTGTGGGTACCTAACGGCAGGACGGCAGTTTGTGCACCCACTTTCATAATGAGTACGACAAAACAGAAGCAGTTGTCTCTATCAGACAAGCTCAAAATCCTTCAGCGTCTAGACAACGGTCAAAGGCAAGCGGACGTCAACGATAGTAAAGCAGAAGTCTAAGCATGAAGGAGAAACTGCGTTCAGTCCCAACAGGAAACGACTCTGCACGGGATATTTCAAGCCAGTGAACGATGCCGTTGCGGTATGGCTTTGTCAGAGCAACAATCTGTGCCAGAGGAAATGCAAAAAAACAGACTCTCTGGACAGCTTCGTTACTTCATGCGCTTTAAGAGCGCCGGTGCAAATGAAAATTCCCGACTTTGTTTTTCAAAATGAGAAACGCAGCAACATAACTGTTATGCACTTTGTATATATAGATGTACATGACTCCATAAATTGCATTTCACACTTTAGGCTCGATGTATGCTGTGACCTATACTGTTCCATGTTTTAGTGAATATATTCAGTTTAGTGAACTTTCAGTGAAGTGAACCGTTTCCTTGGATTCCTTGAAGTTCGCTCAAGTGAGAGTTTACTGTAGTTGTACCGCAACATTCATACTACTACAACAGTTGCACGACAATAGTTGTGCTACAAGAGCAGTACTACACCGTACTACTAGGATAGTTGCACAATAGTTGCACAACAATATCATTAACGATGGTAAAACTACAACAGTTGCATTACATTAGTTACTGTTTTAATATTTGCCTTTCATGATGACAATCGCAACAAATTTTGAAAATAAAATATTTTAAAATTTGAATATGTAAATAAATTACTAAATGTGATCAGAAAATTTAGGGTGAGGCTTCCAAGGCAAAGTAAAGAGCTAGACACAGCTCAAAATTACGCTCGGGGCTGACACAAACCAGGTAAAAGCAAAGACTTCCCTCTGTTCCTCCTCTATATTTGTTTTTATGAAGTGATAACCGAATTTCATTATCCTCTAATGCATCAAGAGCCACTTGCAAGAAGCTCCAAAGTTGTAAGCTTAAGAAAAATATGTTCTGTTAGTACATATCAATATACTGTAAAATACCGGGAAAGCACTCACCTCACTTTCGCTGAAAACTGGGTTATAATCTAGACCATGGGCACTTGTCCGGTCAAATCGGGTGCTTAATGTATAATTTGCAGAATTCCAAAGTTTGCAACACGTTAATAGTTTGCGCTTGAACGAAGGGGGCGCTTCTGCGGTATTTTACGGTAGTTAGTTCTCAGCAGGCAAGCTATCACACAAGATAAGCCTCGGTTGAGCTTCCATGACGTCCAAACGTGTTTCGCTATAACAGTACAATTTGTTACGAGTGGTGCTCTCAAAAGTTGGTTCTGCTACATGGTCAAGGTGCCCAGAAGAAGGCAGAAATTGTCATTAATGACACCAATGTCCCCAAAAAGTACAGGTCCTAGAAGAGCACCCTTCACAACCTTACCTAGTATCTAGGACAGACCAGTCACAGACGTTAGACACGCAAAAAGAGAAAAGAAAGAAGAGCAGCGATCCTCACCACCAACCGTCACCACCATCACCAGTGAAGGAAAAAGGTAATCATTCTGAAAAACAACCACAATCTTTTCCTTTTTACTTTTTTTCATTTCATATTGCCATAACACAACTCCCCCTCTCCCCCCTCATTGTACACACAGCCTCTGCAGTCGAGGTGATCACATTGTGACTCCTTGGGACAAGATGTTTCCGTAGAGAAACGTATTCTGCCGCTAAAAGTTAGTACCGTGCAATCCATTTATAACGATAATGAGCAAACCCGAAAATTCAATCGTTATAACCTATTACCTTTATCTAGAAACTAAAAACTGATTGTTATAAGCGGTACGTCATTATATGTGGTATCGTTTTAAGTGGACTGCACTGTATCGCGATACTTACCGACACTGAACTTGAATGGGAAAAGTCGCTCTGCTACCCGTTTGGTACTTGCAGGGTTTGTGGGCTTAACTTCGAGCTTCGTTGGGGTTTTCGTCGCAAAATCCACAACATCTAAACAATAGCTGACATCTGCCGCGCGTGCACCAACTCTTGAGTTACAAGAAAAAAATATGGGTAGTCAACGTAAAAACAAAATGTTTTGCAATTCTCTCAAATTAAACGAACTGAAGAAAATTTTTTAAAAAATTCTACATTTATTCAGGTAACTGTCCACAACTGAACAAAACAAATTGCTTAAAAGGTCCGAGCAATGCATTGCCAGTAAATAAACCGGTCCTTTAACTCCGTGCACCTTTGTGGACGCCTACTTTCATGAAACGTAAGGGGAGCTTGACCAACCAATCTTTTTCCTCGCCTCGTGCCCTCGGCAACTTCCGCCAAACGTCGACAAAACGTCCCGTTCAGAGCATGGGATCCGCACAAACGCCCACTTTGATCCTTGCAAGCCATTTCGACCCCATCACGTCCGCCGTTCTTAACGTCGACAAACGGTTCATACTCCTGCCCACTGAGCGTAAAAAAGAGCAACCCTTTTTCTCTACCTTTACCTCGAGCTTTGCTCTGGCCAACACCTCCCAGACAACAAGGCCGTTGTGCCGGATTTTCTTCGTCGCCTACCACAGGACAGCGCCGGAAATGAAATGGACACGTGCGTCGCTTTGGCGTTCAGCCGGGACTCGTATCCTCGCCGACAGAATACGAACCAGACGCCGGCGTCAGTCTGGTTCACTGGCTAGCCACTCATTCTTGTCTCAATCACCGTATGCTTCGTCCATCGGACCTCCGTCGGGAACGGTTCGAGCTTCGACCAGACGACACTCTCGGTCAGCCTACGTTCTGTCCCCCTCCGGCGGCGGTTTGAACATTAACCACACGACGCCTGCAGAGGCTGTGCCCAGACATCCAGAGGGGAGTCGTGTCGACGCTTGCGAGGAGAGGGTGTGCAGGGTGCAAGAAAAATTGTGACGCGGGTGACGGGCGTGGGGCGTCGCTGCACTTACAACACCTACGTCATTCTCCCCCGGCAGGCGCTTGTGCTCCACCAGGCGCCCCTGCGGGTCCAGCACCAGCTCCACGCAGCTGAGCAGAGACGAGGGAACCTCCTCGCCCCCGCGCATCTCCAGGTGCTCCTCCCACAGGCGCAGCAGGGCCTGCAAGGGGGGCACGCCCACGCTGCACCCATCTCCTGCCACTCTTTCGCACCCGGCTCATGTTTAAACGGAGTTGCAAAGAGCCGTTTTGTCCATGTGCTGTTTCTCGATGGCCTTCCCATTACGAATAGGCATCTCTGCTAGGCTCGTTGAGGTGATGACTGAGTTACAACAACGGCATCTGTTTGCCTCGAGTTTTTATATTTGTTTTCTTTTACCGCTTTATTTTTGTTATGTATTTATTTTAATTTATTTTATTCATTAAATATTTTTATTTCCACCCAAAACCTGCTGCTCTCGCTGGCACCACTTGCATTCAAATAAAAAAATTTACCCTCTCAGACCAGCTGTGCAAGTAGCTCAGTGGCTATAGCATCGGACTGCTGCCGGGTTCGAAGCTCAGCGGGGCTCGAAGTTTAAAGACAACCTCTATTGATAACCTCACTCGTTTATAAGGATCGTTACGAAGTTAATTTGTGACAATTTTCTCATAGAAAATGGCCCATAAACCATAATTTGGGTTAAACGTAAAATTTAAAAATTTATGCGCGAAACAGACTAAGGGTATCGGCAAACCCGAGTGAAGGACTAAAGATCAATTTAGATCGCGCGGCAATTTTTCGACACGCGACCAAAGTCGGTTAAACGGTTCCAATTTCAGCAGAAAACATCTAATGACCAATGCGTTTTGTGTCACGTAAGTATAAACTGAATTCCTAGTTTTGTTACGCTGCGCGACGCTACGCTGTGTGTCAAGGCATAGACTCGCCATGCATAAACTATACGAGCTCGATTATGCTGACTAACAGTGACAAACATAGAATGTGCAATAGGGCTCCCTGGGAGGAAGAGAAGGGCGTCCAAACGATACCGCCTAGAGGAGATTCATTCTAATTTCTGACATGCACCGTGAGATGGTGCAGTGCGACAGGAAAGGCAGCGAAACACACGACCACGACTTCACGCGCCGCGCCATCGAGTTTGTTTTTGCATGCTCCGACCGCCGACCCTATAAAGTTTGGTCGGCAAAGCACTCGGCTCACCGTGTCGAGCTGGCGGGTTGAAATCCTGCCGGGCGACTGAAGGTCTTTTCATGAGGTTCCCTACGGGCGCGCTGCTTTGTAGCACCAGTTTTTCATTACAGCCGGCCGTTACAAAACTCCATGAATATCGGCTGATAAAACTCTGTGTTAAAAGATCACGAATGTCAATTGAGGGAAGGCCCAAACAATTGTAAGCCATTAATACTGTGTCACGCAACGACCTCGTGCAATTATGGTGCCTGCAACATGTCTCGGCCTGGTGTGTTTACAGTACCCTAAAAGTTTCTGACCGACGATGCCACACTTGTGCTTGTGTGTGTTTGTTGGTGCTGGAACACCAACAAACAGGCAGACACCTGCTCTTCTGCAGGCCGCTTGCCAGCATTACAGTTCACGGACAACTCCAGCAACCAGGAGTTGGGACACCGCAACGGCGGCAACACTTGCGTTCGCCCATACTTTTCGCCGCAACTTCTGTTCGACTGGCCGCCAGTACTGCGACATCCGACGGCGTGCCACGCCGAATCTGGTAACGTCGGCAGTTTTCCCCCTTCGGGACCGTTTTAGACACGCGGGCGGCACGGAAGCCAGTCGGAGACATGTTCCGGGCGGCCTTGTGCAACGCCGCCTCGCGGGGTCCCACCTGTCTGAACATCTCTGGGAAGTCGTAGACGTAGGTGGTCCCGTTGGACTGTGCCTGGAAGCGCTTCTGCTGCAGGTAGTCCTTGGTGAGGTACGGGGTGGAGATGGGCAGGCCGTGCAGGGGCCCCTGGCGGTGGTGGCCCCAGGCCTCGAACTGCATCTGGCCCGTCTCGGGGTCCACCACCTCCTTGTACAGGCTGATGTCCAGGTAGTAGCCGCTCTCGTTGGCCAGGAACAGCCGGATCGGCAGGCACTTGCCGTTCAGGCTCGGCCTGGACCGACGCAAGGGGGGCATCGGCGTTGGCGATGGGCATCACGGCGACGGCTTTCACGCTCACGAGCGAGATGTTTCTAACACAACCACCTATAATACTTAAACGCCGAAAAAGATTGAGACAGGACAGGGCTCAACCATCTTTCGTCTTTGCATTTATACAACATTGTTTTCTTTAAATACGAACCAACTGGCCCGAGCCACCACTTTGCCACATGTGACACACTCGTGGGTTCCCAAATGGTTCCTAAAAACGTGAAAGTTTCCCCGAAAAACACACCAGGGATCCCCGGAACAGGAAAAAACTTTCAGCCTTTCCACTCTGGTGAAGAAGGAAGACCAGCGAAGCTGTTCTATGGTGGAAATGAAGTAATGGCTGGCCGCAAGTCGGCAAGCCAGAGTGGAAAGGCTCGAAAGGCTGCTGCCATCTATGAGCGACCTAGCCCTTGACAGCTCCGCTGTAAAAACACATTACTCAGGCGCAGGCCTTTCCACTCTGGCTTGCCATCGAGGAAATTTGGCTCCTCGAGAGAGCCAAATTTTCTCGATCGCCCCCGCACCTAAGTACAGTTGAACCTCGATGTAACGAAGTCGGTAAAATTCGCAATTTACTTCGTTACATTGAAATTTCGCTAAATCGAAATTTGGGTTTAGCATGCGCTAAAAAAAAATTCCGAAACATTTTATGGGTATGAAAACTCACCGAAAATGACATTTATTTAGGGGCAAAGTAGTCCGCGAGTTTTGCTTGCGCCTTGTCCGACAGTAGCAGCGGCGTCGGCGGCGTCATACGGCGTTCGAGCGCCCAGAGCGCTTGCACGGCATCTTGCTGCCCATGCGACGCTGTGTACCTCGTCAGTACGTCCATTGCGTCGAGCACTTCCCGAGTGCTCGTGATCTCGGCAGTTTCTTCAGGATGGCGTCCAAAACGTTTGCTTTCTCATCCAAAGAAAGAACTTTACGTTTCCTTATGGCAGCAAGCACGTAAGTGAACCGCCTGGTTAAAAAATAAAGCTGTTTAGTTTAGGCGGTGCCAATGTTTCCAACCTACACAGCACTCTTGACCGCACAGTTTACTTGCCCCCTTGCGCCCACAGTGTGCTTGCGCCTTTGCTTTACATCACGCTCGCAAGACGATAATCGGTCTTTTCGGTCTTCTCCTAGATGGCACTGCCCGTGCGGTCGCGCGGTAGGGAGGCTCACTACAGCCTCCCTATCGCGCGGTTGCGCGGTCGCGCCATCACGTCGCTCCCCCGCTGAAGTTGGCTCCCGCGGTAGAGTGGACTATGATGATCAGTGAATGTCAGTGGTGATGCTGTTATGCCGTGTTAACTTTTTGCTCGGCATTTTCTGGCCAGCCTCGCGGAATCCGCTTTGCCGCATGCCTCGCCGGCGCTACCGGCGCCGCATCCTCGGGCAGCCTAGGAACGTTGGAAGGCCTGTCCCCATGAAGTAACCTATCAAGCGCTCGCGTTTGCGCATAATTTTTTTTTTTAACCACAATTTTTTTGCGAAGTTGTTTTTTAGAGTTGATTTATTTATTGCCTTCTATGGCAATGGCGCTTCGTTACATTGAAATAGCAGCAAAATAGACTTTGTTATATAGGGACTAAAAATACATGGGGTCTATGGGCAAGAAATTATGAAAAATAAAATACTTCGTTAAATCGAGGATTTCGTTACATTGAAGTTCGTCATATCGAGGTTCGACTGTAATTTGTTTTTCCTGTTTATGCGATATTTAACGAGATCTGAGTCAACCACCGATGGTTACTTAACTATTCGCAAACATTCTTTTGTATATGTGCATTTATCTTTTTGAGGACTCTAGGCCTATAGATCTTCAGAGTCTGGTAAGAGATTTCGGCGAGACATTGGCAGAAACATGTAGAACAACTCGATAACGCTTATGGATTATCAAAGAAATGTTTTTCCCGTGGCTCTCCAAAACGTTGTTGTTGTTGATTACGGGCTTTATGGCGCAAAGCTTCTATGGCCATACTGCGCCAAGCTTGTTTAGTTGGGACATACTCTGGACCTCCAAAACGTTGGCCAACAATTGGCTTGGAAGGGCCATGTTGCAACATTATCTAAGGGTATGACTGCAGCCCTTAATCCTCTTGTTAGGCCCGAGCAGTTTCGCAATAATGCATTACTACATACACAAATTTCTGCAATGACCTAATTTTGTCTGAACAAGCAGAGCCCCAATTCCTGAGCAAAGTTATATCGGGTCGGCTGCTTCGGAAGAGTCCGCTTTATTGCACGTGCCGTCGAGAATAGTGCAAAAATTATTAAACTGCTCTGGTCAGTCTCGGCAAGTTTGCAAAACTTTATTTTTTATCGCGCACTAGATGTTTCACCAAACCTGTCGTAGCTTTCGTAAAAGGAAGGTTTCGGAACAAGGCAGAAACGTCTCTAAAAGTTTCCGTGGGAGGAGCACAGTGAATCCTGTAATGCCACACTACGGAACAAGTGCACTTATTCTGTGTTCACCCCTCCAGCCCCAGAAGCCCAGTAGGCTAAAGACTAAAGCCTGGCTCACACATTCACATTTGATCGCAACGGACTGCCTTCCGACCGCCTCCGACTGACCCCGACGAGATGACACGCCAGCGCCGTCCGCCAGGTGGCCCAGGATACCCAATCTGTGCATATTCCTATTGGTTTCAAAATAATCCCGACAAAGTTACGAGCGATCACTCGCCATAGACTGCATGAATTTGACCTTCATAATAACCCAAAAACTCCAGTCTAGCTATTCGCAGATCAAAAATCCTTCGTCGTAAACAGTGACAAACAGTTGCAATGCAGCTGGTGACCCTCAAATGTAGACGTGTGAGCCGGCTCTTAGGCAACCCTTCACCACGACTGAACGTGACGCTAATGCTGCGCAAGCCCAAGATTTCAATTCCGCACGCTGCTGGCGTGCACGTCAAATTGCAGCGACGCGCACATCGGGGAACCGGGAAGGAAGTGTGCAGTCGCTCTTTGAGGTCCCTCCCGTTGGGAAGAGCAAGACTCGCAACGAGCATTACCTCTCCGGTCACCCGCAACTCAATAATGGCCCGACTACCGCCATTGTTGTCATCTCTTTCCTGGTGGCCGTCCATCTCTACCTGTTCGGCGGCCTCGGGCAACGTTAGGTACGGGCCGTCCGACGGTGCATTCATGCGTGCGAGGCAAGCAGAGAGAAGGAAAGCTACGGTCACTGACGGCTCGAGAAACGTGGGGTATAGCGAGTCCGTCACATCTTGTTGCTCTTATTTAATGAGATGCCAGCGTTAGCCGATGAGAATTCCCAAGAACGAATTACGAAGCACGAGCGTAATAAGCCATGCTCTGTGGTTCTTTGACTGTCAGGGACTATGCACTGTGGCCCGTTGCAATGTAAGAATGGAACGAGCTTTGCCCGGAAAAATACGATGTCCCGCTTGATGCACAATGTACCGAAGCAGATTGGGCATTAGGCAGAGCTTAGTATTTGGAGCCATCGATCTCGAAAAAAGGGTGCCAATGAAGACACCCTAAATTTTGTGAAGTGAGAAAAATGGTGCGTCAATATTGAGTATCACGGATGCCATTTCTCTCCGCGAAATCATGGTGCGAAGCCTTTTCTGCAGTTCTTGCAGTGCAACCGACCCGCACTATCAACGTGCGCAAGTCGCGCCGTGTGACCGAATGGCAATAACAAGACTAAGTTATTGCGGCATTATTGAGCTTTAAGAAACTTGCACACTCTGTCTAGCCCCATGTTCCAAGAGCTCCCCAGCTCCGAGCGAAAGAAAAAGAACGAACAAACATACATTTTCAAATGCGAAAAGAACACGTCACATTTTTACTCTGGCAATAAAGGGCAATTTTACGCACTCAAATTGGGTCCGACGAAGTGCGAGGGTTGCTATGGCAACAGCTGCGTCAACTCCAACCAAACCGGTTTTTACCCCGTTTTGTTGGAGCCGACGCAGCTGTTGCCGCAGCAACCTTCGCGCTCGGTGTGACTCGACGCGAGTGTGCGAATCGGCCTTAACCCCATCACTTACAAAGCCCGCGCGCCCACTTCCCGGCAAAGCACCCAAATGCCCCACCGTCGCGATCGACAAAAAGTGTCGCAATTGACGCGAGAGAAATTGTGCCCTTATTTAAACGCCTTATCCGTGCCGCGACGGTGAGCCGCGATGCTGTACTGAGACCCTGCTCGTGAGATTTCACGCACCCAAGCTTCGGCACGGATCGCTTCTCTTTTGAAGAACAGTCTTCTCGACCCCGTTATTCGCTACGTTTCTCACTTAGAACGAATTCACTCGCTGTATTCGAGCTCTGCAAGAAAGTGAACGCACACGCCTCGTCCATAAGACTGTGCGGCTATTACTCTAGTAAATACGGTACTGCTCCAAGTCCCCGAGCGTCGTTCCCCTTACAGCGGTGCCCGGAGCGCGCCTCCCACTGGCGCGTTTACCGCATCCCAGAAAAGCAGTCTCCCGATTCCCGCCCGACGACGTCGCAAAAGCGTCGCGCCGTCGCCAGCCGCGATCCGAGCAGTGATGCAGCAGCGGTGACGCGCTCTGGGCGCCGTTCCCCTCACGCCAGCGCAACGCAGTGGCCGTGGCCTCTTACCATGGCCTCACTTACACGCCAGGGTTATAGTCTTTGCCGTAGAGCACGTGGTACGCAGGAAAGCTGGGTTGCACCTCTCTTCGCCAACACATGCACCCAAACACCACACAGTCAGCACGAGCCCAAAAGCCATGCATGGCAAAGCAAAGCTAGGCAGAGAGAGCGGCACCACTGTCAGCACAACCGTCACCAGAAAACGCGGGTAGGCAGACCCCAGACCACACAAATAGGTGAGTCAATGCATAATAAACATCAATAAAACGGCGCAAAAAAAAGGATGCAGAGTCAAGCGGACAAGCGCTTTGCGTTCGTCTTCCACTTGTCCCCGTGTCTTCGTTTGCGTCGTTTTATTTATTCTCGTCGGACAATGCACCGGGCGGTCGACATGCGAGCGAATGATCGATAGAACGGACAAACTCCTAAAGATGTGGCGAGTGTTCCTGGATGCGGTTCCATTATTTCCGGCCTTGCTGACCGGTCTTCCGAAGTATTGGGAGGCTATCGGAAGATTGATACGACACTTTAGATCTAGATTAAAGCTTTAGAAGGCTCGCTTTTGTCTTTAATCTAAATTAAACTCGGAGGCCCGCTGGTACCAGTAAAAAAAGACACCAGAAAACGAGAGGCGATGGCTATTCTCTGCCTCATGGGTTATTTTTGCTAATGCTGAGCCAGTATGAAAAAAAAAAAAAAAGAGTGCATTAAAGGTGAGTAAAAAAAAATTTGGAAGACAAAATACACATAGGAATTTCTGTCCTGTCTGTTTCTGTGTTTGCGAATTTCTTTCAGATCAGATGCCCATTTTAATCCTTAAACCTGGCTGGCATCAGCAACGATAACTGTCCTAAAGCAAAAAACTAAAAAAAAGGCACTTTGTAAGCATGCTTATTAATACCTTATTTTGATTATCTACTTCGAATCTCTTATACAACAAGGCTAGCGTGTGCGGCGTATGTACCTACGTTCGTAACATTCTCCTCGGTGCTTGGGTAATTCGGTAAAAGGTCTAAGCGGAGAGCGAGTCGTCTGCTTCTTGCGCAGGAGTTGGGGTGACATCAGAACGACGCCAAGTTCTGATTGGCTCTGGTTGGAAGGGTGTTGGGTAGACCTCAGTGAAAAGTGCCTTGAGGTCTACCCACTATATTTCTCAATCAGCCCATAAGCACAGCGTCCTCACATCGTCGCAACCTCCATGCAAAAAGCAGACAACTTGCGCTCCACATTGACACCTGGAGCTTATTTATACTTTATTATGTAAGGTGTTTAATCTATTGGGACAACCTTTCTTTTATACTGTCAACTCATGCCCCAGTTTCTTTGCCCCAAAAGTTGTCGTGCACTCAACCGTTTTAGACGACCCAGGCTCGCTTGTGGCTTAGTTGGCGGCTCTGCCAACAAATGGCAGCACTGACGTTTTTTTCGAATCTTGGTCCCATTTTGTTTGTTGTTAGAACTTTGATTTTGAAGGTAACAAATTTGTTACATAACAAAAATTTTGAAGGTAACAAACAGAAATTCCTCAAAACCAAAAACGGTTAAGACGTTAATCTAAACTTGAGCATAACATCCTGCCCCCCCCCCCCCCCCCCCCCCCCGACACCATCCCGATATTGTCAGCAACCACCCTACATTTCTCCGCTTTGTTAAAAAATATTTTTTGAGAACCACAAAATTCAAAAATAACTCACCGGATTGTCATCTTGATCTCGGCCTGGAGAACACGCAACTTCCACAAGCGAGGACCATACCTCATCACCATGTCCCGCACATTCTCGGCAATCTGGAAGCGACAGAGTCGGTCACGTCTGGAGGTGACGCCTGCCAATGCGGCCAAGCAAAGCGACCTCAGAGGAACACCATTCGCTTCCACTGGTAGAAAAAAATGCCACTCTGGCAACGCCCCTTTCAGCAAGCGTACGTTTAGATCCATATAATCCACACCCTTTCCACTTTCCTGGATTCTCTCCCAAGAGAGACTGGCGAGGGGCTTGGCTCTTAGCTTGCAACACTGGTCACAGCTGCCATTTTGCCACACGAGTCATGCATGTTTATGAGGCATACACCGTACATGATACTACATGACAGCACTTGGAGATGCAACGTTCCAGAGGGGAGTACAAGCAAGTAAAATCGGCCAGTAACTTCACACCCTCCCATTTGCCGCAGGCTTCAGAAGTCGTGGCTGGGCAATTGGAGCGGTGTCACACAATTTGTATCGCGAAAGAGATAAAAGATGGCAATCGTTTGGACGGAAAAGTGTAGTGCGACAAGAAAAACGGAGGCCCATTGCTATGATCTCGTTGCCTTCTCAGAACTAATGGCCTTGCCTACAGTTGCCCTGTGGAGTTTTAGACAAAACAAACAGGCACCAAAAAAAAAAACGCACACACTCCAAAACGGAAGATGTATACGAGGGATATTTCGGAGAAAGCAAGGATTTCTCTTAACACCATTCGGGCAATGTCACCAACCTCGCGAGGCGCAAACGCTAAGGCACACTCTAGCCACTTCGGTCCTCGACCATAAATCGGCGCAAGGAATGTCGGAAAGATCGGCTGCAGCTCACCTTGGCGGGGTCCATGGTGACCTTGGGCACAAAGTTGAGGAAGATGTGGTTGCAGTCAGTCCTCTTTGCCTGCCATTAAACAAAAACCACGCTTAGGTCTCCGACTACTCCAACCTTCTCCCTCGGCATAAACCATCGAACAAAAAAGAAATGAGAAAGGGCGTACCACTGGGTGGGTGAAGGCAACCTCCAGTTCGTCCATGGCTTCTAGCAGAAGACGTTCGCCTTCGTTCTGCATGTACTCGTAAGACGCTTCCTGGAAAGCAAAGGTACGAGACGGGTTTCGGAGACGTGACGAGACGCTCAAACCATTTTCACCCTCACAAACTTTAGCTGAGGAGAGTAAGCAAGTCTGTTCAGACAAGCAACCCGATGTTTACCGTGGAGCTTTTTAGACGGTAGAACGCCCGAAACACCGGGGGATCGCGCAAAATGTTTCTACTTATCAAAGGTTAAAGGACAAAGACGTGGGAAACCGTACAGACATTTCACAAAGTTTTACTTGTCCGGAAGGTTCCATTTACGGAGGTTTCATTAAGTGAGATCCCACCGCATTACGCGACGTTCAGTTTAAGTAAACCGAGCGGAACGAATGAAACTGCAACTGTAGTTGGGGAATGGCAGTGAAACCTAAAACTTCAAAACTCGGGCAAAAGACTTTGCGGGCTTGTCCGGTTTCCCAGACAAAAGGAGTTGCAGCGCACTATTTGGACAGAAGCAAACCACAGGAGCAGAAGCAATCTTGTTTTCTACTTTTAAATGTTTGCTGTCTTATCACGCTGTTGACGCAATCTACAGCATGTCCCCCTCCAAACAATTACCGCATTTTTTAAACTATGCATTGCCCAAAACCCATCCTCCATCTAAACGTAGCCCTAGCAGTCCAAACCAGATGTTGAAGTTTCAGAACTACAGTCGAATCTCGTTAATTCGAACTCTCTTAAATCAAACTTGCGGGTAATTCAAACTAACATGCAGGTCTCATTCTGTGCATCTCTATGGGAGGAAACTCCTGGTAAATCAAACTTTACTTTATTCAAACGAATTTTCGGTCCCACTCGGGTTAGGATTAACGAGATTCGACAATTGCTTTCTCATTCAAAAGTTAAGTGATTTTCTGAAATTTTCAATGAAGAAAACAGGGCCCGTTTTGAGTAAGTGGCACCATTCAGCTCCATGTATTCGAGGGCTCTGTCGGCCACCATTTTACCACTGAGAATTTCAGAAAATCACTTACTTTTGAATGAGAAAGCAATTAGTTTTGAAACTTAGGAATGTGGTTCAGACCACTATTGCTACATAGGGGCAGAGAATGAGCGTTTGGCAATGCACAACTAATTTTTTTTTTTTTTTTTTTATGTTTTGTACATATATACAACATCCTGTACATATATACAACATCCAAATAACTCGATCAAGCTTCACGGCTGAAAAAACTAAGGGCTGCCCAATGCAACACTGTCTATTGCAAGACTGAAAACTCGTTCAGAAAATAAATATTCAGTGTCTAAAAGCAAATCAGGTCAAATCACCTTTGTGATGAGGTCAGAATGCCTGATGATCGCACGGATGAAGAAGCGGAAGTCGGCAACTTCCTGACCTTTCGGCACCTGCATCACAAAACACAAATTGAAGAATGCCTTTATTCTTTAAATGAGACCAAGTTAAAAATTCCTGAATTGCCAAATAAACAAATAGTGCAACACGAGTAGCTAGAAGTTATAACCATACAAAAGCAGTAACACTAAACCAATGCTCTACTTTTCCGGCATAGGTAGAGTATTGGAACACGGAGCAAGAGGTCCGGGGTTTGATTCCTGGCGAAGGACAAGCTGTTTCTTGCGAAGACACCTAGCTGCATTCTGTTTTTGTAACACTTGGCAACACTCCAGGCACAGAAACCAACAAATTTAGGAATCACACTAGCCTAACCATGCTGACGGACTAGGAAGCGCGGACTGTGTTCTGAATGAACAGGGCCCATGTTATTTGTGTGTGCAGTGTTACACCGAGTCATGGTGTCGCATGATATCATGATGTCACATGACCTCATCACATCATATCACGTGACATCATAACATCAAACTACACTATACAAGTCATGCAACGTCCCAATGTCACACGACATCATGAGGTTGCTTAACACTGCGGCATCAAATGACACTGTGACAAGTCACGTTATGTCACGATGTCACATTGCGACATCACGAGGTTGCATGACACTGTGACATCATGCGACATCATGGTATCACATCAACGCCATGACGTCCCCAGTGTTCACATATTGACGTCGCGGTGAACCTTTATAAAATTCAGTTTATTTATTACACCTCAAAGCACCCTGATACGCCATTATATGAGGGGCGATACAAATTATCTGTACACCCCCTCACACTGACAAAGCCACAAAACACCAACGAGGTCCCGCGAAGCATTCCGACGTCACCACCGAGGCCACGTGGCACGGACACGAAAACGCCAAGAGCCGGCTTTCAAACCTCACGAAAATTGGGGTGCACAGACCCACCTTGGCCTTTCCGAGGTACAGGTGCATCTTGAGGTTGGAGGTGGGGATGGCCTCCAGGTCGTAGTTGCGCAGCCGGTTTATCTCAAGCTGGAACGCCAGTGCCGGCTCCAGATGCCGGTAGATGCGGTCCTCGATGTACTGCGGAACCGCCAGCAACACGAACCCTGTCAACTTTCTAGACTGTCTCAGTGCCACCCGCGCGGTACGGTGCGCAAAACCCCTCTCCGACCGGCGCACCTACCGTCCCGTTCCACCCGCGTGTCGAACATAGTCACCTGAGTAGCAACAAATGACGTCGCAAAAGCCGGAGTGCTGTGCTGCCGGATGCCACGATCCCGGCAGATGGTTCATACAGTTCCGGTAAAGCGCACAAGCAAACGCGAGTGTCGCCGTCGTCGCGACGTCCCAACTTTCAGCCGCCGAAGCTTCCACGAACTGTCGAGCGGGAGAGTAAGCAGGAGAGCGATCCGCAACAGGACACGCGTCAACCATGTCTCCCACCGCTGCCGCGACATTGCCGGATCTGCAGCGTGCGACGGCGCGACGATTTACTGTCGTCGGGTGGAATTCGAGGAACCACTCTTTTGGACGGGGTGAACTCGCCGGTCAGAGACGCGTTCCGGGCACCTTACCTACGACCTCCCACGGAACTCGAGAGAGGAACTCACGTCGTCCCGGTACCGGTACGTGTAGTACTGGGGAAACCGGCGCTTGTGCAGGATCAGGAAAGTGACCCTCCGCACCATCTTCTCCTTCATGATGGCACACTGAAACACGCCGGGACCAAAACACGCATTGCTTCAGGACACCCGTAGAGACTGGACAACCAGCGCGGCACGAGTCCCAAAAATGTCGGGTACGACGCTATGGCCTCGGCAATTTGGCAGTTGCAACCCAACCGGTTTCCACTTTCATTCCTTACGGCAGAACTGTTCCACAGATTTGTCCTAAAACTACCTTAGTTCACAGAGTCAACATTCTCTGTGTATTAATAGCGCATTACTGCGGAACGCTGGTACTGCAAATGCGACATTAGCGCCTTCTTGCATTTTAATTTAAAAAGGTATTTGGTGGGTGTGGAATTTTACAGCTCAGGTCAGTCCCCTAAATGAGCTCTTGCTACTACACTGGTGGTTTCGATGACTGCATTTCAATTCTACGAGAAAACCAGAAATACAATAGAAACTGTTTGTTTCTGCTAATGCTGTCGCACCGTGTACAAGTGCTATAAGCTCTGCTTATGATGCCTTATAATGTAAGCTTGCAATGTACATACATTTGAGATGCTTACATCATAGGGGCGGCAATGTAGCAAAGATTTCATTTTAACAACCATACATTGCCTACCAAATCCAAATAGACAATGAACCTGCGCGAATTAAAAGTCAGGGAGCGTGGAACGCCACCCAACAAACAAACCTAAACATGCTTAAGGGGGGACACTGACTAGATGCTGAACTTCTGAACTACTCAAGTGATTGGAATGAAATTTGTAAGGGAGATTAAACTTCAGATGTAGGTGTACTGTGCAAACTTTCAGCTCTCTAGGACAAATTTACATACATCCATAAGTTGATCTGTCACTCTTCGTTAAGAAATCTATGATATGCAAATTAAGCTATTAAGTACCATTTTGACTGATTGAATGTAAACAAGGGAGATATGGGACTTTGGGCTATCTAGTCTTTAGAACTTAAATGTAAACATTTCAGGAAGAGTGATTACTTCAAAATATGAGACGCATCTCTGCCCTATGCCAATTTTTGAAAACTTCGTTTTTTATCACTGAGGACTTCATGTTAAAACAAAATAAAGTAGATAGCCTAATTCCCCAGTAAATTTCAGTTCAGAATACTTTCACCTTCGAACAAAAGATTCCTTCGTACAAAATTTCCAGCGAAAAGTGGAACTGAGAAAAATGCATTCAAATAACTCCTTTACTTTTTTTACTGCCTCACAATGTGTTGAAAATATTTTATATCAACATAGGTAACAATTGGGCTATAATTATCAAATTTAGTGTAAGAGTATATAATTGGTTTCTAAAATCAAAAACCACAAAATTGAAAAATGAATTTTTTCACAACAATTTGAAATTTAGGCACATGTCTCCCCTTAACAGCACAGATTGCATAAAATTGTTCCATTCGTCAAACTCTGTCAAAATATGAAATTTAAATGTACCTTAATCCTAGAGATAAACTAAGAAGATAGACTGTGCAGATTGATTTGAGCTCCTCCCATCACTGGGAGACGAAGCTTTTGCAGCAACGCAAGTACATATATGCTAACTATAATCGTGCTAACCGAAACTGCTCGACTTGCACAGGGCACAAGGCATTGGATTACTGAGCAAGCGGTCAGTGCTTAGACTCCCACTGTGAAAAAAATATTATATTTTCGTTGCAATGTTCTGAGACGCTCCAGGCTTAGAAATCAGCCCTAAGACACATTCTTAAACTTATGAGGAGGTCATACATTTGAAGCTGCAGGACAATTGGTTTTGAGACAGTAACGCCGCATGCGTCCTTCTGCACTTTTACGGCGCAAGGACCAAAAGCACTTCTGGTCTGTACTTTCGCGAGCAGAAGAACAAGACGACAATCTACCTTCTCTTGGCAGAAGCTGTAATACTTGGCCGAGTAGTCCTCGTCTTCGTTGGGGACGTCGTTGCGGATGGCAATGTTCAGGATGTGCATCGGCTCCAGAACCTTCGTTGAATTCAAAACAGGAGCGTTGGAAAGGCAACCGGAATTCACCGTGGACAGTTGCCAAGCACAGAGTTAGCATGCTCAACAATAGAGTCAAACTTGGGCGAAGCGGCACAATGAACAGGCGCAAGCGTGCAGCTCCCAGTAAATTTATCGTGGCAGCAGTTGGAGGTATAGACTGCGTCAACGATGCACGCAAGCTTCAAAAATGCTGGGACACTTTTCCCGCTGGATTGCAAGTGTTAGGTAGCATCCCCGAATTGTGCAGTTAATTAAAACATTAACCGTCTCATATTTGTGAATAAACGAGGTAACTCTCCCCCCCCCCCCCCTTTCCCATCCATTTTCTCATATGCACGTTAAATATTTTGACGAAATTATGGATGTTAATTTTTCTACTTGCTCTCTACCTTTCAGTTCACTATTACACCCCTCCTTCAGCCTCCCCATGATGCCCGACAGACTTGGCGTAATAAATTATGATAATGATGGCAATAACGATGCTACAAAAATTCTACAAAAAATGTAGAGCCCTTCCACTTCCCGTGAAGACAGAGGACCAGCGAAGCTGTTATCTTAAGACATCTAGGACGATGCCTAGAGGACGTCTAAGACGACCTCAAGGACGACTTCTAGGACGACCTCGAGGACGACTTCTAGGACGACCTCGAGGACGACTTCTAGGACGACTTCTAGGACGATCTCGAGGACGTCTAGGACGACCTTAAGGATGACTTCTAGGACGACCTCGAGGACAACCTCTCGGACGACCTCAAGGACAACCTTTGGGACGACCTCAAGGAAAACCTTTCAGACAACCTCAAGGACAACCTCTCAGACGACCTCAAGGAAAACTTTTAGGATGACCTCGAGGAAGACGCCTTGAGGACATTGTCCTCTAGGCGTTGTCCTCGAGGATGACTTCTAGGATGACGCCTAGAGAAATTCAGCCTTTCCACTCGGATGAAAACCAGAGTGGAAAGGCTGGAAAGGTTGCCCCCGTCGCTCTTAGATGGCGGTAGCTGTCCGGAGTTCTCTGTTGACATTTGTTTACTTGAGGACACGATACTGGGGAAACTAGCCCTTAACAGCTCAGAAGCGGACAATGAGAAATTTTAGTCTCACCGGGGGACTCTCGGCGCCGTCACCCAAGGCTGGATTGTTGTGCTGCTGCTCCCGCGTACTGAAGTCAAAGTCGTTCCCTTGCAGCATCAGGGACGGCGACATGTTGAAAAACTCCACCAGGTTGTCGAAGTCACTGCCCCACAACGGCAGAAATGGTGAATAAGTGGGAAGGTCGACAGGGCAAAACCGCGGTTAAAAGGCACATTCATGGCAGCATTGAACCGTGTCCCGGAGATTTCCGTTGAAACACAACCACAAGTCACCGGGACAGCAGTGCTTCGCACTAAGTGTGGAAACCAGTTTGAGGAATAGCTTGGCGTGTATTGTATCTCGGCGCAACGCAGACAAGCAAAGAAGCACCCCAGTCATACAAGCTCAACTGCATCATCCAAGACACGGGGGGGGGGGGGGAGGGGGACAGAAGTACAAGTTGCACAGCCTTGCACGGCTACGACGTTCGCTGAAATCTAAAGCAGCTTTTATATTAAAAAAAACTTTCAGCCTTTCCACTCTGGTGAAGAAGGAAGACTAGCGAAGCTGTACTATTGTGGGACGACGTCAAGGACGACGCCTAGAGGATGATGTCTGGGACGAGCTCAAGGACGACGTCTAGGACGACCTCAGGGATGACTTCTAGGACAACCTTGAGGACAGTGTCTAGGGCGACCTCAAGGACGACTTCTAGGATGACCTCGAGGACGACCTCAGGGACGACTTCTAGGACACCTAGAGAAATTCAGCCTATCCACACTGGTGAAAACCCGAGTGGAAAGGCTGGAAAGTAGCGGTGTACAAATACTCAAATATACGAGTTTGAATCGAGTAGAAAGTCCCCGAATAATTCGATTTGCGAATCAAATTCCTAGTATTCGGTTACTCTAATATTTAATATATTCGGCCAAAGACTCCGGTCGGCGCAGAGCTGACAAAAGATCCGTTTTTTCTCCCGATGTTAGCGCCGTGATGTTCGACAGACCATGCGAGGAACACCTCTTGGTCCTACCCTTCCACAAAAATCTAACGCACAGGTTAGAAAAAAGAAAAGTAACAAACGCCACAAATTTTACAGCATGCAGATTTACTCATGATCGTGACTCAATCTAACCTTGAATCACAACCGAAACATTCCATTTGTGCCGCTTCCAGAGAGGAATTGTTGGGAGGCCGGAATCGCGCGCCATGCCTAATTCATTTCACGAGTAAAACTCCTCGTTTCAAATTGAAGCGCCAATGTAAAACACTTGCCACACTCACAGAAATTGGCGAGTGCAAGATCACAAAAAGAAAACCACGTTAACCGCGCCGATGAAACCGGCCGAGTTGTCGTTCCGGTCATTCCTTCGGAACCGCAAGCCGTAAATTCTGATTCGGAACGAAACGGAACGAAAAAATAGCGTGACTAGATTTGTGAGGGTTTCCAACCGTTCAATAGCCACGTTTGAATTACAAACTGCGAAAAGGTGACGAAGAGACGAAAGCGCCGATCGGGCAGGCGTCGTCGCTCTTCCGTCTGCTCGCCTTCTCGGCCTTCTTTTCACGGGACTACACAACACATGCACACTTACGACCAATCTACGCAGGACCCGTCTCTGTGGTTTCAGTTTTGCTTGCTCCCTCTTTTAAATCTAGGCTCTCTAAAACAGGATAGATGGATGGAGGAATGGATGCAAAGTGGCAGTTGGAAGGTGACTTGCGCCACCTAACCACATTTTTTTTTTCTTGCTTCAGATTATATTGTTTAAGCCTGTTTACTCAGATCTAACAGCTGTTTGTTTATTTATATGAAATAAAATTCCGGGTGCCCTTTCTCTCCCTTAAAATTGAGACCAAATATCGCAATGTGCCCCTTTTCTGAGATACCGTATTTACTCGCATAATAAATGCACCCCCCATAATGGGCACCAATATTTTGACTTTTTTTTCTTTCCTGTAATCAACACACCTCCAGTTTTCAGATCCGTGAGTCTTGAATTGCGTCCAATTTAGCAAATCAGTTTTTTTTTGCCGCCAAGAGGCCAAGCCAAGACAAGTCAAGCCAAGTCAAGCCAGGCCTGGCCGCTCACGTCACTCTCACAGTGGCTCACGTTACGGCCGCAAGTGCGTAGTTGCCGTAGTTACGGAAGTGATCAGCCATGAAACTGAGTGTCGCACACACTTAGCGAAGCTGGAGTCAAGGAACTGCCAAGCCCCGGATATTCTTCGCCTATCGGATGCATTAATGTCAACACACAAGCAGTCGTCTGTGGTCTGCTTTCGGACAGTGAAATCGTGAAAGTGGTTAGGCCTAATTCCACATACTCCGGGTAAATGAGTTTATTTAATCCGCAGCAGAATGGCACAGCGAGATGCACGTTGTGCTGTAGGCTGGGAGTGTCTGGTAGCCTCTCCGTGAACAAAACGATCTGTGAGAGCGGGCTTCGGGGGGTCGGCGGTTGGACTTCATACGAGTTCCTGTCTTTGTGAACGAAACTTGATCCATGCGAGCGGGCTTCGGCGGTTGGGGGTTGGACTTCATACGAGTTCTTATACGTGTAGTCGCGGATTACACCCGAGTGACCGGTCGGGAAATATACGCGTAGTCGTAGATTATACCTGAGCGTGCCCGTCGGATACTAGCAATATATATCGTCTAAGAATGGTTGTGGTTGTGCTGCTTTCCCTGCTGAGCGAGCTTTGTAGGGCGCTTTTCCTTCGGCAAAAGGCACCCCGAAAGTGCCCTAAAAAGATTTTAAATTTATAAAGCATGGTTATTGTGGCCAGCCCCCGACCAGCCGTGGGTGCGCCTCCATCACTGGAGACGTGCCACCGTACCTTGCCATGTCATACTGGCACCTAATATAACGTTTGCATGAAATGTGTAAATGCAAAAATTTTACCCCGTGTAAAGAAGGGCCCCCCCCCCCCCCCCCCCCAAATATGTGTAAATTTTTCGGGAAAAAAAGTGTGTTGATTTTGCGAGTACATACGGTATATACCGTAAATATTTAAAAAAAAAAGGACATGTCACTGTGTTACGTCGTGCTTTTAACAAGAAAAGAAGGCACGCGTGGCTGTAACGTTGGGTTTTTGTGGCGCTTAGGGTAGATAGATTAGGTTTGTACCATAAAATTGGATCTTTAGTGCCCAACATCCATCAACAGCTGCTTTTCTTTTTTTTTCACCAGGATTAGAGCTTTTGTTCCGTTCAAGATGCATATTCTGCACCAGGTGCATACTCCGCACATGTAATCATTTCATTCGCACCACACTTAGAAAAATTCCTACAAATAAAATCACTATTTGATATTCTATTTGATATTCGCCTCTTTTTCTTAATTCGATTCGGTATTCGATTCGAGAACTACTATTCGGTATTTGCACACCTTTACTGGAAAGGTTGCCGTCATCTATGAGTGACATAACAACCAGACAACCGGCAAGCCAGTTGTCTGGTTTTCGCCGTCGCTCATAGATGGCGGTAGCCAACCAGAGTTTAGTGTCCACATTTATTTGGTGACGGACACGAAACTGGAGAAACTAGCCCTTAACAGCTCCGCTGTAAAAGCTTTCAGCCTTTAAACTCTGGTAAAGAAGGAAGACCAGCGAGCTATACTATGGTGGGACGACCCCAGACCAACTGATAGAGGACGACGATCAGGACGACCTCAAGGACTTCTAGGACGACGCCTAGGACGACCTCAAGGACGACGCCTAGGACGACCTCAGGGACGACGTCTAGGATGACCTGAAGGACGACTTCTAGGACGATCTCCAGCACAACGTCTAGGACGACCTCGAGGACGACATCTAGGACGACCTCGAGGGCGACATCTAGGACGACCACAAAGATGACTTCTAGGACGACCTGGAGGACAACCTCGAGGACGACCTTAAGGATGACCTCAAGGATGACCTCAAGGACAATGCTTAGAGAAATTCACCCTTTCCACTCTGGTGAAAACCAGAGTGAAAAGGTTGCCACCATCTATGCGACAGGCCGGTTGCCTGGTTGCCGCCATCGCTCATAGATGGCGATAGCTGTCCAGAGTTTTGTGTCTACATTTACTCGGTGACAGACATGAAACTGGGGAAACTAGCCCTTAATAGCTCCGGATTTCATGAAAATAGAAAATCATTGAGATTTCTGGGAGGAGATCACAGAGAATAATGGAAACACAAATAATGTTTGAACCGAAACAAATAAAAAAATCAAATTCGTTGAGCTTATGAGCACGGCGTCGCCAAGTGCGCACCTAAGTTAACACGAGCTGCGCTTTGCCAGTTGCCGATCTCCTTCCATAGATCTCTATGATTGGTCTTTTGCCTGCTGTGCACGAAGGTAGACATATGGCCTCAGTCCATAAAAAGGGTTAGTTTGATTCAAACAAGTATGATAGTTTTATGCACATTGTGCCCCACGCAGAGAGGAAAAAAATACCTGGCAAACTGCTCGAAAGTGTTAAAAGCAGCCATGATGCCCAACCGCTGCGAGTCGGCGTCTTGGGAATCGTGGTCCCAGCCCACCGTCTCGTCCGTCGAAGACGAGTCGGCGGCACCTTCCACTTGAACCGGGATGTGGGCTTGCCTGCAATGCGCCAGAAAGCCTCTCTGAGCTAATCTCTTCTCCAGGCCTGGTCAGAGCCAAGAGCTCATGCCCCCAAACATACGCTGCATTTGCGTCCATCTCCACAGAGCAGAAAGGGGATGGTTAGCGAAAACATGGTATAGACGCGTGAAAGACTATGCACTGGAGACGAAAATGAAGCTACCGGCAGATAGTCCTGGACCTTTTAACGGTCGTGGTGAAGCCAGACAAAAAATTCCGGTAACTGCCCGAGTAATTAAATGATAAAACTTTCCATTCAAAGGTGTAAGGCGAACCCCAAAGAACAACCCCGGAAGAGGTTTCGGTCAATATTTGGCACTTGACGATCAGTTTGGGGGGAAGCCCCACAGACCATCAGATTATTGACACAATACAAGTTTCCCTAGAGCGAACCCTTTCCCACAAAAGCCCATATCTATGGCGTCATGCAAGACCAATGGCACCAACGGTGACATGACATATGCACATATGAATCGGAATGCACAGATGTGTGTATTTGAAAACGTATCAGCATGTCCAAACATATCTGCATGTACAAACATATCTGCATGTGCAAACATATCTGCTTGTTTGGATGAGCACACATGCAAATATACATACATAAATCTACATATGCGGACGTACAGCCCCTAAAAAGAAAAATGAAAGACGTTTACACATCCCTGTAATGCCGAATTAAAACGCAGCTTTTGTGGAGAAGGAGGGGAGGGTACGGAGAGGAGGGTATGGCCCTCCTCCTACTTTCTCTTCCTCTCCTCCTCTCTTCCTCCTCCTCCGCTCCCCTTCCTCCCTCCCGACCCCAGTGATGTCACTCGCGAAGGTCGTGACCTTTGTGACGCCACTCGTGACCCTAGTGACCCTCGTGACGTCATTGTGGAAAACGCCCCATAATGCAATGTGCAGTTACACCGCTCAAACCGCAAACAGGCACTGAAGAGCTGCATCCCAAATTGGTCAATGTGCACATTTGAATAACCGAAGTTGATGTGAGGAGAGTGGGCACTCATTTGTAAACAGTAAGTAGGCCTGTACCCAAGACATGGACATAATAAATGCAAATCGCGACGGTACGGAACAGTGAAACAGGAGTGCGAGGTACACGAGTGCTGATCCCGTGGCGGAGGATTCCATTTCCCGGGCAGACATGGGCCCTAAAACTGCAGAGACGCGAGCACCCCCAGCGCACCTGTTGGGGTGAGAACTGGGCAGCAGAAACTGGAACTGGGCAGCACAGATGCCCGAGGACAGCTGCAGGTGCTGCAGGCAAGTCAGGTCGTAGGAGACGTACGCCCGCCGCACGTACACCTGCATCCAGTCAGAAACGGCATCGCTCTAGAAACAACCAATCAATTTGCAACAAAACGTACCCACCATCTGCCGGACACTAAGCATCACAGCGCACGTTTACTAGGAATCTTTCAACTAAAAATCATAGACTGACTTTTACGCCCTGAAAACAAAATGGTGGCGGTAGCCACAGCGTTTTTCGACGTGTTGTCACGTGATGCCAGTATCGCGTTAACACTTTCTGTGAAATCTAGCAAGTTCAATAATAGTATGCCACCTATAGACGTTTTTCACAAAGGCGCCGCCATCTTGAATTGTCACTTTCAGTATGGGCGAAAACATGTTTTGCTCTCGCCATGCAAATAGAATGCATTTAGGATGCGAGCATAACCGTCACCCATTGTCGTGTTGCCTCCCCTCTATTTTTTTTACCATTTGCAGGTTGAAATGATTGATCATTTTTTCATTGCCCACACCGTATATGCCCACCAGGTGGCTGGGGACGAGAGTAAACAAAAGAGGTCTATACACCACTTGCTCTAGGCACGTGGTCATTATTCACCAAATAAAACCTCCCCGCCAAACTTGGCCACTCAGCCACCTCACGACGATCGGACTCCGCCCATCGGCCGGTGTTACGTGCCCCGTACAGCTCTTGCCATAACACAGGACTGCACTGAAGTTCGTCCCTAGTCTTGTCGATTTCAAAGTACCACCCACCTCTAGGGCGGCCCTCTGCACCACGACGTTGTGGTGGAAGAAGAAGTCCGGCAGCACGTCAAAGATGGAGGTCTCGGAGAGGATGAGCTTCTGCAGGTTCTCGGGGCAGAAGTCGTGGCCGTACATGTCGATGGCAGACAGGAAGATGGACTCCATCTGGTTGTGGCGCAGCTCCCAGGCCGGCTGGTGCGTTGCTATCAGCACCTGCGTCGCCACGGATGACGGGTGCTCCTCGAGCGGTCTGGCTCCCACACTTGCGTCACAGTCTTCGACGAGCATGCATGGCGTCCTTACCGCGCACGCATTAAAAGTGGTCCCCGAGCAGTAATAAATGATGTTGTGGAAGCCAGCATGTTACACCGTTGGTGTAACATGCCGGCTTCTTCGACCAACTTGGCAAATTAAAGCGTGCCTCGATTTTATTTGATGAACTCCGAGAGGCACGAAATGCGCAGAACGAGTTGTGAAAGAGCGGGGCACATGCTGCGTGTCCTGTTGCGCGACGTCGATAGCTACCGTAACGTCGCAGTATCACATGACGCCACGATTTTTCACTAAATTTGTGTACGCACTCGGCCTACGTGTCGCTCGAGCTAGACGGCAGAGCGTGACACATCCTTTTGTCACGAAAGTCGGCTCTACAAAACATTTCAGGTTAAAAGTATGAGAGAAAGCAAGTGTCGCTGTCGTTGCAGTGTCCCAACTCGCGGCTGGCAAAGCTTCTGTGGACCATCCAGTCGAGAGCAAGTTAGAGCAGAACAGGCACTTGCTACCGTAGGCTCGCGATAATTCAAACTCTGATATTTCGTACTTCCAATTAATTCAAGCTAATTTCAACATTTCCGTTGTGGTCCCGCCACGTTTTTAATGTCTTCATATTAATTCAAACAACGTTCTCGTGTACTTCATACTTTTTCTTCTCGCGGCCCCATTGAGTGCGTTTCTTTCCAAGGACCGGTGCACTAAAGAGAGGCAACACCCGCAGAGCTTGCTTCTGGGGGTGTTGCTTCTTCACAGTGCACTGGTGCTCGGCGAGAAGCGCACTCGACAGTTCTCAAGTGTGCCCACGTAGGCTCATGGGCACCATGCCTAAACTTCCATACCAACTTGCGCAGATGCTGTGATGTGGCAGCATGGTGTAGGTCCATGTTACAGCGCCCGCGCAAGTTGCTGTGAAAGCTGCCGTGTGGTGCCCATTTTCACTGCTCGTGTGTCCCCTACTTAATAGTTCACATTAGACAACTTCTTGGCCCAATGAACAAACTTAATTTTGGGGTGAGTTGTCATATGGTGTCTAACAATAAACAACATTTTTGAGGGATAAAATGAACTTGTGTCATAAATTTCACAAATGTTTTTTGTGTGGCATACCTGCTTATGATCTGTAGGTCCATACAGAGGAAATCATAAAATATCTACTATGTCATAATCATAATTTTATCTGGCAACATATTTAGATAAAGTTTTGATAAATCAAACTTTGTGGCTTCCCAGAGTTTGAATTAATGTAAGTCTACTGTATATCCACCTCTACTGCTGTGCTGCCGCAAGGACCACGACAAGTGACGGCACGACACTTCCATTACGTGGTGGGGCGGAAATCGAGACCACATTCGAGGACACATAAACACACCAGTCAGAGGCGCGCACCGCAGCGACGTCTCCGGCTTCCGACCGCTTACAAACCACCCCGAGGGACGCAAGACGGAACTTGCCTGCCTGGCCCTCAGTGCCACCTTGGCGTTGTCGGTCTTGCTCAGGGTGGTCAGCTCGTTCAGGATGCTGGAGAGCTCGTCCGTCAGGCCCGGTTCGTGACCGCACAGGTGGTCCTGGGCGACGCAGTACCAACTGTCGGCTCCGTCGCACAATTCCGAGCGAGAACTCGCGCAAAAATTCCTCGTAGCTAGAGCCGCTAAAAAGCTACTATGCTCCAGACTAAACACACTTCAGCCACCATACTGCTCAAGATCGTTGTTGCAAGTCATTTGAAGCCCTACCAGAAATGGCAGGAAACGCTCTTCCGTACTCCGGAAGTGTTACGACGGCCTGTGACAAAGCAAAACGCTATTGATTGAGCATCCAGACACTGTGCCTCAAGCTCGAAGAGTCGCATTTTCTAATTGTAACTATCACCAACTGCGCCCACGCTGCACTGTAGCGCGCCAAATATACGTCGCCACATAGCGGCCGCAGCGGCATCCTCGATAGCAGAATACACTCGACTCTCGTTAATTCAAAATCTCTTAATTCAAACTTTCGGATAATTCAAACTAACGTGCAGGTCCCATCCTATGCGTCTCTATGGGAAGAAACTCCTGATAATTCAAACTTTGCTTTATTCAAACAAATTTTCGGCCCCCCTCGAGTTTGAATTATAATGAGAGTCGACTGTATTTGTGCATCTCGGAGGAACATTGGCTAGCAGTTATGGGGGCGCGAGAGGAGCTTCTGGCGCCATTTGGCATCTGGTTAAAAGGTACGCACCGACACGTGCGTCGCACGAGCGTGCTCTCGTAGGCGCTCCAGTGGAGCCCGGAAGGTTGGCCGCCTTGCCGCACTTACAATGAGTTTGATGATGAGCAGGTTCTTCTTGGCCACCTGGAGGTGGGAGAAGATCTTGTGCATGACGGCAGACATGTTGTCCTTGTGCTTCTCCCGCAGCAGGGTCACGCACTTGTCATAGTGTCCTGCGGGACAAAACGTTCCTCGCCATCAGACGCCGCGGCGGGCCACGCGCGCCGAACGAGACGTGGCATGGGATGCAATGCTGGTTGTGCCTTGCCAACAACAGCCGACGGAAGAGGAAGAGTGTCGACAAAGGGAATCTCAAACTGGTCTCAACATCTATGCAACAGAGAGACCTTTCCCAATGTTGATGCAATAAAGTGCCAGAGAGGCCTGTAAATCTTGTAAACAACAGCACACCCAGTAGGGAGTTCTTGGCCCATAGTTAAGCACCATCGAACGGCTCGGTTTCTTTTTAAATAATGCTCAAACCGGAAGAACACTTTACTTGGGGGCAGGGACAACCGGTGGAATTTGGGAGTCCGGGGAACCCCTGGCGGTACTCTGGGGAAGTTCCTGGAAACTCATATCGAGAAGCCAAGAATAATGGGAAAAAACAGTTTCCCGTTTCTTCCCTGCCGAGAGACCCACAAGACTCGCTGCTGAGGAGCAGGGAAGACTCACGATTATGAGATGTTAACGTGAATTGCTTGGGAACAACGGGACCAAATACAGAAGGTGATTGAACTAAAAACACTAATAATAAAAGCCCTACTACAGCATGGCATACCAGCCTCATTCTGTGCAATCTCTACTGCCGGACACATTTTAAGGACTACAAACTAGAAAAACTTTCAGCCTTTCCACTCTGGTGAAGAAGGAAGACCATTGAAGCTGTACTATGATGGGACGACCTTAAGGACGCCGCCTAGAGGATGACGTCCAGACGACCTCAAGGACAACTTCTAGGACAACCTCAAGGATGACTTCTAGGACGACCTCAAGGACAACCTCAAAGACGACCTCTAGGATGACTTCAAGGACGACATCTAAAACGACGCCTAGAGAAATTCAGCCTTTCCACTCTGGTGAAAACCAAAGTCGAAAGGCTGGAAAGGTAGCTGCCATCTATGAGCAAGGCCGGCAAGCTGGTTGTCTGGTTGCCGCCTTCGCTTATTAGATGGCGGTAGCTGTCCAGAGTTTTGTGTCGACATTTCTTTGCAGGGGACACAATCCTCTGGGAACTAGCCCTTAACAGCTCCGCTGTAAAAATATGGCAGAGAAACAAGTAGCCGTACGATGAGGCACACTGACCTCTCATCACCATTTTGTTTGAGAGAATGTTCCGAGACAATATGTTTAAACAATTATTCTTGCAACGAAAAGTAAAATGGACAGGGCATGTAGGAACTAACCACAAAGCCACAGAAGACCGACAAGAATGGCGATCGGTAGGCAAGACACCGACATAGACACGAGAGGGGGGTTGTAGGAAAGTGAAAGCCCGAGTGAAAATTCATCCAGCTAGAAGCGAATTGTGAAACTGGTCCCAGTTAGATTCAGTCAAATGGAGACAAACATTAATTTCAATTCTTTTCAAAAAAAAAAGAAAAAAAAAATACTTTTTTAATTTTTTGGGTTTTTTGGTTTTAGAAACTAATTATACACCCTTACACTAAATTTGATAACTATATGCCAAATAGTTACGTTGATATAAAATGTTTTCAACGCATTGTGAGGCAGTAACAAAGTAAAGGAGTTCAATGTTCAAATGCATTTTTCTCAGCTCACTTTTTGCTGCAAATTTCAGACGAAGGAATTTTTTGTTTGAAGGTAGACGTATTTTGATACAGTAAAACCTCGTTATAACAAAGTTGAAGGAGCGGTCGTAATTATTTCGTTATAACCATTAGTTTGTTATAGCCAATGTCGATTTCTTCCCACTATTAGCAAGCAAGGGGAATTACGATTGCTTTGTTATATCCATTACTTTGTTATATCCCATTTTGTTATAACGAGGTTTTACTATACCACAATCAAGAGGTTTCTGAACTGAAATTTACTGGGGAATCGGGCTATCTACTTTATTTTGTTTTAAGTTGAAGTCCTCCCAGAGAAAAAAACTGTTTTCAAAAATTGAGGTAGGACAGACATCAGTGATGTGATTGGCCTAAGCCATTTTGGAGCACCTTTCGGAGCAGCCAAAACAGTGTTTTGGAGCAGCAAAAGTGGCTTTCGGAGCAGCTAAAACAGTGTTTCGGAGCAGATACTCTTAGAAAAATACAAATATTTGTTTTAGGTGCTGGACAAACGAAGGACACTTTGCTCACCGAAATAGGCGAATTATGGTCAAGTTCGACCACCTAGGAGTCTTTTGCATTTTTTGCAAGACTCCTAGGTGGTTTTTGCACACATTTTGCAATGCTTCACTTAAATTATACATATATATGTACCCACTATAGATAGGTAAGAAGCAAACTTCACATATTAAAATTTATTTGAAAACCAAACTTCACATATTAAAATTTATTTGAAAATGACCAGTAGTAAATATCACAGCATTAGGTTGACTGGTGATATAATGAATGGAAGCAGTCTCAGACTGGTGAAACACATATATATATAGCTATTGCAGTGCAATGTGAAATTGCACACAAGAAAAAGGTGTATTACAACAAGGGGGTACTTTTTGCTTTTCGAAACTTTCTGGAAAGCTGCTGCAAGCTTCGCTTTAGCTTAGGCTAAAAAATAATGTCCACTTTCAATGTCCCCCAAAAGACATTGAGACACCTTACAAGTTTACAGTGCTGTACGTGTTGCCAAGCAATTCTGAAAAACCGCTTGCCACCGTTTTACTGATTCCCGACGTGCCAGATTTTCGTCAAAAGTAAACGTAAAACAGTGGATTGCAAGCGTCCCGGCTGGTGCCTCTGTCGTGCAATCATGTTTCCATGCACGTCAGGGCAACTTCGGCAGGCTTGCAGCTGCACGTGCTTCGTCGCGCGAGCGGAGACAGCTGTTCGATCGAAACCAAAACCATGCCTCTCCACTCTGTCGCCAACTGGTTTCCAAAAATGTATGCAAAATCTAACTGCCCAGCATGCGGCAATAAACAGTTCAGAGGCGCGTGCTTGCAAGGCCGGCAGGCGAGGTACAAGCTAAACACACAGAAAAAAAGAACCTGAGCGCATTGATGCAGGACATCGCGAGTCAGGGTCAAAACGTTCTTGGAGTGCTTTGTGTAACGACTGAACTCGAGACAAACAAGCGCGATGTGCGGGTTCAGCATGCAGATATTGCCTTCTTTGCTTTAGCTCGCGTCTCTTCACCACTTTCTTTCGCGACAGATTTTTCATGTACTCGGTCCCTCTCGAAAGAAAGCCAACCAAGAGAAACCTAGGTAATCAATACTTCCACACAGCAGTCTTTGAGTTAAAAAGGGATCTTCGTAGTAGCGTATGTTTTAAACAAGAACAGGAATGTTGATGAACATGCGGCGGTCCTTATGTTTCAGTTTAGGAAGGTCCATATCTGTAGCGACGTGCGGCCTGGCCGGCAGGGACCAAATAGTTTTCCCACGGCAGTTGCTTTCAGAAGCGAGTGCTTCAGCTGAAAAAGTAACTCCTGCCGCGCAAAAATGTAATTTCGTTAAAAAAAAAAAAAGAAATGCGAGATTAGATTTACGATTCAATGAGAGCGCGAAAGAAGAGACGGCGGGAAAAACCATGCCAGACCGGATGGATGATTAATGTAACTAAAGCAAGGGTGCAGGTGAGCTGGTTCAATACTGACATTGGAGTTTTGTGCCTGTCCTACGTCCCTTCTTTTCCCCGGCTCCAGGGTTACAATGCCACGATTGATGCAGGGTACTTTGTGTGGGTGGCCGCCTGTGCCACTTAGCTCACGCATGCTTAATTACAGTACTCAGTTTAGTTTCGGTTTTGAAAAGCGACCAAAACTGGTCCTTTGGTGCAGGCTTGGCGCAGATTACCCATATTTTGGCAAAATGTAGCAGGATGTAGCAGGGTTAGCCCCTTGGCGCAGCTTGGCGCAATTGGCGCAGCAATCACACCACTGGACATGCACCTCATATTTTGAGGTAACGACTTCCTGAAATATTTACATTTGAGTTATAAAAACTGGATAGCCCAAAGTCCCACGTCCCCCACTTTATATTCAAGCAGTCCAAATGGTGCTGAATAGGTTCAATTACATATCATAAATTTCTTAACGAAGAGTGACACATCTTCTTATGCAGGTATGTAAAATTGTCCTAGGGTGCTGAAAGTTTGCACAACACACATACATCTTATCTTAAATCTCCCCAGCAAATTTCATTCCAATCACCTGAGTAGTTCACAAGTTACATCTCTAGCCAGTGTACCCCCTTAAATGTATGACTTCTATAGAGCCAGCTCTTCGGGTTTTTGCGTCCTCGGATGTGCAGTCTAAGCTTGTTATAACAGACCTTGATTTTGACCAAGATTTTGGTCTGTTGTAAAAGGAGTATGTTGTATACAGATATGAAGTTGAGTCAATGGTATGTAGGGGAAAGCCAACCGAACTTCACAAATCGGTATGTTATATCCAAATGTTTGTTGCAACCAGGTCTGTTGTAATGAGCTTAGACTGCAGCCTCGGTAATGTTTGTGTCGTGCGACACTAATGTCGTCCCAAAGGCACTCTAAATGTATGGCATTCACAAGTCCTCCACGCTACATTATTGCCGCGTGCATGGCCAAGTTGGCATAGCGCACGGCTCCCAGAGTGAAGGCACAGGGTTCAAATCCCCCCAGCCTATCTTTCGCAGCTCTTCTAGAATGTTCTGGTAGCATTTTGTAATGTATCGCTTGTTCCTGTTCAGAGTGTTCTTGGCTACTTAGTCTGTATAAAAGAAGCCGGCAACATTGGGTCAGTCGCTCTTTCCTTGCTGTCGTACAACATACATTCTTTTCCGTTTAAGTTTATAGGCGCGAGTTCACCTGATTAAACATTTATTTTCAGTTTTATATTCATTTATCATTTTCCACCCGCGACATTAGGACATTGCAGGGTAACATAGCCACAAATATTTTTTTGAGAGGGGTGAAGTGCCTGGGATGTTCATGACTTAGGGTGCGAGGAAAGAAGGGAAGGGGTCAAAGTGCTTGTGTATATCAGTATAGGGTTGGCTGGATTTCGGGGGAGAGGGGGGGGGGGGGGGGGGGAGGGAGAATTGAAGCATTGTAAGCCACCCCCAGTGATGGAAGCGGCATTTGACCCTTTGGAGGAGGTTCTGTAGCAGGCAAAATATTCGTTTGGAGCAGCCACTGACGCTTTTGGAGCAGATAAACACATCTGTTAACATATCACTTGAAAATTAAAAAAAAAAAAAAAAAATTAATTGCATTACTAAACGAGTTTATATTTGACAATGACTAAAGGTTTGTCTTTGATACCGGAGCATATTACTATTACCTTTTGTAACAAGAACCAATAGGGCACAAAAGGTACATAGAGCTTTCCTTTTAGAAATAAGGCTCTGTTCAGAGTAGGTTCCATTTACAATCGGTACTAATCAAATTGATGAGAAATGAATCACTCTTCAGTTAGGATAAAGCCTCCCTCCCCTCTCACTTTTACACCCAGTAGTTTATTTAGCCTGTATGTATTGTTAAAAGCAACATAATCACTAACACGTCTATCAGTAAAAATGCGCCTCCCAAATTTGATCGTTACCAAACTCAAAACTTTAATTTTATAAACTAAAAAAAAAAAAAAAACAGCATTTGAAAACAAGATTATATAACTGAGATCAAAGAATGTAAATCTGCAATAGTACTGAGCATATTTTACATTATATCGTGCTAAACCAGACGCTCGCCCATGCCAGCAGCTTTTCCGAACACTCCGGGGCAAGGCGGTGAAGCTCGACGCGCGAGGGCTGGTGAGAGGCGCCATGGAGGCAGACATAATAATCAACTGATCTCACCAGGAGTACAGGACCGCCATCCTACTGTGTATTTTGCAATGCTCTGTCACGACTTTTGGCTTCTAACATCGCCGACATAGTCTGAAATATTAGAGGATGTCGGTGATCAAGCCGTTGGCGCATCAACCGGCCTACGTGGTGGTCGAGCAATCTTAAAGCTTCGTTTCACCTTAATTGAAAGCGCAGCCGACGCCACGAGCCAATGGGATCAACCAAACAAGGTCAAAGCGCGCCATCGAGGCACCCGACCATCTTACTATGAGTTCTTCCATAGACTAAACCAATCAAATACGGCGAATGTCCCATGACTTGCACTGTTACTGCGTGTTCGCGTTGTATACGTTCGAGCCTTCGACTGAGCTCTGACCTTAGATGAAACGCCGCATACGATGAGTAGAGACGCTGTGAAATACATACTTCTACCGTTTTTCTTTCTGTCTACTTCTTTGAATATTAAAGTCAACTAATAAAACAATATATCAATTTTCTTTTTGCCCATCTCGACGCAGGTGTGGCGCAATTCTTAGCCAAAATGGCACTTTGGCGCAAGGTGTAGCAGACTTTCGCTCAAGGCGCAATTTGGCGCAAATGGCGCAGCACTTCCATCACTGCACCCCCGGCTATGCCACTGATCACAGGACACTGTGACATCAGACGACACCATAACGAGGCATTGTGAAGTCCACATCTCCTCTCTGCCGTTTTCGTCGGTGACTAAAAGCGGGAGGCCGGGAAGTGGTCACCCACCCTGCTGGAAGTCTGTCTCCACGGCCAGGTACTGCTTGAGCAGCTCCTGCACCACGTTCTTCATGCGTCCCCTGATGCCGTTGCGGTAGCGCTGCACCAGCTGCACTATGCCCTGGGTCGTCATGAAGAAGACGTCCCGGTCCGCCCGCTTCTGCAGCGTCGCCGCATAGCTGTCGATCACGCTCGCTATCTGCGTGTTGTCAAGGAGGGAGAGTGTTCAGCTAGACATCAAACTGGGGGGAAGAAAGAGAGAGTCGGCGAGAAAACAGCATGACCCGTTCGTATAAATAACCACGCTACACGTGGGGGATGTGGAACAAAGCGAACGAAGCCAAATATGACACTGTCTACCGAACTGTCACGTTACCTCGGTCGTAAGTTTACTGCACAATCCCGCAGACGCTACTAGCTTTTAATAGACAAAGTATGTACGTTTACTTTCCTCGAGTGGCTAACGAGGCGAGAACGACAAAGAGGAGCTTCGATTGTCTCGCCTCACGAATCACTGCCATTTACGGAGAGGGGCCGGTGATTGGTGAGCCACCGAGGACAATTAATGGGGGACGGCTCGCATTTCCCCACAATGCGACGAAATCCCTCGGGCGACCCGCCGGTCCCTCACCTGTTGGCTGGGGAACTGTGCCAGGACCGAGGTGATGTTCTTGTCGTACATCTTCATCAGCTGCCGGATGCTGTTCTCAACGGCGGGCTGGATGCGGCCAGATATGGACGAAATGATGTCCTGGAAACGCGGGTGGCTCGTTTTATTTATTCGTTTATAGCCTTACCAATACAATATGTTTAATTTGTGGCGAGGTAGGTGCGAACGATCAAAAACATAGAAAATTTAAAAAATGCCAAATGCCAAAATACGAGAAACGAGAGGTGGCACAACGGATCTTTGCACCTAAAAGTGTGTCCAGACATACCATTGGAAACATATACATGAAACTCAACATACAGACATCGATTAAACAAAAAAGATATATATTTAAATTGCACAGAAAGCAAAAGAAAGACAAACAGAGGAACATAAAAGAACGTAGTGCTAGTCCCGTCTTTTTCACACCCTTGTCTGCCTTTTGCACTTTTTATGTTTAATGTGCTTAACCAACTAGCCCTCCTTAATACTTCAGAGATAATAGCCATGTCCCCGCCCTAAAAACCAAACCCAAGAAGGAATGCTCGCGACGTCCGAACGAAAAGCGGTTCAATAAAACCGTCGACGAGATGTAGCCCCTACAATTGCGAGCGGCAGAAAAAAAGGGCCGTCCAACCTTGAGCTCCATGAGGGGTAGGGTGGGGTCCCTCAGGGTCCGCATGAAGGTGTCCAGTGTGGAGCTCAGGTGAGGCTGAACAGAAAAGAAGATGGCACGCTTCAGCAAGGAGCACTACGGACGTTCCGCATCCCAAGCTCTTTTGTTTGCAGTTGAAAAGCGTGCTATACGCACTCTCTTTCGTACCACACCAACAGACAAGGACGTGGAATTGACGCCTCATCGGCACCACACCAAATGGCGCTTCTACGCCTCGAAATAACGCCGACAAGTGCCACTGGTTAGCGACGCTGGTAGCATATGCTGGTGACCGTTGGGCAGACAGACAGAGGACAGGAGACAAATTTCCGAGGTTCAGTTCCATTAGAATGCACTTCGTGCGTTAAAAAATGGATCTAAGTTTCACATCCCCTCTCGTCCAAAGAGAGAGCTCGATTGATCCGATCTAGAAGACAAGGCCCGCGTCCCACCTGGAAGTAGGGGTCCGGCAGGGCGTAGCCCTCGAGCACGTTCTCGAGCATCTGCCTGGCGGCCACGAACTGCTGGTTGAGCTTGTCGCCCCCCTGGTAGTCCTCCCCCTCCGCCTGGGGGAAGGTTCCCTCGAAAGGCTGGGCCTTGTTCACTCGTGAAGGGTCGTCCAGCTCCAGTCGGGCCAGCTCACAGCCAGCCTCCAGGACGGCGCCGGGGCGCTTCACAAAGTGCACGCTGAAAAATGGGGGACACCGACAATGATATGTGACGAGCACTTTCGAGGTATAGAATAAAGTAGCTGGTGGCGAGAGTAGACGGGTTAGGGGGCTAACTCTCGGCTACAGTCACCGAGGAGAACGCCAGGGAGCAGTTTGAGCTTCACACCTTCGACGATGCTATGGCGTCTTGCAAGCCTAGAACAAGCTTTATGAAGCCAAAGCATGGCAAAAGGCAATAAGTGCATGCCGATGGGCAGGGCCCTTGAATGAGATGCCCTACTGTTCTCAGCAAAAATCAGGACTGATTTTAAAGATGAAGAAAATCTGATCTACTTGATGTAAATCAGATTTATTTGATTTCAATCGCACACTAACTAAAAAATAAGGATTCTTTATTACGAGAGCATGGCAGAATAATTGACCAATGCAAGCGCTATTGCGGAAAAAAGAATTCTTGTAAATTTAAAGTAAATGTAAACCTGTTTAAAGTTAATGTAAGGTATAAAGTTCTATTTGCCTTCTCTTTCATGTTCTGATTTCCCTGTAATAGGATATTATTTTTCTTGTTTTAATATAAAAGTTGCATTAAACAGTAAAAGTTCGGCAAGTTACTCCAGATTTCGTGAAATCGGATTAAGCGAAGCCGGACTTTGTGAAGCCGTGGCCTGTAACGTCGTGTGGTTTCAATTTCCCGCCATATTTAGTGGTGAAATTTTTGTCACCTTAGCTGAACACCAATTCAGTTTCCCTGCTACATTTAGCGGAAAAAATATGTCACGTGACTTTGCGTCACGTGATCTACCCACAAATTCAGTTTCCCCGCTATATTTAGCGGGGAAATTGATGCCGTGCGAGTTATACATCAATACAGCTTCCCCGTCAAATTTAGCGGGAAATTTACATCGCGTGACACCGACTGCGTATCCCAGAGAGAGCCCACCAAAAATCAAGAGCAAATCGGGTGAAAATATGGAGTGGGCTACCTTTTGGTGTACAATGAAGAAAAGTTGAAAAATGCTATTTTTAGGTTATGGACCCTTCCAAGCTTGTTATTGTGGCTAAGGGCAACGAAGCAAAGGTGACCGTTACTTCCCAGTTGGCAACATTCGCTTATATCCCGCCAGAGCTAACTAGCTGCATTTACGCTTTCGGTGTTTAAAAAAATATAGCTAATTGAGCCAAAAATAGGGGTGGGCTATCTTTTGGGGGTGGGGCATCTCTCGGGATTTCACAGCATAAAAATATGTACGAAGAACCAAAGATTTATCTAGTCTAGAACCGCTCATGCAGAAACTGAAGCGCTTTAGACAAAGCTGCGAATCGACAAAACAGTGTGCATGCGCCCACGTCACAATGAGCACCCGTTCGCTACTAAAGGTTGCTTCACTTACTGATCGACAACATCTGCAACCACTTACGACAATAGAGCACAATGGCACACTGTGGCCATCTGTCGGGCAGTAGTGATAGACAGCCGTAGGAGATTGAACGAAGTCAGACTGAGCAAAGTCACTCAGACTTTGCTCGTGTTCGGTTGTTCACCGACCACCGGGATCGTGACAACCGACGGCGCGACGCCCCGACTTTTACGACGTCGTGTGCCGCAACGTCACGACCGCACTTTCGATTCACGGGCAACGTGTGGCAGTGAATGCCGGTCCACGACACACTTCGGGCGCAGTCTAAAATCCGGTTTATGGTCTTGACTCACCAACCGCTCTCCTCCACACTGAGGGTCATGACCATCTTCATGACCTCCACCTCGGCGTACGCCTGGCCGCACACCACGTGGGCCCCGTCCTCCACCAGGAACTGGAGCAGCTTGCCCGTCGAGGGAGACCTGGGGACCGCGGCACGAGCGCAAGGGCGTCAAGCGGGTACGACGCGAAGAGGACAAGCACGCACCCTACGTGGGCCGGTGAAACCTCTTTACGCAGCAAAATTTCCTTTGTACAGAGGGCAAGTTTTTCCGTTCCTCGCACAGTGATGTGTGCCATTTCGATGCCACTCGGCAAAGAGCGACCGTCGCCGCCGTGAACCGCTGTGGCACGCTTCAATACGAAATCAGAGTGAAGATTCAGTAAGAATGCAATTCTGCATTAAAAATTTTAGCAGGCAGAGGATGAGCCAGCAAGTTTGTTGCCAAATAGGCTGAATAACTGTGGGGAACCAAACGAAGGCAGTCAGCTCCCCCAAAACAAAACGGAGCACCCTCGCCCCCCCACCTGAGCACGGAGGGGTCCTTCTCCTTTTCAAAGATGCAGGTCTGGTTCCCGATGACCACACGGTAGCGGTCCACCTCCTCCTTCATGTAGGTTGTGTAGGAGGCGCCGTCTATGGACAGCAGGAGCCGGTCATCGCTTAGGCGGTGGGCCTCCACCTTCCGCCCGGACCCGTTCATGCACAGGAAGTATGTGGTGGGGCCGCACTGGGACACCTGCACGACGTGACCACGTGGCCGGAGGGTAAGGGAACTGGCCGTCTCCATGGTACTTTTCGAAGGCGTTCCGAATGCCTTTACGGCCCCTTCGCGCCCCTCCTTTTTGAGGGCACAGCAAGGAGGCCACTACAGGCCCCACTGCGAGGGTTTCGGAAACATGTAAGGTCAGACATAAGCCACAACGAGGCAAACTTTGACCCCAATAGACTACTTCCATAAAGCCCTGCATGCAACACGGCGCGCGTTGCACTCTGGGAACTAGTTGGCCAGGGAGGAGGGTGGCATGGTTTCGGTTTCGATCGACACGTCGACAAGAGATTGTTTTCTGGTCCCGAGAGCGTCATTTGTGGTCTCTAAACTAACCTAAATGGTCATACCTCGAAGCTTTAGCACAATCCCGAGACGTATAGCTTGTCTTAACACATGCTTGTTGTATTTTTGTACTTGAGCCTTCCTGTTAGCGTTCCAATCGAGGTATGTGGACGAGCCAGCGCTGGGAGTCTCGACGCTGCGAAGCTCGGGTGCTCGGGGATTTTGCTTGTGTACGAATCAACAAGCTGTAGCAAACAATATGTATGCATACATCGAGCTCGCGCCTTTACATTAGTGTTGTTGATCAGGAAGTTTGTTTACTTCGTGCGTCCATAGACGAAATATTACTCTTTGCAAATACTGTTTTTTTTAATGTGCCTGAGTATGCGAGGTAAAACTCGGAGGTGCCATTGAAAAGCTCAATTTTAACACACTTATCTCTTATCTGTACTGACCCGCAGCACTGCACGAAGTGAAGTCCCCACCCGCTTGCATTCCACTAATATTCAACATCGCGTATGCGCATAAAGTTATCCTGCTATCATATAGGCAAATTCGCGCATACAGACCGTTTTAAGAATGCAAAAGTCGAGCACTTGTGTGAAGAATGTCGCACCGTTCGCCGGAAGTGCGTCAGACGGGCATGAACCCCTATGCGCACCACATTGGGGTTCATGCCCGTCCGGCGCACGGTGCGACATATTCTTCACACAAGTGCTCGAACGAATTCTAAGCGCATTTGACGGTTGCTAATGGCCATAATATTTGTTATGTGTTTGCTTTCTTCCTGCCTGAGTATGCCGAGATAATTTCAGACACACCGTTCAGGCACAGATGTTGGGCGTCAGTAAAAGCTCGTCCAAAAAGGCTTAGCCAGGAGTAGGGGACGCGTGTTAGGGCCTCCGTCGTAGCTAGCCGATCTCAGCGTTTGCGAAAAGTTAATCTTCTATCAGCATAAAATTTGAGTGGGAGATATATAATGACACGAGGAAGACTTCATAGTAACTTTTTTGCAGTAGTGAGGTCGAATTTATTGCGTTTAAAAGTTCATGAGTAAACGCTGGCCTCAACTTTGATACCCTGTGAGGATGCGGCTTGCTTTTCGCCCAATGAAGTAACAAGAAGCGGACGTTTGGCAAACAAAATGCGTGTAAGGCTCCAGACGAACAAATTTCAGTTGTAGTTCACTGGTACTAGACGGGATTACTGACATTGAGCTCAAAGATACACTCGTGGGGTGAGGTGACTAAGCCACGACTTACTACGTTCGCATACGCACGCACAATATCCGGTGTTTCGGGAACCAAGGAAAGTGCCCCGGTCTTCGTTTTGTATCGCTCGAGAGTGAGTGTATTGTACGTTCGTGAAAAGTCAGATAATCGAAAACGCAAGCAGCGCGTTCGGTCGCGGCGTGATAGCATGAGATGAAGCTGCTCAGTCGAAACCGAAACTGAGTGGCCAACTAGTTCCCAGAGTGCACTGCGTGGTATTTCGCCGCGACGGGGCGCGTCGGTTTTGGAAGAAGTCCATTAGCTTTCCTTCTTACCTCCCCCTTCATGCTGCTCGGTCTGTGAGGGTCCAGTTTTGGGTTTAGTGGAGGATGGCTCATCACCCCGTGTGTTTAGAGAGAGTGGCTAGCTGTAGGAGTGACGACGTGCAAGGAGGGCGATTGTTTTCTCTCTTTCACAATGTTTTGTCCCTTCGTTGCATTTCCTATTTAAATGAAGCACATTTCAAGCCAAACAAACCTTTAGCTGTATTAGAGACTGAGTGTTTGTGTGGTTATTGCTTCGTGCAGTCTTGGGGTCGAGTTGTGTTAAGTAATCTCCGCCGGCTCATTTGTGCCCCAACTTTCTGTTCATACGAGGCCACCGTGTGACACCGTGATGCCGCAATGTTGTGTCGTGCGACGACTGTACACTGACGACGTCGTTAGTGCGACGCCAATGTTGAGTCCAGTTGCTGTGGACACAAAAGCGCCAACAGCTGGCCCTATAGACGCCCAGTCACTGCCAGGATAAGAATGACGGTGAAGATCTCCGGTCGTCCCACCTCCAGCACGATTTTCGTATCTTCGGTAACGCTTTAACGCCTCGCGAGCTTCGCGCGTGTTTATGCAGCCAAAGCGCAACGAAGGGCGCCGAGCATGTGCTGGAGCCCGAGCATTCAAGAGCAATGCTCTGCCGCTTTTATCCCGAACAATTAAGGGAGGACACTACCTAAAAAGGTCAACTTTTAATCTTTTGGCTCAATATGAATGAAAGTCACAGCTTATACTGGCAGTTGCAAGGAAGGATGCAGTGCAAAGCTTCATCTGTGTACATTAATTGTGAAAGAAATTATACATACAGTCGCCGACCGATTTTTCGGACTCTGATAATTTGGGCGTGTTTGATAAATCGGACCTAAAGGAGGAACCGTGACTTACCCCATAGAAATAGTCTATATTCACAACCAATGTTTCGGACAGCTTGAAGTCCGAAAGTTTGATTATTCGGACAAAATAGTCACGAGCGATCAGCGGGAAACACAACCGAGAAGTGGCCATTTTGAATTCTATGTTGGCTGCAAATGGATTAACTTGGTTTGGCAGTGCGACTTGAGTACTCCCGAGTCCTACCACTAGGCGATGCTATGCTAGTCCTTTTTTCCCATTTAGCTGCACGTCATCATCGTCATCATTATCATTTTGCTTTGTTTCCTTCCATCCCTTCGCGCCTCCGCCTCACTTTCGCGTTGCCAGTCGCCATTTTGCGCTCGTGGATTTGCGTCTCTCATCTCGTTCCTCACATCAGCAGAAAATGAGACTCTGACGAATTCGATGACGACTACCGCCCGCAGCCATTGACAACAGACATTACAAACGTATTAACATTGCTATTGAATGCGTACGACAAGAACACGATGCTTGCACAAATGCAAGCAGACATCATCGCGAGCAGGCATAAGATGAAGCAAGCTACTATTGACGGCTTTTTAAAGCCTGCTTAGGCGTAATAAAGGCAAGTTTTTTCATCTATTGAATTTTCTGACTGCTTAATTATTCGGACCATTTCGGGGGTCCTCTCCGAGTCCGAACAATCGGTCGGCGACTGTAGTCATTTTTATCAGGGACACAGATTGTTTAGGAAACCTATAGTTAGAAAACTAACGTAATACCAAACGTTTTTCTTCACTAGATACGCAGCAGAATGCCTGGAGAGTGCAACTGTGAAAACAAAATTGCCAAAAGTAATTCATATTATGCTAAAACCGCACTGAAAAATTAATATGTTTTTGCCTTTTATGTTGTCAACAAAATCTTAACATCTTCTAAGACAACTTCTAGGATGACCTCGACAACAACGTCTAGGACGACAACGTCTAGGACGACCTCGAGGACGACGTCTGGGACGACCTCGAGGATAACTTCTAGGACGACCTCGGGGACAACCTCTCGGCGACCTCAAAAACGACGTCTAGGACGACCTCAAGGACGACTTCTAGGATGACGCCTAGAGAAATTCAGCCTTTCCGCTCTAGTGACAGCCAGAGTGGAAAGGATGGAAAGGTTGCCGCCACCTGAGTGACAGGAGGTAGCTGTCCAGAGTTTTGTGTCGACATTTATATGGTGACGGACACGAAACTGGGGTAACTAGCCCTAAACAGCTTCACCGTAAAATATATTTTCCTGGGTTTTTAAGACATTTTAAAATAAATTTATGGTTCCCCAGTTTGACCAGACAGATCAAGTACCGTATTTACTCGAATGTAACGCGACCACGATTGTAACGCGAGGGGTGACTTTTCACAGCGCAAAAAGAACAAAAAAACACGAATGTAACGCGAGTTAAGTGAGGGGAAAAAAAGTACCTTAAAAAGTACTACAACGTGGTCCGCGGAAGCCTTTTCGGCCGGGTTCATACTTGAAAAGCACTTCACGCTGGAGCCTCCGCCCACGGATAGTCGATTCTGTCACATCTACCCGTCGAGCCGCGGCAGAGTTTCCGATTTGCTCAGCCATCATAATTGCACTTCTTTTAAAGCAGGCGTCGTACTGAGCTCGTCGCGTCGCCATTTGCTCGAGAATCCAGGCGCGGAAGCACGTAGCAGCAGCTCACAAAACACTGACAACACGGGCACATGGGTATGGTAACCCTAACAGAAAGAGAAAGCGTTGTGAAGGTAACCTGTAACCCTAACATGGGCGCAACGAGTCGCAAACAAGAATAGGATTGGATTGGCTGTTTCCAGCATGCATATGTTACCAGCACAAGATTGAAAGATCGAGAGATTTGTCGTAGCCATTTTAAAGAGCCTGTGCTGCGACACCGCCAAGGCAAATTTTGAGGCGTTTCGATTATAACGCGAATCCCCTAATTAGGTAAGGGAAATTTGAAAAAAAAAACTCTCGTTACATTTGAGTAAATACGGTAATGCATGAATTTTCGACGAGGTTGCAGGCACACGACAAAAATGTGAAACATTCCGACTCGCTTTGCCAGGCACAGGTATGCAGTCACTCATGTGCATACATTGCAGTACCACTAACGAAGAACGACCAGGTACTTCTGTTTCACATTTGCATCCCATCAAAACAGAGGTACAGAGGAGGAAAGTTGCAAGTTACTGACCTGGACGGTGTACTTGATGCTCTCATTGATGAGGTCGACCGTCAGTGAATTCGTCAGTGTCGTGGCTGGAAGAATTTGACCCCTGCGAGGCATTGCGGTGCATTATCGTCTGAACCAGGGTTTCAGCCCCGCCCACTCTAACGCAGTGCAGATGAAAGTTTAGAATACATACATTCCCGAGAAGGAGACGAAACAAGAAGGCTAAGCAAATTTTGTGCTATCATTGAAAACCCTTGTGCCTCCTCAAACGCACGCTTTAGGGACGAGAAACTGTACGACACTGACATATTTCTTTGTGTCAAGCAGCTATAAAAATTCCCTCGAGGTTTGTAAACGAGTAAACAAACGAGAGAAATCGCCGAGCCGGATCATTTTGAGAAGAGGCCGAACAATTCTGCAGAGAAGCACAAAAGCTCGTTAAATGTTTTGCAGAAAAGTTCCTCACTTTTCGAGGCAGGTCTGGAAGTTGCGGAAATTCTCACAGATGGTCCTGTGTGCCACGTGCAGTGCCCCGCAGATCACTGACAACATAGTGTCTGGCTTTCCGGACTGAAAAATAAAAAAACACACACACAGAACTTAAGATTCTCGGCAACGAAGGAACGCTCAAAGAGAAGACGAGACCGAGCGCCAAACGATAGTCGCACGCTGCCCGGAAATAAAACAAAAAAAAGTAGTTTACTTTTTTTTTTTTTTTGTGATGCACATGTTTTGTCCAGGCACTTTAATTAAAAGCGCAAGTTAAAATTGGTTCTCTTTTTTACCTTTTTCTGAGGCGTTCCAAATGCATACCATTTACGACGACTTTGCTCACGTCCGCCGAAACCACAGTCAGTCGCACGGATGACGTGCCACACCAAACAGACTGTCCGGGAACTGGCATTCGCCGGACCTTTTACGAGCACCCCTGGGGTCGCGACGCCCGACGGCATGACACTCCGGCTTTCCAGACATCGCTCGTTGTCAGTTCGGGACCGCTTTCAAAGTACGAGCGGGATGGGATGCTGATCAAACCAGCCAGAGACGCGTTACGGGTACCGTACTCGAACCGCCGGTTGGCCGCCATGCAACGGCAATCAGCTTCCCGTCACCAGCGGGCCCGGCGCTCTCGTTTCGCAGCCGCGCCTCCTCCTCTCTTTTCGCGCTGTTGTGTCTGCCATCGTCGCTCCTACGCCACTTTGGCGGCACCTCGCGAACGAGAGCCTCCGTGACACGTGCAGTCTGCTTTGCGCCGCCGAGCGTGCGCTGACGAGAGTCCCCATTCAAAGAGCGGTGGCCAAATCGGCAACACTCCGCACTGCACGCTCTACCGAGGCTATGCCCCAGGCTCCGGCACGAAAGCACCACGCGTATCAGGAATCTTTTCTTTTCGTTCAGTGTCCCGTCAATGCCGGGCGGGCCTCCTGACCTGAACCCTCTCAGCGATGAGCTTGTCCAGCCAGCCGGTGTCGAAGGAGTTGTTGAGGAAGGCCTCCGTCTCCAGGAGGGTGATCAGGTACTCCACCGTGGTGCGGAAGTCGCCCCGGATCGACAGCTCCTTCAGGGCCAGCACCAGGTTCCTGGACGGACGTGGCGAGGAAACGGTGAGCGGGAGGGACCGTTTTTTGCAACAAACACAAAAGGGCACGAGCCTCGTAAATGCTGCCAGCAGAAATCGGACGTCCGCCAGAAATTAAACGGGCGATTTTCGGGACCACAACGGCTCCCATATGGCACTTCCCACATGCAGAATCTGCCAAAAAATGTGTAGCAAAGGCAAAATGCACGAGGCTTTTAATTTGTAACGTGCTTGCTTTGCGCGAGTTAAAGAGAAGTTGAGGAACCTTCGACGTACTCGAATCTGCACAGACGTTTCAAGCGCAACGTTCGCAATCTTAACACCTCAGTGCAGGTTGCACCCTCGAGTCCGGACATTACTCGCGCCTCGTCGTAGGCTGGTCCCCTTCCGCAACTCGCAACGGTTGCGTGCACACGTGCCGTGCGGCAAAGTAGGCGCGTGGGTATCGTTCGACGGATGAGCGTCGCTTAGAATCGAAGAAACGGGTGTCCCCGGAACGTACCGTGGCAATGCGAGCGACAAGAAAGTGACATCGTCGGATAAATTTAGCAAGACGCCAAAATGGGCCACACGCTTGCACGGCCGGTGCCACCACGGGTCACGTCGCACCGGGAAATGCCAGGTCACGCGACGTTAAATGAAACGTCGCACCGCCACGTCACGTGACTTGCGACGTGAAGTCGCGGTGTTGCACAACAATCTCGACTCGACATTGCGACGTTGCGCTGCCCAAACATGTCCCCAGCACATTCCGCACACGGGACGTTAGAGCAACAGATCAAAAGAGCGCCTTACTTTTCTCCCCCCTTTCTCGTTAGTCTAACGGACCAATCTCGCCGTGCGTTTCACACAAACGCAACGCCACCATAACTGTAATCCACGAGAGACAGGCGGCAATACACGAGACAGCTCGTGCCGTCTCGTGCACACCCTCAGAAGGGACGTCGCACGTTACGAAAGACTACAGTTCCCACGATGCATGGCAACGGTGGCAGGGCAACGAAACCGGCCAGCGAGATCGGCGTGCTGGGTCAGGTGCCCTTCCTGCCGGCGCTCTCGACACAAGCCCTCGACGACGACGGGCGAGGCGGCAGCGCGGAGACTCACTCTCGGGCTTCCTCGCGGTCCTCTCCCCACGAGAAGCAGTGGCCGAACTGGGAGTCGGCGAACTCGTGCAGGCCCCCCGAGGCCCCCACGCTGAAGTAGCCCCAGACGTTCTTGTTGCTGCGGAAGTTGAGCTCCTGCACCGTGCCCGCGCTCGGCTTGAAGCCCTCGTCGGGGTTCTCCGAGGTGATGCGGGCCGAGATCACGTGCCCCAGGGGCCGGGGCCGCTGCACGGGCACGTCGAAGTCGATGGGCGAGTCCCCCCAGGGGGACTCCCCGTAGAGCAGGCGGATGTCCTTGATGCGGTGAAGGGGCAATCCCATCGCTATCTGCACGGGGGGAGGAAAGGAGACGACGGGAGCGGACACAGTGTCGGTTTAAAAGAAAACGAAACAATTTCGGCATCCTCTTAAAAGTGTAAGGGTGTGGCAAAAGAGTTGTTCGAGAGAAAGGGACCATAAAGCAATATATTCTTCCGCTTGGCTGTCTAAAGTTGCCGGCAGAACAAAAACAACAGATGTCTTTAAATGATTTTGAAAAAACAGTCAGAAAAAAATTACGAAGGACGGAGTGCTGACTGTCGACTGTTTATTTCCAAGGTAACGCCCGTCGGCGCAGTCACATTGATAAAAAAGCACATCAAATCGAATGATTGTCGCATGTTAAAGCTGCTTAACAACGCAGGCTCACGTTCACAAAGAGCGACCAAAGGTGCACTGATCTCTCGATTCTTTGAAATAAAAGAAAGGTAACCGAGGCCTTTTTTATTTCTAACAATCAAAAGGTCAGTGTGCCCTCAGTGACTCTTTACAACCGTGAGCTTAAATTTTTAAACAGGTTTGACTTGTGATGGTCGTGCAATTTTTTTTTTTTTTTTTTTGTTAGGCGTGATTGCACTAACAAGCGTTGCTTCCTAAATAAAGTCCACAGTCGGCGCTTTGTTTGTGCACTCATCTCCGTCATTCATAGTTTTTGTCGCTCCGTTTTTTCGTAATAGTGTTTATCCAACTCGCCCAACTTTCCACTGTTATGAGTCTTCAGAATGCCTGGCTTCCAGCGCACACACACATTGCCTTCCGCAGTCCGGCTGCACATCTACGCTCAAACTCGTGAGACGACGAAGCTTTATAGAAGGTGTGAGGTTTGCCGTGAAGGCGGGTAAACTGAAAATCCCTCCCTGCTGTTTTTATTCTGTCGGGGAATACAGTGAACAAATTGAATGCTCTACATCACAAGGCACAAAACAGGAATAGGCACACTTTATCGAGGGAAAAGGGTCGCTCGAGAGGGTTTGGAACCACGAGGAAGCTTAGGGAGTAGCCTGGGGCATTCCTGGGAGCGCAGTTTAAGAATGTATGGTCCATCTCGCTGGCTGGAAACAAACTCTTAAGATTCCCACAGCACGAACCAAGTACCTTTTCTTCGCAGCTACCTTTCTTCTATCCCTCAAATGAACAGTTTTGCTTCTTACTGAAACAAAAAAGAAATATTGTCTGATGGCAATCTGCTCAGTTAGACTCCCAGGAAATAAGTTAAATAGAATAAAGCTTTGCTTTTAAACGGAAGCTGAAACATTTCTTTCAAAAAAAATGAGATAGTGGTTGATTCTAGCATAGTTTCATCCCGTGAATCTGAATATCAGATCCGTCTTCCCTGAAGATGTAACTAAGAGCAAGAAAAAACAAAAAACCTCCGACCAGTCGCGACGTCATAAGGTCATGAGAGGATCTTCGGCCACCAAGCGCGTGTCGCTTGAAGGCTGCGCGTGCAGTCGCAAGCTTCCCAGGTATATTCCCCCACACTGGCACAAGTTGCGACATCTTTTTCTGCAGTTTTTAAAAATAGCCGAGTGCACGTGCATAGCTTTGATAGGCGCTGAAGATGCGCGAAAGTGGAGATTCCAAAAACCCCTTTTGTGACGTCACGCTCCGGGAAGGAGGGCCTTCGGCGGTACTTTGAAAATGATTTAACAAAACCTCCGTGCACCAATTAAAAAAGAAAAAGAAATTCAGTATTTCAGATTTTGGAGGTTAAATGAAGATGATTTAAGTATGTTTCTTCAAATACAAAACCGCTTCAGCTTGCCTTTAAGAGTGGAAGCGATACCTAAACATGTAAACTCCCGCTCGTTCCCAAGCCATGGAAGCGTCTCTGCGTGGCCCAGTCAGTGACATGTCTCTCTCGCAACCGAGGAATCACGGGTTTGAATCCCACCTAAAATTCTTCTAATTTATTCTTTAAGGCAAATTAATTACTTTATGAAGCAAAATTATTTCAGACATGCGGCAACCTTTAATTCACATTACAAGTTTTGTAACCACTATCAATTTATGTTCAACGTCACATTTCACGTGAGCATTGTGGGTTGCTTGAAATTACCACGCAAGGTCACATGGCAGCGACGTCCCGTCAAGACGCCACCGACGCCGACACCGGCTTTTCTGCGACACGAGCTCCTTAACGCTATCGCATTAAAAGAAAGAGAAAAAACCCCAGCAGCCAATAGCCATATTAAAACTATACTTGTCGTAGGAAAGTCGTGACAAAATACCAGCGAGATCATCCCATGAAAGGAAGGAGGGTGGTTGTACTCTCCACGGTCAGCTTTCTTTACACAGCGAGTTCTGGAAAGTTCCGCCAAAACTCGCCACGAAAAGGCGAGCTCTCGCAAACTAGCCAACGAGGAGTTCAAGGAACTCATTATCAACCGGTTCATCAAACTTTTAACCGGCAAATTTCAACAAAAAGTACACGAAACACAGATAACCCAATAGACAGGACAACACCATCCGCTTCTATGATGTTTTGTGTGCCCCAGGCTATCCACGAGATTAGCAGGCTACCCCCTCCCCATCTCCCCGGTACAACTAAGGAACAATAAAGTTTCTCGAGTGAAAATGGATGGTCCCCAGGCTTCCCGAAAACCAAACAGACGGGCTCACCTGCAATTGGCAAGCTGGCAGGTTCACGTCTGCCACCATCTCCGTGCAGGGATGCTCCACCTGGGCGCAAACCAGGACTTGTTAGGGAGTCAACGGACTCACCGTAACCGACTGGCGACTTGTTAGATGCGGTCTACGCCGGCGTACGGTCCCAACCACACGACTCGTCTATATCCATAAGGGTAATTCATGCCGTTTTCAGGAAAGAACCAAACCAGATCGGACACAACACTGCCCGATTTCGGAAAGGCGTGCCACAGGTAGTAGCGTCTCGTTAATACGGACCCCATTTATGCATACACAGTATAGACCACTTACAACGTAACCGCTTATAGTGCAGGACAGGGTATAACGCGGCTTTTTTAAACCACCGGTTCGCCTCCCATAGAACTCCATGTAATTACATACCGCTTAAAATGCAGGCGCGAGAAGGGAAATATCGGTCACAGTGCGGTTTTCGGAACAGCCCGGCAACCGCGCCGACTGATTGACGCAGAGAGCATGCTTCCCTGTGCGACACTAGATAACGGCGCGAGCCGCAAGCGGCACTCGCAGGGCAAGGAGGTTGCTCGAAGGAGCGGGGAGAAGCGAAGAGAGAGGCTTCAGTTGCCATAGCGACGGAAGGACGCACGCACGTGTCGTTCACGTGCGTGCGTCCCTCCGCTGCGTTGGAAACGTTGGAAACAACTGCAACAACAGACCAATCGCATGTCGAGGAGAAGTCGAGAAGTGTTCGTGCGCGTTGCATGCCGGTCGCGGGCCGGCCAGCCGGCTGCTTCTATCCGCAAACATGGCGTCGGTTTTGATCGGCGACGTAGACGGCGTGGTAGAGGCTCATCGTTCCGCGCAAAAAGCGCTATCCTTGACTGTGAATTTTCGTTGTGTGTCGCTACGATAACCCAGCACGTACTAGAAGGGAAGATCCACCTACTCGTGCGGCGATGTCGTGGCGGCGCTCTCAAAACGGCAGAGACGCCCGTGTCGTCGTGTTTGTTTACTTCGACTACAGTGGTGATTTCTAAGCATTTGTGTCCTCGAACATCCCCGGATTTCTTATTTGGCGCATTTCATGCGTGTGCTCAAGTTCAAGGTATTACTGGCGCGTACCTTATGAAGGATGCGAACTTTCACGCGTTTTCATCTCCGGAGAAAAGTGATTAGGGTTACCAATCCTGAATGCTCGCAACGTCCGTCCGCAACCCGCGACGCCGTTAAAAGGCTGTGCCAGGCAAAAGCCGCTCATTTCTTTCAAAATGTGTGACACACTTGAGACAGAAATGCACTAGTCTGGTGAAATAAAGACTTTCCTCAAACTAAGCTTTCTTTTTCATCTAATATAAAATAAATTCTTTTACAAAGGTAAGTTGTCTCCTGGCACGTATTTTGGCCTGAAAAATTTATGTTTTGGTTATAGCGCGGTATCGTTTATAGTGGGGATTTTCGCGACTCCCGCGACATACATTATATGCGGTCTACACTGTAGTGCGGATTTTCGCGACTCAGGCGACATACGTTATATGCGGTCTACACTGTACAACACTATACAGACAACATTTCCGGGGACAAACTGGCTAAGTATGCGCATTTTTGTCCCATATTATGGACATTTTTGAGGGTAAACTGAACAACATGTGCATTTTCGTCCTATTCTTATAGACAACATTTTTGGGGAAAAGCTGGGTAAACATGTACATTTCTGCCCTGTTATTATAGACAATCATTTTCGGAGTCAAATTGGGTAAACATGTGCATTTCTGGCTAGTTATTAGAGACAGCATTTTTGGGGATAAATTGGGCAAACATGTGCATTTCTGTCCCGTTATTATGGGCAATTCCTATTGAGGATATTTTTTTGTGCGAAAGGAAGTATCCTCATAGAGGAGACATCACTGTACATGGCATTTGCCTGGCCGTGGTCGTGAAAACCAAGATGGCACTGCACGCAACAAAAATGTATGGCGCCCCAAACACTTTTTTTTTATACTACCGTAAAATACTGGGAAAGCGCCCATCCCACTTTTACGGAAAACTGGGTTAATCTAAACATGGGCACTAGTCCAGTCAAACCGGTAAAAACCAAGATGGCGGCCAATAAAGAGCTTCGAAGGCAGGTTGAACGAAATCGGAGAAAGCACACTTTCAGTGATGGAAACGGGATTCAACCTTTTCTAGCAGCTTCTTTAGCGGGCAAAATATTAACTTGGAGCAGCCACTGACGCTTTTGGAGCGGATACAAACATCTGTTAGCACATCACTTGAAAATGAAAAAGTGATTGCATACCTAAATGAGTTCATCTATGATAATGAACTAGTGTTCCTCTTCAAAACTGGAGCCAATTACTTATTACCTTTTGTGGTGACAAATATAGATAAAGCGCAAAATAAACGCAGAGCTTTTTTTTTTTTTTTTTTTTTTTTTTTTAGAAATGCAGTTTAAGCTTGTTACAACAGACATTTGGATATAACATACCGATTTGTGAAGTTTGGTTGGTTTTCCTCTACATACCATTGACTCGACTTCATATCTGCCTACAACACACTCCTCTTACAACAGACCGAAATCTTTGTCAAAATCAAGGTCTGTTATAACGAGCTTAGACTGTAGGGCTTTGGTCAGAGCCCTATTTCGCCGACGGTGACGAGACCGTCGTTGCCGCCAACGGTCTTGTGGCCGCTGCAACGGGGCGAATATTTTCGGCCGACGCCGGTGCTTTGGGGGGGGGGGCTGAGTGCCTGACGTACAATTTTCAGAATTCTCAAGTTTAGGAAATGTTAATGGTGGGCACTTGTACGGGTTGGGCGCTTCCGCAGTACTTTACGGTAGTTGACTGCAGGGTAAAGGCAACCTTTGCACCTTTGTCACATCGAGCGCCGTCAGGGTGGCACAAAGCAGAAAGGTAAACGAACGTTGAGAGACACGATGAAGGCAAAGGCACGACAAGGCACTTTATGAAAAGATACACAAAACAACTGGCAAACAAAATGGCCGAATTGCCGCCGAAAAACAACAGACTCTCACAAGGACACCCCGTAACCCGACGCACTGCCATTCTTGGCAGTGCCCTCCCGCTCGAAAGGGACTCGTCGAGAGAAGAACCGCAGCCTTTGAGGGGCGATTCGAGGATGCCGCAGTCACGAGCTCACCTGCAACCTGGGGTTGAGCTCGAGGAAGTAGAAATTGCCATCTTCGTTGTAGAGATACTCCACGGTGCCAGCACTGACGTAACCCACCATCTTGGCAAGCCGCACGGCAGCCTGGAAGAGCGTTCGGCAAACAGTCAGTCGTGCAAGCTCCACATACATGACCATAGTCCTAGACGGATCTGAAAACACATTCGCAGACACATCGAGACGTCCCATGAAGTCATGTGAAATCGCATGACTGTTTACAACTGTGAAATCATATGAAATCACGAGACGTGCTCCTCAACCGTTACATCACGCGGAGCGACACAACGTGCTCATGTGACCACGATGTTGCATGAAGCCACACCACTTCCTCACGCAACCAAGACATCACGCGGCACTATCACGTGACCACAACATAGAGTGAAATCACATGAAATCGCACGACTTGCTCACACGAACTCGAACGACGTGCTCACACGACGTGCTCTCACGACCGTGCTCTCACGACCGTGCTCTCACGACCGTGCTCTCACGACCGTGCTCTCACGACCGTGCTCTCACGACCGTGCTCTCACGACCGTGCTCTCACGACCGTGCTCTCACGACCGTGCTCTCACGACCGTGCTCTCACGACCGTGCTCTCACGACCGTGCAGTCGCTTGAAGTCGCGCGACGCAATCGCTCAAGGCCGGGGAATCGTGTGACGCCCGTGGCAGCACCCACCTTCTCCATCTGTTCGAGGACCTGTGGCTTGGCCACCACACAAGGAGCCTCTTCGATGATCTTCTGGTGGCGCCGCTGGATGGAGCAGTCCCGGCCGAAAAGGGAGATGGCCGACCCGTACTGGTCTGCCAGCAGCTGCACTTCCAGGTGGCGGGCACAGGTGGCCAGCTTCATGATGAAGATGGGCGAGCCGGGCACCTCCGACTGCACCTGCCGGAAGCACGAGGGGAAGTCCGCCGAGGACTCCGACTTGCGGATGCCTTTGCCCCCACCCCCCTCCGACGCCTTGATCATCACGGGGAAGCCGATGCGAAGCGCCGCCTGCAGCCACACAAGGAAGACACACAATGAAGTGCATGGTTATAGGTGTGAAACTCCTCTTTACAATTACTACTGCACAAAGTTAGGCTATGTCAAGCAAACAAAAAACTGCCCGTTTCCTTGGTATGCCCCAAAGGCGCTCCAAGGGCACAGCATTTATACAGGGTGTTTTATTCTAAGATGGCATATAGCTTTAAAGAAGGGGACAATGGAAATAAGAAAACCTATTCTTTTGAAATAACGCTATCCACCGACGCGGACATCAGGTAGAGAATGTAAGGTGATGATCGACTGACTAGTTGTCTGAAATCTGCTAATTAGCTCGAAATATTCACTTTGGCTGACACATTCCAATTAGAAATTTCTTGCTTGTTGCCGAGTTGCTAAGGGCCGTCACACTCTTACGACCTCTTAGAACTTGGTCCCTTAAAACCTCTTACAACGAGAGGACACAGTGGCGCCATCTATGGGATTGCAGTGTAAACATGGCGGTCCGGCATATTTTCCATTTTCTCTTGCGCATTATCCTTTCTTTCTTGACACGAAAAACTTTTGTAAACATTATAAACGAGCCTTTCTTATAGGTATTACGCACATTCGACCTCGAAAATCCCGCAAAACCTTCACTCTTGTGAAATGCAGTTCCAGGATAACCGCATAGAAAGCGCCAGAATGCCAGTGTGTCACCTCGTCCTAAGAAATTTTAAGAAGTTTTAACAGATCTCGTCTCTATCGGTCGTACTCGGTTGCAAGAGTGTGAACGGGCCTTTAGAGTTCAGACAACAGAAGTCTGCTCTCCGCTATTCTCTGGCAAATTTAAGCTACAAGCAGACGAGACACTGAGACGAGATGCAAAACAGCCGCGGAAATCCCACCCGAATACGTCATCGGCCTCCGCAGTGCAAGCAGCTGGCGAGTCGCCGCAAGCTGAGAAGGGCCACGTTGCCTTAAAAAAGGCACGCCCTACTCTGCCGTCTTCTCGGGCGCTCAGCTCTCTGCGCTCTTCTTGTGAAAGTTTCAGCATGGCGGAAATTTGACAGCCCCACTCTCCCGCAGAATAGCGTGGAGCAGAATCCAGTTAGAATATTAACAACTGTCACTGTACATTTTGACAGCAAGCAACAAATTTCTGATCAAAGCGTGCCAGCTCAAGCGAATTATTTAAAATGTTTGTTAGTGGAAATCAGGTCATTAATTCGCTAATTGCTTCTTACTTTCTACCCAACGTCTGCCACGGGGGGCAACGTTATTCTAAGAAAATCGGCTCTCTATTTCTAGTGTTTTATTTTTAATTATTTGCTGTCATAGAAAAGAACACTTTGTATATCCTCCGCAACATGTCACATTACGCAACATGACCATATGACACCACGACGTCTCAATGTCATGTCACGACTAGGTGTCACATGATGATGATCATGCAGACGTCAGACTAACACCGCGATGCCAACACAAAAACACCGCGACGACGTCGTGGCAAAAACCTCTCACGGGGAAGCACTGCTTCTAGAGCTATTTTATATCACTGGCAATTCAAAGCAAGTGGAATTTGAGGGAGGCCATGTGTCTCTACAATCCAACTACAAATATGTGTTCGGTTTTCATATAGCTTAGTGAGTTTTGCTCATATTAAAAATTTAATTTGCAAAGTTGATGGGCAAGATTAAGACAAATTCAAGCGCTAAAATCAGAAAATTAATATATCTCTGTAAGCTCCAAGGTCTGCAGAATCCATTAAGGCATAAATGAAAGCTCTAGGACGATTTATAACTCTTTAACGACACTTCCAAATTTTTCAGTTTCGTAATTTCAACAAATGCACAAATGCCGGGCGTTTAGAACGCAGAGGATCCCACGACCCACCTCGAGGCCTTCGTCCACTCCTGAGACGCAGCCCTTTCTATACAGCTCGGGCTTGATCTTGAGCCGCTTTGAGATGCTGCAGTTCTCTTCTTCGTTCCAGTCCGCCTTCAGACCTGCGCAAAACCAAACGGTGTGACCCCACGTCGTCGGCTGCTTACGGGTCACCCATTAAGCGAGAACTTGTACGACTGAGAAGAATGAAATACGCGAAATAATAGGAAGGAACGAGAAGGGGCACGTGGCAAACGAGCATGTCAGGCCGGCTTTTAGCGCAAAGCATAAAAATATTGGGTGCGATCAGTTACCGACAACATCTAGACTTCAGAGACAGCATACACTCCTCTCCCCCCTTTAAAGGGGTACTCCACCGGTTTTTTCATTGTCTCCGATTTGCTTGAAATTTTGCTAAACTAACCAACAAACATTTCTAAAATAGTATCCCAAATATTAGGTCAAAATATTGTTTTTTCGCAAAGTTATTGAATTTACAGTTTTGGTCTTCACCATGTTTTTCAAACTGAAAGTCTCTACTGGCAACAACAACAAAGTGACGTCAGTGGAAGGCAGGGGTTAACTTTTTGGACTACAGAAGTTGTTCCCAACGGATTTGAAGCAGTTTCTTGGTGTCAAATGAGTGCTTTGGAAACTCGCTCCCGTATCCGCGCCCCAGCACGGAACAAATGATTGGCATATTCTATTTTTGGACTACTTGCTCGACTGGCAAGCCTGCCTGCCACTGACGTCACGGCACTGAAAAGTGCGCGAATATTTGAATATTGGTTTTTGCACCATTTTCATTTGCCGATTTCACAATACCTATTACGAATTTCGCGATGCTGAATAGCATACCGGAAAGGCTAAAGGCCAGGGAGTCAGAAAATATAGTTAGTTGAGGTAGCTCAAAAAATCGGTGGAGTACCCCTTTAACCCCTCAACCGTTTCAAGTTTTGGGGGAATTTCGGACCCTCCTCTGCTTGACTGTATTCTTCAAAATTACATTTGCTGCCTTCAAAACAATTTTCTGGCCACAAACAAAATGGAAGCAAAATTGTAAAAAATTCAGTGCTGTGTATGAGCGAGCCTGGTCCCTCCAAAACGGTTGAGCGCGTGATCCAGGAAAAGCAGACGAGCTATACTCGTCCTGAACTAGTTTGGAGATGGCTCCAAGTTGATAAGCTATGCTCGTCAAAACGGTTAAGTGGTCAATGCTCTTCCAAAGAGCGGAGTACCCCCTACCCCAAGCGGAAACACCGTAATTCCCCCGCCGTCCTCTTTTACCTTCTCCTTTTCCTCGCTTCGCCACTTTCAGTTTTGAAGGAGGGTATGCTAAGAGGATTATCTTCGGCGCAGTAAACCGAGGCAAAAACGTCAGTTCGGGCAACGTCCCCTCGCTGACAAGCGCGCACATCACGCGTCGAAAGCCGGCGTGGAACACAAACACGAGTGCTTGTGTCGGCGTTCGGAAGGGACTTTCGTCCGATAATCGAGAACGCGAGTTCAAACGTTGACGCGGCATTCACATTCAATTTGTGCCCGTCGCTGGTCTTTGGCGGGTGACGGAGAAAGTCCGGCAGTATGGCCTTGTTGTGTAGAGAGCGTCAGTTAGGGAGACTCAGGAGCCTAAAGAGAACCAAGAAAAGGATGCGATTCTTGCAAAGAAAATTGCACAAGTTCGATTGTGCCAACAGAGACCAGAGGGCACAAAATGTGTCCCGCACAATCTAGCATTTATGTCGTGCTAGATTTTTCATTCTTTTTATTACCTATTTTAGTCGTGGAACTGACAAATGGCGATTTCGAGCAGCTCTTGTAGCAGGGAACAACAGGTTTTGGAGCAGAGACTCCCATTCTTGGAGCAGATAATTTTGAGTTTTCATGTCAGAAAACTTTATACAAATCTCTTTGAAAGTTAGCCTGTGGGAAAAAAAATGCAGTTGTTGGAGTGTTGGGTGAATATTTAAGGTGTCATACCTACAGGGGATCTAGCCGCTACAGATATTTATTGAACAATCATACGCCGGTAATTTTGCAGATGTTTCAATTAACCTATTAGGAGTACCAATGGCATCTTTCGTCTGTGTTTGACATAAAGATGTTTTCGGCTACTTTGTAGAGTTTGTGTCACGGTGACGTAATTGTCATGAGTTCGACATCAAGTGGACACTTCCATGTTGAATGTGTCCCGCGCTGCTCTCTGCTTTGTATTAGTAGGCATGCGCAAATAATAGATTTTGGATTGGAACCAAAATCAAAGTGTACAGTGGTTTTGGCCGAATATTTTATAATTGAATATTGAATAGTTGCTGCGCCTTCTTCCACGCCTTTCACTACTGTTACACCACGCTTAAACGAAAATTCAGCTGAACTCGCAAAGGTTATTCCCAAGCTTCTAATTGGCCACTTTTGAGCTCTGTTAAATTTAATCTAGCTATATTTATACACTGTGGACTCAGAAAATCCAATACCTAGATTGAGATGGCAAGTAAACGACAGATTTGACATAAAATTAAATGTATAAGGGAGCTCAGCCATACCTAATTCAAGGAATTTATAAATATTCTTACTACATGCAAATATTTTTTTCAATTCTGAATTAAAAAGAATTTTTAAAAAAACAAGCACAAATAATGAACACAGGTTGTTAGAACATCGCTGCCTAACATATACGCTTGCAAGATAGCCACAGTAAAATTCTGAAGATTTTACAGCAATGTAAATATCAACAATCACGAAGTTCTTTTATTTTTTTTTTAAATACAACAGGCGTGCACGTGCACCATACCGCTTTGAAGGTGTTTTTTTCGCCTGAGCGCGCAGCTGCACTGCGGCGAAGCGAGTCAGGAGATTTGAATGTTAGCTCCCTCAGTATTGCTTCTCCGCAGAGCATCGGTGTTTGAGGAGAAGTGCACTCAAGGGGGCTGACCCGCCGCGGTCGAAAGTTCGAAAAGTAAGAACGTCGCAGTTATTTTGAAGCGCATATCAAATAGCATATTAATTGAAACTACTATTCGAAAATTCGAATATTTGCACAACCATACTCTTCACAGATCGTGCTTAAACATAAAAAAGCAACAAAAAAACTGTACTTTTTTTATTTTTAGTAGCATTGCCAACAATGCCATGTGACAGACACTTTCAGTTTCCTCTTCAAGAACAGCTCCCTTTTGGTGCAGACATGGCACAAATTGTGTACAAATACAGCCTTTGTAGCAGCATATAGCAGGTCACTCGTTCTGGCATAGTTCGATGCAAATGGTGCAGCAGTTGCACCACTGCTATTTTTTCCTGTTCTTTTTTAATTTTTTCCATTTTTTTATTCACTAATAATCCTTTTTATTTATTAGTTAATCTCATTTATTTTTATTAATTAGTTTGTTTTCTTTTTATTTATTTTTACCCTTATCATTTATTTTTTAATTAATTTTTTTTATTTTGCGCATTTATTATTTTATTTATTATTTCTATGCAAAACCTGTCGCTGTGTCGTCACTTTCACATCCCAATAAAAACATGGACCCGCCCGCACCAGCTGTGCCAGTAGCTCAGTGGCTGCAACATCAGACTGCCATCGCACCAACCCAGGTTTCGTTTTCAAACCTTAGGTAATTTACATATGAAATCTTAACGTCTGTAATGCACCCAGCGTGTCACTCGTTCTCGACGCTCGTTTATGACAATTTTTTCGTAGAAATTGCCACATTAAGCACATTCTGCATGAATGACCGAACAAATGGAGTCGTCGTCTCTTTGCCGCAGTTGACTGCACTCTCACTGAGGAGGGTTTTACTCTTACTGCTGGCAGCAAACCGGAAAGTCTGAAACATCAGAGGATGCGGGAAGACCAGATGGGGGTTCCCCTCGTACCTGATCCACTCCACGGCAGCGTGGGAACGTTGGCCGTCTGGGCGACGATGGACGAGGCGATCTTGTCGCCGAGCGCCCACATGGCTTTTTCCGGGGGACCTGCACACGGGGAAACAGAGGGTGACCGTCGACCTAGGATGTCCTTCGGAGCGAGTCCGTGCAGCACAAATGAGCGGACACGGAGAGTCTGCGGGGAGTGTACGATGACGACAGCCAAGCGCATGCCGTCATTGATTGGACCCGAAGGGAAACAAACCATGTGGGTGCATGAAATGCATGAGGTGCGCAAATCTAGTACAGAGCAAATATTGTGTTTGGCCAGTCTTGTATAAAGCTATTCATGTAAAAAGCAAGTTATTTACAAGGGAAGTCATGTACAAGGCAAGTACAGTATAAGGCAAGTTCTGTATAAGGTAAGCCATATATAAGGCAAGTCATGTAAAAGGCAAGTCATGTATAAGGAAGGCACCAGTATAAGGCATGTAATGCATAAGGCAAGCAATGTATAAGGTAAGCAATGTATAAGGCAAGTCATACATAAGGCAAGTCATGATTAAGGCAAACCATATACAAGGCAAGTAATATAAAGAGGAAGTCCTGTATAAGGCAAGTCATATATAGGCTCCTTGCACATGACGTCATTTCCGATGCCCTCCAGAGAAAAGGGGAAGAAGGAGCCCCCCTCTTATCAGGATCCTCCTTTGTGCCTCCCGGATTTGTACAGCGTCGCTATTCTCCCCCCAGAAGATTATAGAAGATTAATGTGTCGCTCAAAATTCTTACAAAAGCAGCTTCCCTCTCCTCCTTTTACTTGGTGTTCAAAAGTATGCGATGTGACGTCAGTGCAAGGAGCCTATAAGGCAAGTCATGTATAAGGCAAGCCACATACAAGGCAAGCCATGTATAAGGCAAATCACGTAGAGACCAAGTCATGTATAAGGAAAGCCATATATAAGGCAAGTCATGCCAAGGGGAAGTTATGTAAAAGGCAAGTCATGTATAAGACAAGTCATGAATAAGGCAAGTCCCGCATAGAGCAAGCCATGTTCAAAACAAGCCTAGCACCCCATGTCTCAAAAGCAAACCGTGCCCAGAGGCAGCTCGTCAAGCAAGCGGGTGGAACAAGAGAGAGCGAGAAACCCGCGTACCGATGAAGGCAATGCGGTTCTTGGTGAGCAGCTCGGGCAGCTTGGGGTTCTCCGAGGCGTGGCCCCAGCCCGCCCACACTGCCTGGGCCCCCACCCTCTTGGCAATGTCCAGGATAAGGTCCACGTTGGCATAGTTGTGGTTGTTCGAGCCGCCGGGCACCGGCACACAGTGGTCCGCCAGCTTGATGTACTCTGCACAAGGGGGACAACGCACGCACTCGCACCTTGCAAACGCCCACTCACTCGCTCCATCACCGCCGCCAGCCAGCCGACGTTCATAGTTTGGGAGCTTTTACATCGCATTGCAGCAGAGCTGTTGATGAGCCCAACTGCCGCGGGGATATTCTCGGCACAGAAGACGCTATAACCGATCCAACTGGTGGAACAGTGCCCGACAGACCTTTTGCTAAATACCCGGCCGTCAAACAGCATGCTACAGGTTGTTGTACGCACCGTAAGTGCCGGCGTCTAAGTCAGTAATTATTCTAAAGCTAAACCATAAAATGCATCACACTATGCATGAGCATTTGTCAACGCATTATTTTGTTCATTTACTTTTAATCTTTTAGGCCGACAAGGCAAGCACGTATATCTGCCCCCGGCATTCTCCTTGGTACTTGGGTAATTTGGTGAAATATCTTTACACCAATACAGACACGTCTACGCATGGCTGGGGTGACCAGAGTACATTGTCGTCTGGCATGTCTAGCATCCCATACTGCAAATGCGTCGAAAGGTGTCCCAAAGTGGGAACAAATGACGTCACAAAAGCCACGGCGTCGGGCCGTCGGAAGTCGGGATGCCGGTGACCTGCAAGTGCCGCCGAAAAGGGCCAGAGAACGAGAGTTTTGCCGTCGTCGCATCGACCCAACTCTTAGCTGCAGAACGGGCGTCTGCAGCATTCACCTCTGCTACCACGAGACAGCCGGGATTGCGGGTGGCGACGACGCCACACTTCTACGACAACAGCGTGAATTGAGAAACCACTTTCTGGGGCACTGTATGCGCACGAGTCGGAGGCGCATTCCAAAACCGTAGCGTCGACGACCAGCACCGATTCGGCATTGCCAGAAACATGTCGGAGGCTGCCAACACGGATGAAATGAGAGAGGTCCTTTCGCGACGTTAAAAAAGAATATCGCATCCTGATCGACGAAGTTTGCCTTCGATACTAGTATGCGATTCCTCGAGAGTTTCCTACAGGCTCGTGCATTGTACGAAGAGCGGCAACATCTTTCGCGAAATAACTTTATACGAGCTCTATCGTGCCGACAAAGACTCGAGAGCACAGAACGTGCGATAAGCCTCCCGGGGAAGAAAAGAAGGGCGTCCGAACGGCACCACCCACCGAAGTTCCGCCCGCACTTTTGAAACGCGCCGCCTCTCCCGATTCGTGGCAACACTCACCGGCGTTGGCGTTGAGGTCCTCGGGAGTCACCATGACGACAAAGCGGATGGCCTTGTCGTTGCTGAACATCTCGTACGCCCATCTTCGAATGGAGCGCATGCATTTCACTGCCGCAATGCCGTTGTTGGCAATCAATACCTGCAACGAGAGGGACGCACCAACATCGGCCGACGTCTCGGGAATGGGCGACAGCCTTCATTTTCAAAAGTGCACAGCATGAAAAGGGGTCTTCGTAGCCAGGCACTTTTTTCTGACGATGAAGCCTAACACAGAATGTGTTTTACGCAGCGCTTTCTATGAGAAAATTGTCATTAACAAGGACGGCGGAACCGAAGTGGGGCAGGGGAGCGCTTTTAGGGGGAGGCTCAGCCACTCCCCCCCCTTTAATACATGGGTAGAGGGAAAAGAAGAATGGAAAGGGGAGGCTCAGCCACACCTCCTTTTCCGCTTTTTCTTCCCATAACAATACTTGGGAAGGGGGTGGGGGGGAGGGTACACGCCAGGCGCTCATCACAATGCCATCACCTGCGCCAACACCAGGTGCAAGCCATGGAGTAGCGTGCCGCGATCATGCAACACGCACATGGATGCCGGCAAATTCTAAATGTGTGAACAATAGAAAGAACCGCAAAAAGGAACCCTGCTACAGCGCCCTTCCCCCTCCCTCCCTCCCTCACTGAATCTATACTTCTGGCATCGCTGGTCATGAGCAAGTGACACAATGGGAGCGTTACACACGTGGAGATTTTATATAAAGAGAATATATCAAGTTTGAGCCCCTGGCGAGGCTAGAAACCTGGGTCAGTGTGGTGGCAGTTGGATGCTAGAGCCATCAAGCTACTAGAGCAGATGGTATAAACGGGTCAATGTTTCATTTGAATGCAGAAGTGCCGGTGACCACTGCAGTTTTTGAGTAAAATTAATTAATTTTATTAAATAAAACAAATAAATAGGTAATGAAAAATGTAAATGACAAGTAAAAAAACATAAAAGAAAAGGTCATTCAAATATTAACAAAATAAAATAATAAAGTAAAAATAAAAATACAGATAAAGAAATAGATAATAAAAAGATCAAAAATATTGCACAAACACCGCACGGAGTGTGGTTCATGATGGACATATTTTGTGCGTGATCAGGCCAGAAGCCAGTATAATTTTTTTTTTATTTTGATGCCTAATTGATTTTGAAGACATGAAACTGTTTTAATTGTGGCCAACAAGTAACTGGAATGCAAGCTTCATGTTCAAAGAGCCTAAAAACAGGCAGCATTTTTTGTTCAAGCAAGCATTGGTTTCCCTACAACAAAAATTGGCCCTTCGAGATTTAACGTTTCCTTCCCTCCTCAGCTACCCACTTTCCTGCAGAAAAAGAGGCCACGCTATCAACAAAACATGAAAAAGAAAACATTTTTATTTTTATTTTGCTACGAATGATTTGTTTAGTTAGGCTTGCCAGAGGTAGAACACAATACGTAAGAAAACCTCTGTGTTCTACGAGAAAATAAATTTTAAAAAAAGACGTCCTTCCGACAGCCACCTTAAGGCTGAACACATCTCACTAAAGTTTCTGCGATGTCCTAACGAGAGAACCGCATGTTAGAGAAAAAGGTAAAGTAAGGTTCCCCACCACCAGCTTCCTTTGTACAGTCTCTCTAAGCTTTGAAATTCGCTCGCACGGAGTTCCTTCAAAGGTAGCATTTCCAGGTAAAATCACTGGCGAAACAAGGCTCAAAAAGCAAAGAACCATTCACAAGCTTGCAACTGCTGACGATTGCATGCCTCGAAAACTTTTACCGTAGAATACCGCGCATCCGCCCATCCCACATTAAGTGCCCATTACCAAATTTGTGAGATCTGAGAAAATATGCACAGTACATTTATATGTAAAACTGATGACCGGAAAAGCACCCATCCTCCATTTTCTTGCGATTATCTCCAAAGTTTGAGTGCGCGCTTGCCCGGTATTTTACAGTAAAGGACACCATGCAAAGAAAAAAAATTTTTTTAAACAGCCTAGACGGAGAAAGAATGTTGTGAAACAAATTTACAACGAAGAAAAAAAAACTTTAGAGCTATATTTACGGTGCAAAACGAATTTGTAGTTGGCGTTCGCGGGAGCCGTCGCGGGTCACATGGTAGGCCTGTACGCCGTCGCGCTGCGCCGCCGGTTCAACGCGTTTCTCCACGCCGCCACCGCGCAAGTTCGTCTGCTCTGGGGCACCGCCCTAGCACACAGGTCTATCACGTCTGCTTGTGCCTTTTCAGGAGCTTCCTTTGGGCTCTAAGAGTTACTCATTAATCTTTGTCTTTTGTTGCACTTCAAACAAAGATTAATGAGTAACTTTTAGAGACCACAGGAAGCTTCTAAAAGAGAGCAAGCACCACCTGATAAATAGCAGCCAGTCAAGTAAAAAATAGAGGCCACTTTTCCACGGCACCCGCGGGCACCAACTACAAATTTGTATCGCGCCATAAATATAGCTCTTAAAATTTTTCTTTTTGTAGTAAATTCATTTATGACTTCCTTTTCCCGAACAGGTTTAAAAAAAATTTTCTTTTCCTTTGCATCTGTCCTATAATACCTCTTACGACGAGCGAGCACGGTGGCGAGGACATCTGGAATGGTCTTTTGACAAAATGTATTTCGCTACCCGTATTTCTGCAAAATCTGTTCCCGTATTCATTATTTCAAATACTTTTTACATGTTCCAAATGTATTTACAATTTGTGTCATGATGTCTTTTTAGAAATGCATTACGGTATCGGTGTTTTGGGCACCTTTGCCACATACTCCAGTATTCCAAACACTTTTCAGGGCATTTCTGCCCAACCCTGCCAGGTATGACAATGAGGGGGGGGGGCTACGAAAAGCCCTAAAAGTCGGCAGAGACCTGCCCGAACGCCACGCACCTTGTTGATGACGTGGTGTCCTCCGAATCTGCTGACAAACTCCTCAGGGGTGGCCACGATGAAGTCCTTGGAACCCTTGCTGGTGTACTCCCGGTCCTCATTGGATAAGTGCGCTCCCGACATAGACTGTCTGCACGCGCCGCCAGGGCACACAACGCACGTTCCACACATGTGGCAGGGACAACGACAAGGCACACGGAACACGCAACACACAAAGCTCGTCACAAGACGCACACACTGACCGATGGCAGGCTCCCTACGGTTTAATAGGGAGCTCCGGGGAATTTTCGGTCGTCCCCGATTTGCCTCGAAATTCGTTTGATGCATTAATGGACGCGTTTCAACTTGTGAACCCAAATTACGAATCGCGACAATTGATTTTGGCAAAGTTAACCAAATTTTTAGATTTGGTGTGAGAAACAGAGGTTCTACTGGCAACACTAAGAATGCGATGTCAAATGTTCCCATACTTGTTCCCGGCGGGTTACAAAAAGTCCCAACGGTGTGAAATGAATGCTGGGGAAGCTGACAAAAGCAAAAGACCAAAAAAACATGCCCAAAATAATTCCAGACTGCCCCCACGACTTGCAAGTTGTACACCTACCCCGCCAGAGAGGGTGGGAAAATTTAAATGCTGGTTTTGGCATCACCTTCCCTCACCATTTTCTCAATAGTGATCTTGAATTTGGGAATAATAAATAGAATGCCGGAAAGAACAAAGCCCAAGTATTCAAAAAATTTTTTGTTTGGGTAGATCGATAAGTTGTCGGAGCCCCCTTTTAAAAATGGCAAGACTGGCCCCTCCCACAAAGCCCCCCACCCTTTCCACTTTAGCAGCGCAAATGTTGGAGAGGAGTGAGCCACCAGCCATAGAGAGTAGAGAGCCTTGTAGAAGGAGCTTTCCTTCGCCATCACGCATTGCAACAACGTTGCAAACAAGACCGTGAAGGAAAGGCAGATTTTTCATTATATAACTGCTGCCTGAACTTTGCTTTGAACCATACTCGGGTGGGTCAATCGCGCAAAGGCACAAATAACAACAGAGACTGAAAGGATTTTAATGACAAAATTTCAGACCTTCGCCTCTGAGCAAACTTGGCCGAGTTTCTAGGAATGCGTGTCTAGGGTCAACCAGTTGAGGCTTTCAGTTAAAAAGAAATATTGGGGTTCCGACGTCTGCGTCGCGTAATGGTTCTAGCTCACTGGAGATGCATGCGCGAACAATGCCAACAAGAGTGACGGCATTTGCGCCGTATATAGAAATATGGATCAATTGAATCGTTTAAAATCTATAAAAAAATAAAAAGAAGCAACTATTTCTCTTTTTTGCACGCGTGCTTGCTTAGTAACCCCTTAAGTGCCTTGGACGAGCTGAGCTTGTCGGCCACTTTCTCGCTAAAAATGCCACGGACGAGCTCAGCTCGTCCAGTGGTTTTTTCGGTTACTCTCAATTCCACGAACCAGCTAGGCTTGTCCGAGTAGTTTTGCGGCGCTGATCATAGATGGCAGAACTCGTATTAGTTGGCAAATATATTTTTTCGCCTCCGCTGATTTTTGCGTAATAACCTTTTTAAATGTTATGTGTAATACTAGAGGTAATAACAATTCAAAATAAAAAAAATCTGGCACTTTTAGGTTACTTTTGGGAAAAAATATTTGGCACTTATGGGGTTAAAGAAATGCTATTGTAAAATATTGCTGGTTGAATTGAGTATAATGGATCAGTGTGCAAAATTACTCTTATTGTCACTACCGTTTGCATTTAGGAGGTGCACACACTACAAAAAATGTGCCTATGAAAACAATATTTTACACAAAGATTGTCTCTACCATTACAGAATTTGTCTTAATATGTGCTTGCTCATCTTAAACAGCATAAGATAATAAATAGAAAAGGGACTTTAAAGAGGCATTCGGGAGAAAAAAGCCATACTCCCCAAAACAACCAAACTAACAGAATCTGGATATCTAAAGGCAATAGCAGCCATTATCGACATGTTACGAATTCTACAGGAGCCTTATACACTTTGATTTAAAACAAAGAGCTCTTCGCAAGTTGTATCCGATTTCTTTTCGAGAACCTGGTTAGTTTTAATTTATTATCAGACAGCTAATGAGGTCCCTACAGCTGTTACTCCCCTGGCAATAAAAATTGTTTACAATTTCCCAGCAATAAATAGCTTTGCTCTGCAGTTTTACAGGAATGACGCATAAACAGACGTAGTATTGAGCGGCCACATACACTAGTGCCAAAAATCAACTTTTTAACTTGTACCACTACATGTTGCACATCGTTAAGAGTGGAGACGACGGAAAGAATGGGGACAGGACACACGTCTTAATTCCACATGCATCTCCTTAACTTCCCAAACAGGCAAACCATCAAAACACACCAGAAACGCTGAACTACAGATGAAGACAAATGCGCAACACAATCTAGCGGTAGCGGACGCCAAGTACATTCTTCTACCCTCAGACCACGACGAGAGAGATGACAGAAACCACGCCCCTAACGCAGAAACAACACAAAACACCTGCACTGGGACAGCGGACAAGTCGCTCTAGTACGAGACGGAAGCGCACTGACGAGATGTCAGATTGCCAAGAAAGAAGGCTAACAAATGTGAAACTGACAGAAGTTTTAAAAGGCCTCTGAAAAGAAAAAAAAAAGTTTTTTTAAACAGTCTGGTTGGGACACGTGTCAAACAATAAAGTTCTTGAAAGAAAAAAAAAATTTTAGAGCAATATTGACGGCGTGAGACGCAATTTAGTCGGTAGTCACCTCCTTTCCACTAATTTCCTCTCCTGGCATTCCCGGGAGAGAAAACTCTTCTTTTGCTCTTCCCGCTGAGGTGGAAAGAGCAAAATACCACGGTGAGCGAATGACCGTTCCGTGACGTCGTGAACTTTGCGCTCAAAATTTTAAATAAAACTCTCGCCGTCAATATTGCTCTAAAAAAAAAATTTGACAAGCATGTCCTTATTAGACTGATTAAAAAAACAGTTTTTTTTTTTTTTTTTAAGGGGTTTTTTAAGACATTCGAGCAGATACTGCAAGCCACACAAGGGCCGACAACTACCTCGAGGCAGAGACGGGCAACATCTCGAGCGCATCAACAAGCGTTACTGTCCTTCCTAGAGGCCCATTCATACAGCTCTGCTCGACTCTGTTGCGACGTTGACAAGCGCTACCAAAGCTTTTGCGACGTAGTGAAACGCTACCAAAGCTTTCGCCGGACCCACTCAAAGACGTACAAAGAAAGGCTCTGGCCAAGACGGTGCCACAAAACGGACCACAGGTTGGCGACGGGCACAACAGGACAGCTTAGTCACAAGTGTTGTCTGACCATACTCACGCTCGAAATCGTGCCTTCGCAGCAAAACTAGAAGAGGTAAACAAGGCAGCCCTTTTTGATTTGCTTCATCTCAAAAACAGACGCCGCCGTGCGAGCGGGCAAACAATGCGGCGAAATGTCAAAAGCAGCAAGATTGCGGCGTCACTGTCTCCAATCGTCAGGTTTGCGACTGAAAAAAGGCCTTGGCAAGCGTTAAATAAGCCCCGCATAAAATCGGTATGTGAAACTTGAGACAGGTATTACTAGTTAGCTTTTCTAGCCAGTTCAAACTCACGAAACATATTTAAAGAATGAAAGTACTCCTCACTAAAGGACTGGAATGGTATCGGAGCATTCAAAGCATACCGGATAACGCGGTCGCGTGAAAAGAGGGGGTACTTTTTGGAAGTATGCAAATGCAGACCCTAGGAGACTTGCCAAGGCTGATGATTCTCATTTCATTTCATTTTTTGGGAGGCAGGGCACAATTTAAGTCCTTACACCTCGAACATGTAATTTGTGCTGGATCACGTTCAGTGCGGTAGAAGCTAGTGCAAATCCCAAAGTGTCGGCGTCCAGTGTGATCATGTTAAGAAGCAGGGACGGCTCACTAGGCTGCAAACAACTCGTGGCAAGACAGCTACAGCCTAGATGTGCCAAAACAATTCTGCTAAAGGTGCTGTCCAAAAAAATTGCATCAAATTACAAAAATAAAAAATTAAAAATTTGTAAATTAAGTTTTTTTTTGCATTACATTTATAAAGAGCCTAGTTTCCCAATAGTTGGTAGCCCTTGAACAAACTTGATGAATTATTTTTAGCATACCATACTCCATTTCACCATAAGTGCAACTGAAGTCAAAGCTACAAGCACAAGCGTGTTGCCTTGAACGGCGCGTTCACCGCACGAGCTTGTGTGCTCGGCAAAATTGCTTGCACTTACGGTGAAACAAAGTATAGAAAGCAGATGCTTTGGTAGCCCCATTGCGATGCCATGCAAGGGCAGAATATGGCCCATTTAGCACTTCTCGAAAAGGTTTACAAGATTGGCGGCATGGGGAAAGGCGGGGCAAAAACTCGCTACTACCAGATGGGCCCGCAAAACTTGTCTTTCAACAGTCGACTCTCATTAACTCAAACTCTCTTAATTGACACTTGCGGATAATTCAAACTAACATGCGGGTCCCATCCTCTGCGTCTCTATGGGAGGAAACTCCCGGTAATTCAAATTTTGCTTTATTCAAACAAATTTTCAGTCCACCTCAAGTTTGAACTAACAAGATTCAGCTGTATAGATAAAAACTCAAAATGCTTTCTTTTTTTTATCTCGAGAACAAAACTGATTCACAACTCCAGCATCACAACATAGTCTCTATCCGATCGTGCACAATGCTGACTCATCTTGAAGGCCAAGGAGCCAGCCAGAAAAAAGGAAACTCTCTCTCAATTCCTCCTTTCCATTTGAGAAAGAGGAACACCCTCCTCCTTCCTGCAGGAAGAGGTGAGAAATGTGCAAGAGGGAATGGCGAGAAGGGAACTGGGAACCGGGTTTCTGACCGACAAAAGACTATTCTGTAGTCTTTTGTCGGGCAGAGCATGGCTTTTAGTGCCAGGCACCTCAAATAAATAGCTACACAGGTGTGCAGTGTATTCAGGTTCAAACCCGTACACGCCGCACACGAGGTTCACAAAACGAGCCGCAGCAGCACTTCGATATGCATTGAGGTGTCATCAACCCAAGAGAGCACACGCATGAAAACAGCGCAATCGAAAGGAGGAAGCAGTCTCACCTGAAAAGTTTAGCTCGAGACCGATTGCGTCTCAGCTCCTCGCCCATGAGATGCTCGGTCGGCCTTTGCTGCGTCTCCTCCCCTTCCTCGTCCGAACAGTCTATCGTGAAGAGGGCGCGGGGCGCTCCCCTGCAACACGTCCATTAAAAAAACTTGTACTTGAAATATCAGAGTCAAGAGAAACCGGGAGAAGAAAAAAAACAAGGGTGGAGTGGGGGAATCATTTAAAAAGAAGGTGGTGTGTGTTCAGCTTCTTTTACTGGCTTCCCTCATCTCAAACCTTTTAAACGTGATTGTTGTTTGTCTAGTGTTCTTTGCCAGCAAGTTTGCATTTTTGCTTTTCTCTCAATAAAACACTATTCTTATTGTTAATTAGCTGTTAGAACTATTTTTGCGTAGGCAGTGTCCAGAGGAACTTATCAGCGTTTTACACATCGGATTGGGAATCGTTTAGATTGGGGATCTCAAACCCTCGTCCCGCCACTTGCTAAAACGCGGCCTGCAGGCGGTCGGCTGCGAGCCCCCGTTTTCATGTCTCGAGAAGTAAAAACGACACATGCTCATAATCACCTCGTGTCATCTATTTATTTCTGCTCGAAACATAGCTGTGGTCTTATACCTCCCATTTGCCTTGTGTTTGGTATAATTTTTGCTTTCCAACTTCTTTAGTATGTTATGTAAATCACCCATGCGGCAATTCCTCCACTACTCTCGCCTTCAGAAAATGCCACCATTAAGATACAAGTATTTTCTGAAATTGCTTCGATTAAAATCATCAGGAAAGCAAAAACTGCCATATGAAGAATATATATATATATATATATATATATATTTAGACATGTGAAGTTTGATAAATTTGTGAGTAAATTGAGCAACGAGAATAACGGCATGATTGCCCTCTCGTTCTATTAAAATCCCCAGCACGTTGCTGGGTGGCGCCATAGTTATCACAATGGGTAAGGGCCCAAAGTAGTCTTACAATCCTATAACAAAATCGAAGTTAAAATATGCCACTGGTGAAACCACAAGTTTACAAAAAGCGAAGAGTATGAGGTTCCTCCTTTACGAAATCTTTCAACTCCACCTTTCAAACGCCCTTTCTGCCTTATGTTGGTCCCCCTATTTGGGGGACCAACCCCGGATTTGGACGACTGCCAATGCAACTCAATTTCTCCCCTTAAATGAAAACACAAACCAAGTTCTTCCCCTACAGCCCCAAATAAAGAAGATGGTACAAGCTTCATCACGCTGACGAAGACTGGTAAGCACAGAATGTGCGATAGGCCCCACACTTATCAGGCGTTTGTCTGCGGGGTCCCTGATGAAGGGACCCCCGCATTTCCTACGTCCTGAATGAGCTCATTCCTCTCTTCTTCCACCTCGATCATGGCCGCTTCACAGCCACGACCACGGTAAAAGAAGAGGGGCATCTCAACGGAACCGCCTCGCCGCAAAGCAGATGTGTTGAAGATTCACTCCCACTTCTGACAAACGCCGCAAGGTGGCGTAGCACGACATGCCCAAACGCTTTCAAGGACGCGAGGTGCACACCTTCGAACGCTGCGCAAAAGGGTCCCCCTTCACGTCGAGAGCAAACGCCGTCCCTCGCTAGCTCGGTCGGCAAAGCGCTCAGCTCAGCCTCAAGGTGACGGGAGTAAAAGTCTTTTTATGTGTCTGGTTTCCCTAAGGGGCGGAACGATTTCGGTGTTGGTTTCTACCTACGGCCAAACGTTGCAGATCTCAGTGAAAGTCGGCCGACAGAATACAATCCAACTTGAAACTATAAAAAACTGGAATCCTCCTAAACTACTCAGATTCCCATTTCCTGAATTCCTGAACTAGTCTGCCAATCAATCCAGTCAAGAAGGGCATGCAGACCTCTTGGGCAACAATGCCTAAAGACCGCCGTAAACGTGCGTGCGACTTGCGACTACTCATCTCTACGGCACTCTCTGGGTCTGACATCACGTCACAGCTACCGAACCGAGACTTTCCCGATGTCTCACACGCAGCCTGGCCGAGGGCACCCCAAGTGCGCTGCAGAGTGTAAAATGGCCACAATTTGACAGCGCAGTCTCGTAAAATATTGCGGTAGTGCCCGCTATTAACATTTCCTAAACTTTGGGAATTCTGCAAATTATACGTTAAGCGCCCGATTAGACCGGACAAGTGCCCATGTCTAGATTAACCTACTTTTCAGTGAAAGTGGAGTGGGTGCTCCCCCGGTATTTTATGGTAAGAGGGGCATCCATTTTAGCAATATGTGGGACACCCCATACACTATCCAGGGGTTACTGTAAAGAATGGCATTTTACCCTTGTTAAATAATTGTCCCCACGCATTAATAAATAAATCTGCATTCTGTGGTGCTGGGCATTCAATCAATTAGCCTTTCGATTAATCAATTAATGCTTTATCACCCTCAATTTTTTTATTTATTTTTTAATTGCGAATGCAGGGAAGAAAGTGAATGGCTTCCTCTTTCTACTTGGCACCCATTTATGTATTTTAGGAGGCTGCATTGTTGTATTCCATGGTAAAAAATTTTAACATGCACTATTACTGGAATTCAGAATGATTACGAGATTTCAAAAGTACAGTGAAAATATTTAATAGTTAAAATGGTTTACTTGCATTTTCTTTTTCTGAACATTATGGCGTCAAGCTTCAATGAAACTTCACACGCCACAATAAATGACATAGCAAGAGATATTAAAAAGTAAAATATGTAGTTTTGCCATTATTTTAAATATTATGAGTGAAGGTCGATGCAACCAGTTATTTGATTAAATAATCGATTAAAGGATAGAGGTTAATTGGGGTAAAATTTTTGATCGACGCCGAGCCCTAGCTTTCTGTGTTGTGAAGGCGGACACTGCCTCTTACTTCCGGTTCATTGCAAATGTTAGGTTATCCCTCTGAAAGTACAGGCCACTGTGTAAAGGACTCTACTCACAGTTCATCCTTGAAGTAAACATAAGCCCAGCACACTCTAATGCAATATTGATTAGCCTGGGGCTGTAGTAGTTGTGCCATATTCAACAGAATGTTAAGCTGCAATATACAATAAGCAGTATACAATAAAAAAAACTCTGTATGAGACAGACTGGTTAGATCACACGGCTGCTTCCTTTATATCCAGGGTGCAATGCCATACAGGATAAATCTTATTACCATTTCTATGACACTGAAAGAATTAAGTCAAGGTAGTTAAGAACACCTCGCTCTCAGTGCATGTCGAAACCCATGTAAACTAATGGCAGGAATTATCTGAAACTCTTGGCTTCTCTTTAAATGCACCCAAAAGACCATTAGGGAGCTTCGGACACTTGGAACTTCCATAATATTTTTGTAGCCTCCGTATAATTGGGCACAAGCAATGAAACTAAACGAGATTGTTAACCAAAGAATTCTTGAAAAGCGTGTAGTAAAAACAATAATATATTTGCACGCACAACTTTGAATCTGATCAACAGGATGCTTCGTGCCAATCTCGCCCAATCTGAGGAGCGAGAACCGAAAACATAACAAGTGATGTCAGACTTGCATCGTGCAATTCAGCCTTTCAGACAACACAGATCAACTGCATCCGAGCACTGGTTGACAGCTAGATAAACAAAACAAGGCAAATGGCAGGGACCTTTGCCTTTAAATTCCTACTATAATGCATGAAATACATTATAGGTAGGGCTCCGTGTTTTCGAATAAATCCGAAAAACTCCAAAAAACACCCGCCGGTAAAATTTCTGTCAATTCGGATTTATCCGATAAACTCCAAATTGTTATGTGTCCATGCCCCCCCCCCAAACAACAAAAAAAAAAGTGTTTTTTTTGTTTTTTTTTGTTTTTTTTTACAATTTGAGCAGCGCAGGATCAATGGTCCTGGGAAAATGACACCATACTTATCTTTCAAGCCTCGGACCGTTGTCAAAAGAGGGTTTTATGGCTTGTCTTGTCAAGGTTGATTCAGGGAAACAGGTCATCGTACCATTCGTGTCACGACAAAAGCCACTCTTTTGGTTTCCAGTTTGGGCCATTGGATTTGGTATTTAGAGAAAGGAGAGGGCATGTTTCTGGGGGTAACAGTGAAAGCTATAGGCCATAGAGATTGTATAAAATAGGGAAGAGGGGCAGTTGAAACTTCTCTATTACCATCCTTAACCACTCCACCTTGCACGGCCTCGAGATAGCTTGATGGGATGACTACGAGCTTCCTTGCGACTACCTCTGGCAGTTTATTGATTTTAAGGTATCGACGTTTATCGAAGCCACACTTGTGTGCGACTTCAGTCGTGGGACAATTTAGTATTGCCAATGACACCAATGCCAAATTCAACTGAAGAAATCATAAGTGATACAAGTGCTTTTGATTTTTTATCTGGCATACGTTTGCATCCGGTTATTATTTATTAATAGGAAACACTGCGAAATCAATCTCCAAATTTCGGAGAATTGGTGATTTACGCAAATAAACTCCGATAAACACAGAATTTTTGCTAAAAAGTAAACTCCGAAAAACACTCTCTGAATTTCACGAAAAATAAACTCCGAAAACACGGAGCCCTAATTATAGGAAATTAGTGAGGGAATTGGTGTTCACGCAACATATATATTCCCGCTAAATTTAGCAAGAATGCTGAATAGTTGATAGGTCACGTGATGTCAGGTCACGTGATGTCAATTTCCCCAAGGTGTATAGGTCATGTGACGTCATGTGACAGCACTCTCCTCGCTAAATTTAGTGGAAAATGCAAAGGCAAACGGACGGACAAAGTTTTGGGACTGGGAATAGCAATAAAAACCATTTCATGCTTCACTAATGCTGCAAGTTCCCAGAAGAAGGCTACGCCAAATTCTTACAAAGACCAACAAGAACACTTGAGCCACTGCAATACCTCCACACACCAAACGCACATGTCCAAGACACAAACACAAACATGCATGTGCACGTATCATAATAAAGAGAGCGGATGCTTCCTGACCCGTTCACTTCCACCATGACGAATCCGCTGCAACGGGTCGGGCACACAAACACACTGCACGACGTCCGACACCAGACTGCCTTGAGATAGGGACCCAAACCTTGTCTTCAGTGTTTTTTCTTTTTGTTTCTTTTTTCCAGAGATGATAACAACCGACACAGGACGATCGCGTGGCGGTCGTACGATGCACGCGGCTGATTAAGGCATTGCACAAACGAAGTGGCAGACTGCACTGCGGACAGGAAGAGAGCTCTCGAAACCTCCTTCCCCGAAGCGAAGGCCTCTGGTCAAGACGGACTTTATCTCGACGAGAATTGTCTAAGCGCAGTCGAACCTTGAGAGATAAGACGGTGGTAGTCGCGATATCGGGGCACGGCGGCCCAGTTTAGAAACACTCGTCGACTGTGCTACATCGCTTCTGTGCTTTAGCACAACCCCATTTGGATATCGCACCATGAGACTGACGGGCGTACGTATACTCTGCAGAGATATCCCTTTACGTGCGCCGAGCACCTTTTCTCATTCTGTTTGCACTCTTATTTTTCAAAAACTTGTTAGTAACCCCTTGTCTTTGGATGCATGTTTTAACAGCCACGGTATCCTTAGTGGAGAACGCATAAAGAAGATAAAAACATGTATGATAGCAGCTCTAAGTCATAAAGCGCATATAAATTAAGGGCACACTTTGTTTGTGAGCACACGTCGACTAATTTCTGTCCTAGAAAAAGCTCCCCCCTCCAAAAAAGGGTTTAATAGGCACGACGTCACAGCAAGCGCACAAAAGGGCCTTTGAACGACCAACCCACCCCCAACGTTCGACCCACGTCCACCTGACCTTTGGCCTATGCATACACAACTTTCAACCCTCGTGCACCCAATCTAACAGAACCAAGAAGCGTGCCAACAGAGTTGAAATCCAGTCGTCCACTCTTACATTGCATGACAAAAGATATCCCGCATCACACAGCAGCTATCTCGGAAGTGGCAGCTATCAGCCGAAACAGAAGCCGCGCTATCCGACCCCAGTCCATTTCAGGACGTGGGGAGATTTCCATTAAGATTTCCATTCTGCCCCATGGCAACAAGACTCTCAACTCTATCTTTCGGTTTACAATGAAAGTTACCCTCCCCCTGCCTTGCACGTCAGCGCTCGCTGCAGTGCACACTTCGGTGCTTGTCAACTGCGGAAATTGACAGAACAGACTTCTACGCAAGGCGATTGCTGCTGATGCAGAGGCCTGTCTGCAGACTCTAGGAAATTATCAATCCAGTTTCTCGACTTTTGGAACAAAATTTTTTTCTTGGAAAAAAGTGCGCGATACCAGAGCTACCGCGTGTCACCCTCATAATTTGACACAGCCAAAGGCTTTGAACCGACTACAAAAAAGCCACCATAACTTGTGGAAATTATCTAAAGCGTGATGAAAGCTCACCCCTATAAAATCATAACTGCATTGTGTCGTAAAGTACAAGAAACTGGCTATGGCCCAGAACATGGCAAGAATGTTGCCCAAACCTAAAGCAATAGACCATAAAATTACAGTGCTTAGCAAGACAAATTTAGCCATATTACTGAAAAGTATATTAACCTTAGCAAAAAAGCCTCTTTATCAACATGCAAAAGTTGTGTCCAATCACAAGCGCAGCCAAGCACATAGCAAGATGGCCATTAGAGAATTAGTTCAAAGACATTATTAACATGAGAGAAAAAAAATTGTTTCACAACATGCAAGGAGAATACAACCCAAAACGGCCATCTTCAAAACACCGTCAAATTTCACATTGAGGTTCTATTAAAACCTCATTAAAGACGTCAACCAAGGCATGCAAAACATACAATAAGCCGTACTAGTAGACAAATGGCAACAAGCTAGCGACCACTTCATCTCCCCTAGCAGAGCTAATTCAGGCAAGCCACGGCCTTGACCATGAATCACTAAACGAGCAACTTGCCGTCAAATGGTGAAACCGCTCCGCTGCGGTGCGTCGCACATGGCGAAGCCAGAGGCAGCGACACCTGAAAAGCGTCACGCTTGTACACTTGTTCAGTACTTTTCCTTGCATGTCGACTGCTCCATCCAACTTCGTAGAAACCCATCAACCAGCTTTTACACTTTTAAGAGTTCTGAAGCATGGCCATGAATGAAGCAATGTGTCTTCATGTACAAGAGAGAGTACCAACCCTGAAGCTAAACACGGTTCTGAGGATATTCCCGGGATGTCTTTACGCCCCATTAACATCCCATGAATGTGGCCCAAATGTTGGCCGAAGTGTGGGCAGGTTTAAAAAAATCTGGGGATCTTGCTAAGGCAGTCAGACCAATTGGGGGCTCTTCCATTTGGGAAGAGGCTTTTGCCATCTTATTGTAGACAATTTTATGAACTTGGTCAATACTTCAGCTTGGGCGAGTTGGTTAAACATGCTAATACTTCGCAGCGCACAACAGACAACACACCATCAAAACAGATACACACAAAGAAACAACACTCACGCAGCGCTGACTGTCAACTCTCGGATATATTAATCTTCGTTCTTATCTTTCACCCTTACGCACTAAAAAAGAACTAAATGTTAACCAAGGAAGAACAGCGAAAGAAAAATAAAAATAAAAAGAAAGGGGAAAGATTAATATAGGAAAGAAAGATGGAAAGAAATGGAAGAAAATAAGATCTAGTCCTACTACAGTAAAATTACTGAGGAGGTTTTCCTAAATAATATAACTCTTTTCTTGATAAGCTAATCGACGGGGTACTAACGCATACTCCGTCTAGCAGGTCTATGCTCGCGGCTTCGATGATTTCTCGAGTTAGTTTGTTGTTGCTTCGTCCCAGTACTGTGCAATTGCCCAGAAGGGGGGAACATCCACAATCTCTACAATGAATGCCCAGATGGCCTGAGTTAGCGTTAATGGCGTTGCAGTTATGTTCCCGGAGCCTGTCATTGAGACAGCGCCCCGTCTGCCCAACGTAACGCTTCCCGCACGTAAGAGGGAACGAATATATCACTCCCTCTGCACAGGAAACGAACTTGGTCTTGTGATTTTTCGTGCAGCACTCTGTTCGAATAGGCTGCCCATTCACCCACTTGCACAGGCTGGAAAGTCTCTGCGGAGCTGAGAAAACCACGTCGACGTTGACTCTGCTAGCTACTTTTTTAAGCTTGTGTGACATGTTGTGAATATAGGGCACTATAACAGGCCTTGTAGTGCGTTCTCTTTTTCGGTAGTTAGAAGCTTCGGCTTGCTTGACCTCCTTAAGTAGGCATTCAGAGACTGAAATTAATATCGACAAAGGGTATCCTGCTGAAACCAAGCGAGTTGTTTGCGTTTTGAAGCTCATGTCGGTCATGTGCACGCAGGATTTCTTGAGGGAGTTTTTTAGGCAAAGTTTTGCAATGCCTCGTTTAACAAGTTTCGAGTGTGCGGAACTATGATGAAGTAGTGGCTTTTTTGCCCTCGGTTCATAAGACCAGCAGATGTGACAGTTTTTAAGGAACAATCGAAGGTCTAAGAATCTTATGGAATGCTCGACCGGAAGTTCGTGGGTAAGTTTTAACGGATCAAGGTATTTCTGGAAGGTAGAAAGAACATCGGCCACCAAGGTGGGGAAGGTGCGACTGTTACTATCAAGAAAAACCAAGTAGTCATCCACGTAACGAAAAACACGCACTATTTTTGAACTGTCTAAGTTTTGCTGTAAGATTCTGTTGTGGAATGCCAGAAAGAGGTCGCTGAGCACAGGAGCTATACAGGACCCAATACATATTCCTGTTTTTTGTAAATATGTTGATCCATTCCAGGTGGCAAAGGTAGAATGCAAATAGGTCGATATTAGGTCCAGGAAACCCTTAATGGACACCCCTGCTGCATTTTGGAAGGCTATTACACCAAAGGAGTCAACACTGTCCTCTATGCACATCAGGAGCCGATCTTGAGGTAGGGCATAATAGAGATCCTTTACATCAATAGAAAAAGCCATGAGTCGTCTGTCCTTTGGTTCTTGAAGAAATTGCAAGACGTCATCCGAGCTTCTAATCAAATACGGATCATTTGGAGGTTTTACCCCGTCCGTAGGCCATGGCAGAAGGCTTTGCAAGATTCTACAAGCTGAGTGGTATCGACAGGCAAGACTTTATAGGAACAGTTTGTACGTGTTTTTGCACAACCAAGCGAGTCCACCCTATGGAGGAAGAGTGTGGCGCGAGTACTCCATCCTGACGGATCGTACAACTGAGTCTCTGTGGCGACTCACCCTAAAGCATCTTAGATCTATCACTCCTCGCAAGACAAGAACCCAAAGCCTACCTCTTCATGTCATTGGTGACATCTCCTTGCCTCCAGGAGTGCGAAAGGTACTCAGCTTTGGCCCTAAGTTTGCGGTTGAACCCCGCAAGTCGGCACCTGAGCTGTTATCTTTGGTCCGGCAGGTATCTCAGAGAGCCTCTCTCACTGACGTTGATCGGTGCATTTCAGAAGGTGTAGACGTTCTTTCACATCATAAACATCCGGTAAGACCACTGTCCATAAAGAAGGTCGAAGCATACTTAAAAGAGCATAGCCTATCTCTTCTTCCTGCGGACAAGGAAGGTGGTTTCGTGCTCATGCATAAAAGCGAGTTTGGCACTAAGGCCTGTGCAGCCGTAGAGTCCGTTTTTCAGTGCCATTATGACATTTCCTTAAGTATAATCAAAAGCAGAGCCAAGCAATTATGTAATTCGCTGGACCTGAAGCAACTTGCTTCATCCATTGACCGTAAAAAACTGTCTAGCCTTGAGATTTTCTTCAATGCCAAAACACATAAAACCGAGTGCCCCCTCAGGGTGATTGTGTCTGAAAGAGGCACGTGGCAAAAATCCATCGCTTTGTTCCTTCAAGAAAAACTAAACCTTCTTGACATAAATGATCCGTATTTGATTAGAAGCTCGGATGACGTCTTGCAATTTCTTCAAGAACCAAAGGACAGACGACTCATGGCTTTTTCTATTGATGTAAAGGATCTCTATTATGCCCTACCTCAAGATCGGCTCCTGATGTGCATAGAGGACAGTGTTGACTCCTTTGGTGTAATAGCCTTCCAAAATGCAGCAGGGGTGTCCATTAAGGGTTTCCTGGACCTAATATCGACCTATTTGCATTCTACCTTTGCCACCTGGAATGGATCAACATATTTACAAAAAACAGGAATATGTATTGGGTCCTGTATAGCTCCTGTGCTCAGCGACCTCTTTCTGGCATTCCACAACAGAATCTTACAGCAAAACTTAGACAGTTCAAAAATAGTGCGTGTTTTTCGTTACGTGGATGACTACTTGGTTTTTCTTGATAGTAACAGTCGCACCTTCCCCACCTTGGTGGCCGATGTTCTTTCTACCTTCCAGAAATACCTTGATCCGTTAAAACTTACCCACGAACTTCCGGTCGAGCATTCCATAAGATTCTTAGACCTTCGATTGTTCCTTAAAAACTGTCACATCTGCTGGTCTTATGAACCGAGGGCAAAAAAGCCACTACTTCATCATAGTTCCGCACACTCGAAACTTGTTAAACGAGGCATTGCAAAACTTTGCCTAAAAAACTCCCTCAAGAAATCCTGCGTGCACATGACCGACATGAGCTTCAAAACGCAAACAACTCGCTTGGTTTCAGCAGGATACCCTTTGTCGATATTAATTTCAGTCTCTGAATGCCTACTTAAGGAGGTCAAGCAAGCCGAAGCTTCTAACTACCGAAAAAGAGAACGCACTACAAGGCCTGTTATAGTGCCCTATATTCACAACATGTCACACAAGCTTAAAAAAGTAGCTAGCAGAGTCAACGTCGACGTGGTTTTCTCAGCTCCGCAGAGACTTTCCAGCCTGTGCAAGCGGGTGAATGGGCAGCCTATTCGAACAGAGTGCTGCACGAAAAATCACAAGACCAAGTTCGTTTCCTGTGCAGAGGGAGTGATATATTCGTTCCCTCTTACGTGCGGGAAGCGTTACGTTGGGCAGACGGGGCGCTGTCTCAATGACAGGCTCCGGGAACATAACTGCAACGCCATTAACGCTAACTCAGGCCATCTGGGCATTCATTGTAGAGATTGTGGATGTTCCCCCCTTCTGGGCAATTGCACAGTACTGGGACGAAGCAACAACAAACTAACTCGAGAAATCATCGAAGCCGCGAGCATAGACCTGCTAGACGGAGTATGCGTTAGTACCCCGTCGATTAGCTTATCAAGAAAAGAGTTATATTATTTAGGAAAACCTCCTCAGTAATTTTACTGTAGTAGGACTAGATCTTATTTTCTTCCATTTCTTTCCATCTTTCTTTCCTATATTAATCTTTCCCCTTTCTTTTTATTTTTATTTTTATTTTTCTTTCGCTGTTCTTCCTTGGTTAACATTTAGTTCTTTTTTAGTGCGTAAGGGTGAAAGATAAGAACGAAGATTAATATATCCGAGAGTTGACAGTCAGCGCTGCGTGAGTGTTGTTTCTTTGTGTGTATCTGTTTTGATGGTGTGTTGTCTGTTGTGCGCTGCGAAGTATTAGCAATTTTATGAATATGCATACCTTCAAGAATGTAGGAAAAAGACAGTTTAAAGTCGCCATAATACACAAAAAAAACAGTTGTCTCCAAAAACCAAGTCGCTTCCCCAAGTTCTCCATGTGGTTGAGCCTTTGAGCCCCCAATTGGTCTAGACTGCCTTAGCAAGATCCCCAGATTTTTTTAAAACCTGCCCACACTTGGCCAACATTCAAAGAATATGCAAAACATGAGTAAGCAAGATGATGCGGACGTAAACCATAGGGGTGACCTCATCAGAGCCATCCGTAGGCATCTAAGTACACACGGTTGTGACATCCAAGACTGCTTCCCCGAAGCCCATGGGCACGTTCCCAAGCTTGCCCAAAGTTTCCCAACGACCGGAGACTCTCCCCCAAAGGGAGAGGGGGAAGCATGCACGAAATCGCTCACCCCAGTCCCCCAGCAACTAGGGACTTTCAACACAGGGTGAGGGGAAAGCAAGCCCACCCAATCGACTAAGGACTCTCCTTGCAGGGGCATGAATGCAAGAGAGAGAGAGTGCTCACCCGAAGCCATTGGTGGTTCGTGGCGGGTTGTCATCGTCCCAGCAGGGCTCCACCACAATACGCACGGGGCTCTGGACCAGGTGGGGACCGTTGGTGGCCGCTAGTTCCTCCAGGCGATCAAAGTCCGTGCGATCAACCCCATTCATTGCGACGGGGGTCTCGGGTGGACCTGCGAGGCACAAGCACCGGGGTCAGACGCCACGCCTCCGCCCAGCCAGCTCCGGCGCATAGCAACATGCCAAAGGCCCACCGAATTTATCTATGCAATTCAATTCGTAATGCCGTTGCTCTCGGCCAGGGGGCACTGTGGCGTTCGCAAGACAGAAGCTCCTCAATAAATTTCACACTTCGCGTTTCTTGAACGCGAGAGACATGTGCCACGAGCGAGTGCTGAGTCGCTCGTTTCAGTGCCGAGCTTCCATTTGCATCCAAGGCTGCAAGAGGTACTGGCCTTGTGTATTGGCACATTCGACGCTACTTGCAAGACAAGCACAAACACATCAAAGGACTTTCCAAGGAATGGGACCCTGTAGTGGTAGCATAAAGCAGCACTGTGGCCTCTGGTCATGAAGGAACGAACCACAAGTGTCTTTGTGTGCTAATAAAGGGAATGGAAGATTTAAAAAAAGTTTTTTAATTAACTGAAGAGACATGCAGCAAGTATCTTCAGCGTCATATTGAAGCACTAGTGCAATCTTTTCAGCTTTTGTGTTTTTGCTATTTTCTGCGAGCAACGCGAGCGAGCACGACAAGGTGAAATCCGAATGAGACTAAAAGATATCCGGTTTTGCTAGTCAGGGGCACTGCTCAAAACATGAGCTAAAGGCCCATATGCAGGAAATCGCTTAATCTTAGATTATGACTAAAATCACAACAAAAGAGTAACGCAGTTTAAAATTATTCCAGGTGTGAACAACTGCAAGCTACTCCTGAACCATTTTCACCGGCTTCAGAATCTGTGCACTTCGTGCTCATACAAGAGAAGAGGATTATTGAATTCTCTATCTCCACCAAGCGGGACCAAGAAAAAAGAGAACCTTTTGTGCCTTCAAGTTCAAATTCAATACTCTCAAGGTCATTCCCAAAAAATGTATTACATGAGGGGGAACAACCCAAATCTTCTGACCACAGAGCAACACACGAAATACACATTACACTAGTCAGTTAATGCAGAATATATGTAAATGAATCCACATAGGTGAGGTAGCACTGGTGGGTAATAATAATGTAACAAATAAAAAAAAAAAAGCCAAATTTTCAGGAGCAAGGTCTTACATTTTTCACAATATTATTACATCACATTTTATATTATTTGTTTATTTATAATTTCCAAATGAGAACCTGCAGCAGCAAAGCATTATAGCAGGTACAGTCTAGTATTACTAACACAAAAATCTGGTTTGTGCAAGATGAACAGGTAACTTATCAGTAAAAGCCGTTAATTAAAGACAAAATCAGTTTTAGTTGCAGTATTAGTTTTGTTACATCATCATGTAACATCATCATCGACCAAATGAGATTCAACCTTTTTGGAGCGATCGTGACGGACAGAAACCTACGAGAATTCTTTGCAATAGGTAAGCTTGAACGATGGCACGTTGTAATAGAACTTGCAAAAGAGAGCAAGAGAAGACAATTTTTGGTAGAAATCTGGAGACGCTAGGCTGACAATGAACTTTGCTCCCACAGTTCAAAGATCACCCAGTAGGATGCATCGAATAACAGCAGAGAAAGTAGTAGTAGTGAAGGCTGACTTCCAAAATTTTGTTTTTTGCTCCACAGAATTTGCTTTCCCCGTGTCCTCTATTGCTTCTCCTGCACACCCCTTCTCCTTGCCCAAAGCTACAGAAAGAAGGGGAGCTTTTCCTTTTATGCATTCAAAATCGAAGAATAAAACTTCTGAAGTTTTAATAGCATGGGGCAACTTGACGAACTCGAGAAGGACAAGTATATAAAGCACCACGTAAAGGGTAACTGCAAAGAAAAAAAAGTGTATTTTTAAACAGCCTAATTGGGACAGGCATGTCACAAAACAATTTTTCCACCAAAAGCAGAATTTTCTACAGCAATATTTATTGCGCGAGACTGATTTTAGTTTCGGGCTATTTCGTCAGTTTTAAATGGCGCGCCACAAAGTCGGTATTACACGTCACGTAGTGGCTGCTTATACGTCATGGAGTGACGTATAACAGCCACTCCGCATGCGTCGAAAGAGCGGGAGTTCTAAATGTGGAGAAGTTGTGACCCCGACTGAATTACGTCCTGTGGCGTAAATATTGCTAGAAAAATTTTTTTTCGCGGAAGATTTCTTTTGTGACATGCTTGTCCCAATTAGGCTGTTTAAAAAAAACACCTGTTCTTCTTTGCAGTTACCCTTTAAGAAGCAGTTCTTAAGCACCCAGACCAGCCATGCCTTGGCAAGATTTTTCTGGCTACCATTGCGACAGCACTCAGTTACGTAAGAGGAACGAGGAAATGGCCCTAGGAGCGAGCCAAAGGGGGCGAGAACCCAGAAGTGCACAAAAGCCGCAAATGTATTGTCGTGGCCGAAAACTAAGTTTTCTTCCGTGAACACCGTTTTGCAATCATTTCTGCTTCGGTGTGGGGGACGGATGACGTCAGTACCGGCGAGGGCAGCAATGTAAAGAGTGTTTGCTACTTCGGGACACATGTCTTTCCGTGGCAATTGATTAGAGGAGTGCACCTTTAATAGGTGCTCAAGGTGCAAACACACACACGCCCCTACCTTTAACTGCGCCGCCACAGAAAGCTGTTTCCGAGTGGTCCATCAAAATTAAACCTTTGAGGGATGCACTTCAAAGAAGCCAGATTCTTGTTTGCATGACACTTGCCAAACTGTCGCTTTGCAGGGGTGACATAAGGAAGCCTGCCTCAATGCAGGCATACTGACATGTGAAAGGGTTACTTTTTTTATGCAAGCATTCCACATGCTTCAAAGAAGAGATTAAAATCACTCAAAATGACTAGTAAGATATGTTTTCTCTAGTAATTTTCTACACAAAAAGAGAAAATGAAAAACTGCAATATTTTTGGAGATTGTTCCAAATAAGGAAGAGTGAGCAATTGATTGCGTGGAAAGAGCCAAGAGCACTTAAGTTAACGAGAGACCCTTTCAGTGCGTTGAGATGCCACTGCAGACATGGGGTGGCTAATCCAGAGCGGGTCAAGAATTAATAACACAATAAGACGGGGGAAACATTTGCTTGCCAGATCTTTGGTCATCGTTGCAAGACCCCCCTGTCGGCATCTTTAGGCAAATGCCAAACTCCCGCAGTATATATGGCTCTGGCGTTTTCAACAATTGCAGTATTACGTCTCCGACACCCAAAGATTTGACGTTTTTGTGAAAATATAATGCACCACAAGACTAAAAGGAGCAATGACAGTAATGTTCGGAATCTCCACGCAATTAACTATTTTCATTGATCAAATTTTATGGAGATGGTGGATACCTGAGGCCGCCCCGCCCCGCCCCGCCTCCTGCTGCCACCTCCCTCCCTCCCTCCCTCCCTCCCCCAAGGAGAAAGCAAGACAAGTTGGCATCACCCTGTAGCCAATATCTATCCATTGAAGCGGAACAAGGGGCGTTTCCAGTGAACTCTTCTTTCGACTGTGGAGGCATTTGAAACGGGCGCATCACGCTTGTGGGAGGAGCTTCTCCTGCCTTCTTGACTTGTGACCGACTATAGGATGACTTGTTATCTAGAACTGGTCATTTTTATCGGCTAAAGTCCAACAAACAGTATGTCATCGAAAACAAGCTTCTATAAAAAGCACTCGAGTGCCCCTCTAAGATGGAACATAGTGGTTGCTACGAGTTGTCTCAGCCAATCCAGCAAAAACGCACTGGCAAACGCGTGGCGGACTTGGCAATGCACGCAGCTGCCACGTGGAGGGGCAGAATTCGAACACCGCGTGATGCGGTTCCTTTTTTTACGATTTTGTACTCTACTGGAAGGTTCGAGCTCATTCTTGGCTGTCGTCACGTGTTTTAATTCGGAACATTCCCGAATAGGCCAGTTGCAAAACGTACGGTTCCATGACGGCAGGGAATATTTAGAGACTCCTAAGTACAGATCTGGCGCCTTCTCGTAGTGCCACTCCGACTGCGCAAGAGTCGTAGCAGCTAGCGCCGGCAGCCATCCAACTCATCCGGCAGAATGTTGTACGTCGTTGGCGGTGTATTGTATCTGTGGCAGCATTAACACATTGTGACCTGTGAAGCTATTCACTTATTTGTATATGTTATTTGTCGTAACATACCTTCACGTCTTACAGTGTCACCGAATCCACTTATTTTGCACTGCAACCGTGGCACGGCAACCGTGGCACGGCAGCCTCGCAAGATAGCCAACATGATGCCCCCTCCCCCATGCTCGTCGTTTGCCCAACTCGGCTCTCGGCTGCTCGAATGTTGTTGCCTTGGTGCTTGCGTATGCCACGTGGTACCGGAAGTAAAGACGATGGGAGGGATGTACCAAGGACTCACATTACTTCTTGCGAGGTGCACGTAGGCTTTTGGGATTTTTACGAAGGGTCTATTGGCTCCGGTGGCAGTAGCTTCCTCCGCGGTCCATTATACGGTAAAACAAAGTATTGTGCTATCAGAGATTAATTCGTTGAGTGCATATTATTTACAAAATTGACTTACAGAGTTCATGTTTACTAAATCATGAAGCAGAAAGTTTGGATCTTTGATCGTCAAGGCGAAAATCAATATAACTGACAAAGTGAGGGTCAAGCTGTCTACACAAACATACTGTAAACACTTTCCAGTGTTAGCCCCATGGAGAGAGTTTTGGAGGATACCAATAAAGGACTGTTGAAGAATACCTCCCACATCATCGTATTGAAATGCCCACGGCATGAATGGAAAGCTTAGGAGAAATCGATGGAGGCAGTACTACACGAGCCCAACCACACCATATTGAATGGCGACAAATGGCAACGGCACCATATCCAAAGCTCAGGAAGCCGTATTCGCTAATTGCGACTATTGCCAATTGCACCCGCTCCATACCAAACACCAAAACGGCAGTACCCGCAAGATAACCTGGGAACGGCGTGCAGATACTCTAGGCGCGCAGCTTTTTTAGTAGCTCTAGTCCGAGCATAGAGACGCTCTGCAATGCTCGCAAGGTCAAGGGAGGAAAAAAACACGAGGAAAGTGTTGCTCTCGCTGAGAATGAACACGTGCTCGCTTATTAGCGTCCTTTTAACATGAGCTCGACGACCTTCAAGAACCCGTGTCATTCGGATATGCGGAGATTAGAGCCACTAAAGACGCTTTGCTTAGAGTGTCAGCACCAACTTTCCCCGGTTCACTTGTGGGTGCCGCTTTCCTTCCAAAAAATCTTCCCACGACAATGAATATTGTCCTTATCACGCCGGGAATGAATGAAAACATCGACCGACAAAAGAGGGGGTACCAATGGCTCACGTAAAACCGATACGATTGGTATGCCAAGTCAGCTACTGAAGCAGAATGAGGCACCTACGATGAAAATCGGGCTAAAAAGACTGCTCCATTGAAGCGTCTTCTGTAGACGATGGCAAATCTTTGTTAGCACTCTGAGAGCTGGATTACAAATGAATCAATTATGATGCCCGATATACATTGTTGGATGTTAGGAACAAATGTGCGTGTTGGGGTGGTCCAAAGGGATCAAAGGATCAGAAGAAAAAGATATGCCACGCATCCTACAAAAGCTAACATTTTGTGCAAACAATCTTAGTAACCATTTTATCATATGGGGAGGGGATTGTTCCAGCTACTATCCATTCAATCAATTTTACAAAGGAGGGTGCAGACCTATTTTCGAATGGCAGCTGAGCTCAGGAGAGGGCACAATCAGAAATATGCGTAGTTCGCGGTCGGTTTGCCTCGCGTCGGATTAAAATCATCTTTAAGTCAGCTCCAAGCTACGCTACACAACGTGCGCACTCTACGTCGCAGCACACTGGGCTATTAGACACGATATTGTCTATTGACCCAGGACTTGACGGACTTGACAGGGCCGGAGCATGCGTTGGAGCAAAAAACAGACAACAAT